GATGATTTCTTGTCGTTGAGAGTGGGACATGCTGGTTGAGAAAAGTTTCAGTGACAGGCAACCGACAAGATCCGGCTCCATCAGCTCAAGGGGAGCAAACGCGTCCACTCCACACATGCAGAACCCGATGGTAGGTGGCGACAACAAGCGGCTATCCTTCCGTACACGAGGAAGCCGCGCTCGTCCCTTGACCGAGCCATAAGTCTATTGGAAAACGGCGCGCCGGCTCGGTGAGCCACGGGATGATTAAGCCTGGCCCCCAAAGCTTCTGGCAGTCAACGGCATTGAATAGGGCCGAACGCACAGGAGAATTCCTGGAGCCGACAATGAGGTGCAGTCGAGCGTGGAGGGCCACCTGATCCAGATACCCGAGATGATGACGGCGCCGATCACCGCCCAGAGTCCGGCGGCGGACCGGCACCTGACTGATCTTCTCTCCCAAAACAATGACAGGGTCGCATTGAAGGAAACATTCTCTGTCGGCTGGAATCTGTAGGCAATCTGTCATATTACCGTCCAAGCGGATGAGCGGGCTGCGGGCGGCCGGGCTTGTGCGGAATCAGAGTGGATATTTGCAACCTGCCAAAGTCGGTGATGGTCGATAGTGAGGACCCGACCCACAGCGTCTCGGGTGCAACGTTGGTGGTGGATTAAAGTTCGAGAGGGAAAAAATGCAATGTCGAGGACGGGGTTGAATAGGGTTGCCTAGTGTAGGGCCAGGTGGGATTCGACGATAATGGATGGCAGTGCAGGCACATCGCGGCAGCTGAGTACGAGAAACTCATCAAAAGCACCCTTGGCGATAGTTGTTATGAAAGGAGTGCGTCTAAAGGGGTGAGCATTGGCTGCAGTATGAGCGTGCACTGCGAGCGAGAGCGGAGGAGACATGAGGGCAAAGCCATCAAGCTGCCCCTTGCTGATTGAACTGACCAGGGAATGTCTCAGAATCGACATGGATTCCCCAAAGGCGGGTCTTCTTGTCTCTCCAAGGCAATCAAGCAATCCAGAGAGACTCCAGACAGCTCCCTTGGCATTGAACTGTATGGAGACGCTACGCCGGAACGGATAGTAGCGTGCTGTGTTATCCTGGCTCTTCTGTAGCCCACAGCGGGGAGTGTCGATCATGACCGTTTTCTGTTGTCTTGCAGACGGCCCAGCCGTGCCAGCCTCACTTTGTCAAGGTCCTGTGCCTGGGGTGCCTGAAGCGCAGAGTACCATCGTGTTGACTCTTGTCTCTGGGCTCCTAGAGGTGATCGAGAAGGCTTAATTAGAGCGAGGAAGAGCCGTGAGGCGCGCCAGTGGTGAGAAACGATAATAGAACATGACGGGATACGCGCTGGCCGTTGGCCGCTTGGTCGTTTTCTCTTGTCCTCCACGACTGGAGTGTGAAGGGACAGGGACGGCAGTGAAGCCATGGCTGAAGATTTTAGCGGCTAGGCATGTCCTGCGAGCAGCTACACTACAGATACATGCCTGTGGGGAGGGGGGGAGGCCTTGCATATCCGTACAGACACCGCTGTTGCTAGTGAGAATTGAGGTGCTGTTTGTGTTGCTGCTCGCAGCTCGAGTCCATGCAATTCGACCACCCTGTAGACAGGCATTGATTTGAATTTCTCTGTGGGGCCATCAGAGCGTCGTCGCCAGATAGATGGCCTGCAGTGGGTTGGCACATGGTTTCTCTCAGTGGAAATTTCCTGTCCTCGCATTTTGCGGGTGTGCGGTTGCATCGAGAATAATGGAGCAGCCATTTTGACGATGCGAAGCGGTATCTGTATGAGAGCGAGCGTGTCTGGGATACGACATGGAGCCTCAGAACTACTGATACTCCTTCACGGTCTATCCGTATGCCATGTAGGTTTTTGAGTGTTGGGTGCCAGCTCGAAATAGCTATGGAAGGCCGGGGAGGGATGGAGCAACTGATCCTGTCCCATCCTGTCTCTCTCGTGTTCGGCGGTATGTTATCCGTGATCCGTTCATGTTAGAGGGGGGGAGACGCAAAACCAAGAAGCCTTCAGACGTGTTGTTAGTCAACGTCGGAAGTTCGGTTGTGTGTTATGTGAGCTTTCTGGAGATGGTGGAGCGAATGACGGGTGACGCGCGTATACTGTTGCAGACAACATGTGGCTGACAGCCGGACGCCCTGAGCGACGCCTACCGAGACGGGACGAACGTCTCCTCCCTAGCAGCATCGGAATGTTCGTGTTGATCCCGTAGCTCCAGTGTAATATCATCGAGGTGGCAGATTCGTAGGAGGAGAAGGAAAGGCCACAGCCAACTGCCATGGCAGAGGCTAAAGAGCGCGGCGAGCAGATGGCTGCATCTTCTAATGGCGGGATTGTTGGAGCCGGCAAGCCTTATGCCAACACGTGAGCAACGGTGCGAACCGGTCAGGACGAGAGCAGAATAGCACGGAGCTACTTGACGGCGGCGTCATACTGAGGTCAAGGCGACGTGGACTGACTAGTGCCGAGAAAGGGGATGGTTTGGAAAGGAAATGTCCACCTTGGTCAAAGCTGCGGACGAGGGACCTTGGAAAGGAACAAGAAAGTGAAGTCAGCGCTGGACAGCATCGGCGATGGATATCAAGGTGAGCTTGCGGATGTCATTGTCGGTGTTGTTGTGGACGGAACCTCGAAAGTCTAGGGTATTGTTGACATGCCAATCCGTGAAATGTTGGTCCAGCGTGGTCGACTCGCGCCAAGGGGCGAGGGGATGGATTGACCTGGTATTAGACACTGATGTTGAAAAAGGTAGATGTGTTTTTTTCTCTTTGTCTGGTGACGAGGTTGGATGACATGAGGTCAGTGTTTTCAACATCGGACGGGTGTTGTCAAGATGGCACATACCTAATTACCTAAGGTGCGGTTTCCACCCAGGCGGCCGGCGTCGGACTCGTCCCCGTGATTCCATTGCTTCAATTGCTCCCTTCCCTTCAAGTTAGCATCCTCTTTAGGTAGGTTAAGAACGGAACGCGTCTTCTTTCCTTCGCACCAGACATCTGACACCTTTTAGCGTTGCACATCCAACACCGAGGCAGGACGTAAGCGTGGTCGGTACTCGGTAGGGCTGGCTGTGCTTGCCGCATCTTCACGCCCCCAAACATGGGGGATACCAAGCGTGGAAGGGGCATCGTGGGATGTGTTTCGAAACACTCAATGACGTAAACGTCCCTTGCGAGGCCTACTTTCACCTACCTCATATTCCGAAACATCAAGAGGTCGCCTTGCGATCTTTCCCCTTTTCCCAATTAATTAACTTACCAAGCTACCTTGCTTGCCTACCCTTCCATCTGATGTGTGCACACGGCGTACGGAGTACGGATACTTTGGACATTTTCACGTACCAAGCAATTAAGGTCCAAGTAATTAAGGCACAAATACCCCCCTCTCAATGTACCATACAAGACCTCATGTACAGAGTAAGGCACGATGAATGCCGAACAGGTGTGCGCTTGCCCCCGCGTGTGTACCCCGAGTTTATTAGCTTTTTCTTTCCCCGGAGTTGTTTCGTCCCAGCAATTCAGATCATCCCCGTAACATCTTTTCGTCTATCACTCAGGATAATTCACCCGAAACGCTTTCCCGCATTTACATTTTTATTCCCATTGCATTTACATCCGCCTGTGCAGTCAGCCCCACCACCTGCGTGATCTCACATAGCTGTTGCAGCTTGCTACCTACCTACCTCTCCGTACCTCACACCGTTCTCCGGGTCGCTCCTTGAGCATGAGGCTTTGCAGACGCCAATTGATTCGGACATTGCCTTGCCGATACAACGACGCGCAATTCCCACGCCAACGGCTCTCCCTCCATACCTTCCTTGTCCGCAATCATCCTCCCTTACAGATACTTCAGATACGGAATTCAACAGGGATTTGGACCTCACAACCTCCTACCACCCCTCTTTGTCATCGCTATTTACCTCCATAGACCATGGACCATGGGTATGAATAGTTGTTAGGAGCTGCTCAAGTCGCTCTCAACGCCACTCAACAATCACGGCCTGCCAAGCTTGACTTACTCGCTCACTCATGGGGACGGCATAGCTGCTCCGTCATCTTCCCTGCAAGTTGCAAGTTGCAAGCTTGCAAGAACTTACACTACTTCGTGGTTCCGAACGTCCCCCGGCGCCAAACCGTTTGCTAGTGGAATGCGTTGACCAAAGTACTCCAAGACGCCAACCTGCGCCTTGCGTAGCCCTGCGCCTCTGGTGCAAACTCTGTTCCCAGAAGCGCCTGCTGGGCAGTTGCAAGTGCACTAATCAGCAATCCCCGCGGTAAATCCGCCAGTGCCTTCAACGAATTCGGACGGAGTACGCTGGAGGCTTGCCTGCGTATTGCGGCTTGCTAGACAAAACGGGGTGGAGTGTCTGGAGAAGCTTTCGGGTCGTCGGCTTCGCGCGGGAGATGTTGAATCCTCGTGGGAGAAAGGACGACAGCACGATGACAACGATGATCTATGATGATCGTGGAGATCTCGCTCGCACTTGGGACGACACGAGGACGTTACCGATGTGATCCAGGGACGAAACACCAGCTGCAGATTCCTTCCTCTGTGCTACCAGAACACTTCCGAACCCATCCTATTGCTTGTGAGCATACGGAGTACCCATTGTCGGATGTTGAATACCGCACGCCCTCTGAACCACAACGGCGCGTCGGCCCTGCGACCTCACTACCTACGCCTGTGAAGATTCTTTTCTATTCAGACGAGACATGGCGCAGTGGCCCAGTCGACTACCTACGTGCCAGATGCCTCAAGCACGCCTTGCTTTCCATCCCCTTCGTCCAGTGGTTCGATGGAGGTGGCATGTAAATGAGGCAAGATTGTCTAGGGAATTTCAAGTCTCATCGGCTTTCCGCTGTGGCTGTCTCGAACATGTCTATCAGCAGAGAGGCCCGCAATGCCCGCCTCAAGATTCGCCAATTCCCCTTACAAAGAGTCCCTGTCCTGCCAGTGAATTTGGCCGAATTCACCGAGACAGTGCTTACTGTATTCGTCTTGGTCGTCATCCACGTTATTTAGAGATGAAGACGGCGCCGCGGGACTTGTAAAATTCCCCGGGGTAAAAATATCGATCGTTGCTTGAGAGGAACATCAATATAGGGGACTCGAGTGGTTGGTCCAAGTACTGTGGTAGGGCATTAGGAACGCCTCAAGTCAGCCCAAACTATCGCCGGCTAGCCTCAACTCTCTTTTCCCAGTCGACGCAGGTGTGCGGATCCCCCGCAGTGTCCCTTTGCGCGAGAGGCAACGCTGACGCCGTCGCGACCGTTTCCTTTGCCAGCGAGGCTTGAGAACACACGTAGATGTGGTCTGAAGAAAAAGGAAGCAAAGATGCGGGCGCCATTTGGTAGTGAGCCGAGTGTGAGACGGCGCGGATGTTCGCAAACCGCTGGACGAAAACAACGGAATGTCTCAGGATTCTGGAAAGCCGCTCGCTTGTACGGATGGATACCTTGCGCACCTTCGGGGGTTGCCATAGCCGAGCAAGCCCACGGCAGAGACCAAGACCGTATTTCACTTTCCGATATCGCCTCTTGCGGTCGCAGCGCCACCAAGCCTGCCGACCTTCTTGTGCATGTACGCAGCGAGCCGTTTGCGATGAAGTTGTTGAACTGACGAACCCAAGAATTGAGGCTCTTTGCACTTGAAACGAGACCTTGATCCCGTTTCACTCCATATTTTACACTACAACGTTCGACAATCTACCCGTGTTGGCTCACCTGAATCTCGCATTTTTCGACAGGAGGGATTTTCATTCCCCACGGGAACTGTACCATACAGAGAGGGGAGGGAAAACAAGAACAACAAACTAAAGAAGGGCAGCGTGGTACCGATAGCAACATCAGGAGCGCAACCCGCAGCCTGCCAGCCCACCGCCAGCCGAGCGTGCCAACCGACCAACCAAACCAGTCCTGCCCCTGAGTGAGTTGCATTCCGTCGACATCTCAAACAACACAAAAGAGGGGGTGAAGGGGACGGCGACATGCTGCCCCCTGACCCACAAGATAGGTACGGTGGTACCGCTGATCGCGGCAGCGACGACAATGACAGACGACTACTGCCAACGACGACGCCGGCGACGATACATGACTGGCGATACCGACGTTAGAGCGACAGGGAATTTGCCCAAAAAAAATCTTTTTTTTTTCTAATTGGGCGGAAGCTTGAGTTTTTTCCCCTTGACCAAACAAGGTATCCCGCCCGGTTGTTCCTGTGGCTCGGAGCCAAGCTCTCCCCCGTACGGAGATGGGAAAGGATCATGTCCGTAAAACCTTTTTCTTCCTCTTCCTTTAGACCAATATGTGGGATGCTTATTTTTAACCATGCGCCGACACGATAAGGAACACGTGAGCTGTGCCTGATGGTAGCAAGGCCATCCATCGAAAACCATTTGCTGGGCGGAAGTGGAAGGCAGACGAATCGGCGTTTTCGAATCCTCTTCACCTTGTGGTAACCCGTTTGATCGGGGACTATCCCTGGATGATATGTATAATAGGCCACAATTCTATGTTTTTTCACGGTTTCTGCTTGGGTCAAGCTGGACACTTGGGGAATCGGGGATGATGGGTTCGGAGTTCAGACCTTTTCAATGGGACTGGAGAAGTTTCCCCAGCTTGACAATTTTAACAGAGTTGTTGTGGTAATACATTTGTGCTATATACAACGCGTTTGAAAATACAGGGCGGCCGAGGGCCCGAGGCTGACTGGTTTCTTGAATCGCGCGCCGGGACCGAAAAGATTCACGATGTCATTCTCACCCCAAAACTCTCCGTGGGCTTACGGAGATCTATCCCGGGAGACGTATCCCAGAGTCAAAATTCCTCCTCTCTCAATTATTGTGTCCCTTTTCCCCGACATCAATCTCTTTTCCTCTCTCTTTCGCTCTTCCCACTCCCGCGGTCGCGGGACGACAAGGCGGGGATGGGGCGGATTTCCCGATATTCCACTTGAGTGCAAACATGACTAGACACCAAAAGTATTGTATCAAACATGACTTATACACAATCCTAGAGCACGCCCCCTTTCGCCCCACCGCTATACACCAGATGACCCTTGAAGGCCACGTATTTTGGAGATTTTGGAAGAAAAAAATCAGTGTTAATGTGGTTCCCTTTTCTCTTCTCTATGTGTGCTCCGTACCCCGTACACTATACATATTGTAGCTAGACGGGACGAGGCTGAATCGTGTATCAAGCTTTCAAGCCTCCCCCCTCTTCCCCTTTCCCCCCTTCTGAAGCGGCAGGTACCCAAGCTTCTTTCTCGTCCCGCAATACCGGCGAGCAGGGAATTGGGGTGAGTTTGGTGAAGTTGAGTGGGTGTGAACGTTGGATATTGGTCCTTGCGTTGTGCTTTACGCCCGTTTCCTAAAATCTGAATATAGAGTACTAAGTAAGTACTTACCTACGGAGGGATGGATACCTTAGCTATTGGCACTTGCTTCCTATATTCTTCTTGACTCCCGCTGCCGGCGTGCCGGGACTAGGGGGTTTGGCACACTTTCATTTCGAGAGAAGAGTTGAAGGGAAGTGATTAGGGTACGGGATAGGTAGACATCGTCAACACCCCACGTATTGTCAAAGAAAGACACACTGAACACGGGCGGGTCAAAACATACGGTTTACCGTGGCCGGACCATAACCTTGCCATATGGATACCTAACACACGGGTGGGATACCCCGTAGTACACTTGCCTTCATCCTCCGCGTATAAACTCTCTGCTCCCCAGCCGGCCGGGGTGGTACTATACCATCATACTACGGAGTACTTCGTACGGAGTATGTGGTCTTGCTGCAGTTGCCGAGAAATCAGAACTCTAAGGCAAGGTAGCCAGAGGAGAAGGCGGTTTGCCGCCTACTGTTACCCTATTCTATCCCGTACCTTACAGATGGCCGCAGAGTTCTCTCGCAGAGTGGGAACATGAATCCCCGTCCACCGGTAAGCCGTGAGACGTGGAAAGCTTCACGGAGACAGCCGTTCGAAAAGAAATACAAAGCCCACCCCCATTTCCCACCCCGCCGGCCGGAAGCCCCGAGTCAGATTACAGCGAACGGACGAGCACATTTCTCCAGTTCAGGATCATCCGGGGGGTTCTACGGGCACAGCGAGATGAAGAGCAAGTAGAAAGAGAGAGAAAAGTAGGGACTTTGGGGGAAGAACCCCTTCCTATTCTCTCAAGTTCTCAACAACAATACTAAACTGGAGCTTTACATCGTGGAATTTAGTTCTGCCCATTAAGATCAAATAACGCCGCTGATTTGTTTTTTGGCTGCTCTGAATGCTCCACCACATGAGGAAGAATAAAAAAAAAAGTCTACACGATGCGAGTATTATGACTCAAGTACAATGGCTGCCTACCCTACGCCCGTCGAACGCGCGCTACAACTTGACAAGTCTCTTGCTCTTCTCTTCCTTCCTCGCCCCAAAGCCCGGATCAGAGCCTCATCCCCGCGGCCCGCCCGCTGGCTCGCTCTCGGAACACGCTCCCCTAGAGCCTGTGCGGACCCTAGGATGAAAAAAAAAGAACACATCCCTTCTTGGATATCGTGGAAGGAAAAAAAAAACCCCCCTGAAAACCCGTTGAACCTTATTCCCCGCTTGCCCTTCCCGTGTTCTTCCTAAACTTAGAGCATGATTGCAAGCTCCGACCTGTCGACCTTTTCCTCGTCCAGGTTGGGATAGTATGGTACCATGGCATCGGCACCCTGGACGTACGCGTCGTTGTACAGCCGCCAGTAAGGCTGGCGTACCTTGCGCGCAGGGTGGAACAGGCCTGCCCATACATAGTTGAGAACGACGCCGGGGCCAACCGCCATGCGGATGGCCTCGATGGCCTCGATGATACGATCAATGACGTGTGGACTCGTTTCGAAGAGGTTGGGATATAGGAGGTTGAGGAGATGAACCATTGCGTCCTCACATCCCAGGCCGACAACGCCAAGCGCGATATGCTTGACGACAGATGCAGCCGTCTGTCGATGTACTTGATCGCGGTCGATGAGGGCGTCCTCGAGCAGAGGAGTGACGGCATAGACGTAGTCCTTGGCCATCTCACCAATGTACTCGAACAGGAAAGAGAGGGACTTGAGCACACCATTTTGCACGTTGAGTTCGGGAACGCGATACTCGTTCATAAGGGCGGGGAGAACAGTGAAGGGGGCGCAAGTCTCGGCCACGATACCAATGGCAACAGCTGTGTTGACACGAGACTGACGCTCCTGCACGCGAAGGTTGTTCAGCAGCGTGGCGAGCACATCCTGAGGACCGATGGCCTTGGCGATGAAACCGAACGTGTTGTTGGCGGCACGACGGATGCCCTTCTTGTGTGCCTTCAGCATGTCGAGGAGCTCGAAGCAGATACGCATCCACTCGCGGGCGTTCACACTCTCGGGGCCGCGATCGGCAATACGACCGACCAGGTCGATGGTGTTTTCTTGGACCTTCTCGTGTCGGTTGCGCAGAATAGGGGTGAGTCTTGGCAATAAATCCTTGATAGGGGGTTGCATCTGTGTAATACCGACAACCGTGACGATCGATCTCAAGGCTCCCAGGATGGAGCCCAGTACCTCGGGGTACTCCTCTCCAAGATATTCGTAGAGAACGATACCCAGCTTGCCCATCAAGGCGTCCTCTCCGCATTGCTTCATGACCATGGCGATGCGTGAGATGAGGTCGGCTGCTTGCTGTCGTACCGTTGCTGACTTGTTGTTCAACCGCCAAAGGATGGTACTGACGATCTGGGGCAGGTATGGCTTGCAGCGCGATCCAAGGGCGTTGACGACGGAGCCGAAACCGTTGAGCATGACAATGTCTTCCACACTTTGTTCCTGGAACGAGTGTAGAATACCATCGATCAAACGCTCCTCGAGACGCTCACCAATGTCTGCTGCGCCCAAACTAGCGACGATCTTCTCCACCGTCTCGACGGTCATCTTCCTGTAGGCTTCACTCTCATCCTTGAGGTTCACCACGATTCTTTCAAGAATTTCGCTGACACCGACCTTCTGGCCAATGTCGACAGTGGTCTCCACAACCTGTCTGTAGTTGCGCTTGTCCAAAGCCATTCTTCTCACCCAGAAGCTCTTGAAGAACTCGTCCAACACATGCTCCTTGAGGTAGCCTGCGGTAACACCATCAGTACCAGCGCACTGAGAGACAACCTTCAGGACAACCTTCTTCATCTCTTCGTCTGGAGAGGAAAATTCGCGAAGGAGAATCTCCATGATCTGACTGGTGTAGTAGTTGGCGTATTCCTCGTCCATGAGCGGAATGATGAAGCCAACAGCCTTGAGGAAACCAGCCAGACCCTTGCCTCTCTGTTTGCGAGCTCCTGTCCACAGCGGATTGAGAATATCGTCGAAGCTCTCAATACCGTAGGGGTTCGAAGCTTCGGCAAGCGCAGCAATAGCCAAACTGGTGACCGTCCTGACTTTCGTTTGCTCGTCGTTCAGGTTGGGACCGATGCAGTCGACCAAGCCCTTGAGGTGCGGTAGGACGGCGCAGCCCATTAGGATAGGGATTTGCTGCACAATCTTGACACCGGTATGACGGGCCTGCCATGACTTCTTGCTGCGACACACTGCGCGAAGGAAAGGTAGCAGGGCCGGAATACCAAGGGCAGATGCTACCACGGCGAATGCTCTTGCGGTGGTATTTCGCACGTACTCGTCGACGTGATCGATATCTGGTCTCATTGTGCTGATCATGGTGGCCAAGCCCGCCGCTTTACTAAGGTTGGAAATGATCTCACGACCTTCGACTCTGGCGTAGTAATCTTGGTCGATGAGCAGCGGCTCGATAACGACCAAGATCTTGTGAACATATGGCCGCACCAAATCATCCAGCTTGTAGAGAATACGGTCGATAACCTTGACGAGCAAGTGACGCTCCTGGTCTTCCAGAGTCTTCTCCATGAGCAGGGGAAGAATTTGGTCGAAGAGCGGACCGGCCCCAAACTGCCTGGCATTGTCGGTGAGCTGTCTCAGAGCAGTTTTACGCATTGGAGGAGTACCATTCTTGACTTTCAAGAGCAGTCTCATGATCTTCCTCTCCTTCATCTCGTCCACGCTCAAGCTGTTCTCGTCAGAGCCGTCGGTCAGCTTGCCGAAGTATGCCATGTCCTCGGCCTTGAAGAACTGCAGGTCGCCAATGCCCGGGATTTCTGCCGGCACAGGCTTTCCGCTCAACCTGACGGCGTCAGGATCCTGCATCATGAAACCAGTTTGCGGTGCTGGTGTCGCCATGAGCTTGTGAGCAGGCGCGCGAATCGGAGCGTATCCTGGCGGTGGCTCAAGAATCTTGTATCCCTGTTCTTCGCCCGGAAGAAGCGCGTCCAACTCTTCGTCACTGATGGCGGCGTTGCGTCCTGAAATGTCCGTTCCGAAAAACGTAGGCAACGCTGCGCTTCCCGCCTGCGACGGGTGCAATGGCGTGGCGAGACCCTGGTTTCCCATTGGAGTAGCTGAAGGGGCCTGATCCCATCTCGACCGTTTCTTTGGTTCTGCGGAGTCCAGAGAAGGGGCCTGGTCCCAACGCGAGCGCTTCGACTTGGCGGGCTCAGAAGGCTGAGCAGCTTCCTCATCAGCTGTCGTAGTCGCGACATCCCACCTCTTCTTGCGCTTCCTCCCAGCAGAGACAGCATCGGTAGCGCCGGCTTCCGCGTTTTCCTTATCGTCGTCCCTCAGAGTCGCCGGTGCGACGTTGCCGTCTTCTTCAAAACCATTCGCAGCCTTGGCCTGGATTTCCCTTGCGACGCGTTCCTCCTCTCTCTCAAGCTCTCTCCGCTGCATGATCTCGCGGTAGCTATCGCCGTTCTTGTTGTCTCCGTTGGCAAAGGCGTCAGTTCGGGAAGGGGAGAGACCGCGATCGAATCGGCGCTTTTGGTAGTCTGTCTCGCGATCGGTAATCCTGTTGCTCTTCTCGCCCCGGCCAGCCAAGGGGTCATCTTCTTCGACGCCATCGCCGCGTGCAAACTCGTCAATCATTTCACGCGATGCCGTGTACTGGCCGACGAGACGGCGCGTGTTGTCGGTGCCTTCCATCTCGTCGTCATCGTCATCGCCGGCCGGGATGGACGTGTTGTACCCGGCAAACTTGTCGACGCCATTTCGATCGTACAGATCGTTGTCGAAGCTATCGGTGAGTTTCTGCTTGGTGCCGGCGTCGGCACGTTGATTGTTCGGGTCGAAAGTGGTCGAACCCTTCTTCGCAGCGGCGGCAGCGTTGCGCTCCGCCTGGAGCTTCCGGACAGTCTCGAAGTCTGCGTCGGACATTTTGAATTATGGGCAAGGTTGCTTCATGTCACTTGAAGATGCAAGTGGGCGATCGACGATGGCGGCGCGCATCAGTAATGGTTGTTGTGTTGCTGATGAGGCTGAAGGGGGTAGCAAATGGCCGGGTCGCAGGAGAGTTTGCAATCTGCGCAGGCAAAAGCTTTGCTGTCGGCGACGCCACCAGAATTTGGGCGCCCGAATTTTAGCCGAGAACGCCAAGGCTGGGAGGCTTATGCACCTCAACCTCGGAGCATCCGCGACCGATGATCAACAAAGAAAGCGGCGTAAATCTGATTTTCCTCTGGCTTCACTTACATTAGAGTAGAGAAGAGATACTATCTTACGGTTTTGAATGGTTCTGCCTATATATGCCGATATACTAAACCTGCAAAGCTTTCTCTCCCAAGAATGGGAAGCTGGGTGCAGACAGCCCCTTGACAAGATATGCTAGAAAATTAGCTCGTCTTTCGAGCTTGCAATCGTGTTCTCCTCCGTTTCGGCGATGATTCCAGCAGGGCAGTGTCGGGCGCCTCATATTCAACCTCAACCTTGACCTTCGTCTTCACAACTTTGCGCTTCTGTCCCAAAATTGGCGCCTCTTGGTCAACGGTGACCTCCTTCTTCACTGTCACCGTCTGGTCTTCTTCCTTCTTCACCGTCCGCTCAGAAAATTTCTTGAGGTCTGCCGTGAAGAGCACAGAGTGCGCCCAGCCCGCATACTTGCCCCAGAGCTCCCTAAAATGGTCTCCCACGGCATCGTACATCGCCTTGTTGAACGTCTTGGTTTTGGTCTTGCCGAACTTGTAGTCACGCTGAGCAATCTGCCAGACGTGCGTGTCCACCGGCACGGCCTCACCCCAGCCCAGGCCCATCAGGCAGACGCAGTCGGCCACCTTGGGGCCTACGCCCGACAGTTGAAGCAGCTGTTCGTGTGCCTCTTTGTATGTGCACTTGGGCAGCTTGGACCCCTCGGCCGATTTGATGTAGCAAGGGTTCTCTGGGTTGGTGAGGCTCTCGAACCATCCCTTGGGCCTGTCGTTGACCACAATCGAGGCTGTCTGCGCAATGTACTTGGCGCGATAGCCAAACCCGAGTTCCCTCAAGTGTGCCTCAACTGAGCTTCCCGTTAGAGCCTCGGGCGCTGGGAAATCATGAAACGTTTCGTCCCCAATCTTGCCAATGAGCGGACCGTAGTGTAGACACAGCTTGTGAACCTGGGCAAATGTAAGTGCTGGGTTTCTTTTCCACTTTGCGACAGTTCTTACCATCTGTGATATCCTGGAGATATTGTTGTTACTACTGCAGATGAAACAAATCAAAGCCTCCCATGCGTCTTGGCTCAGCATCCGAACACCTCCAAACTCTGGCGCCCTCCTGCGAAAGTTGGCATCTGCTTTCGACCATTCCTCATACAAGGACTTTAGGTCCAACTTGAGGCTCAGGTAATGCCGTAGTAATTCCTCTGTGTCGTCTCCACTAGCTTCGCCGTCAAAAGTTGGAGGGGTGAGCGGATAAGTTGGTTTCGTAGGCCAAGTGACCTTATAATGCAAGTGAGTTGAATCTTGCTTTAATGACACAATTCGACCATACAACGTGCAGCACCTAGTCAAATTTTCAGCGAACTTGAATATTTTTACATAGAGTTCAATGCAACTGACCACATATCATTGACTTTCCGCCATCGAAAAGATTGGCCACATCGAAGAGTCGTGTCGACGCACAGCTCAGCCAGACTGAGCGGCAGTTTTCGCCATTCAGTCACCCTGGCTAAAGACATAACTTGTTGTACTTAGAGACCAGAATTTTCGATGGGTGACTTGGATAAAGGAAAGTGTCTCTGCAAAATACTAAGGCTTCAACTAAGGATAGAAGAGAAGGCCAGACTATTCGGTACGAAGGTGGGCGATTTACATGAAGTTGAATAAAAGTCGCCGCTGAGGCTGATCACTTTGCGAGTTCTTCCCCTGAACGGACTGGCCGATTCAGAGGTCCGTCGCCACCTATGCACTGGTCCTTGTGGAAGCCATCAGCCACAAGCGCTAAGCCACACCACAGTGCAGCCCATGATGAAGTCTGGGATGCAGACGACCGTGCACACTGTCTTTAAACACAGTACGCAAGCCCCCACACCTCTTCGCACTCAACCACGAGCATCACGGTTCTACTGAGCGGCTCATCACACCCTAGCATCCAGTCCAACCGCCCACCATGCTTTTCTTCAGGTAGGTCTCGAAACTCACCAGGTGAACGCGATATCACAATCGCTTTCAAGCTCAGAGCTGCGCCCCGCGCGCGGTAGGTGGTGCAGTCACTGACCTTACGCCACTAGTTTCTTCAAGACGCTCATCGACCACGAGGTCACCGTCGAGCTCAAGAACGACATCCAGATCCGCGGCATCCTCAAGAGTGTCGACCAATACCTCAACATCAAGCTGGAAGAAATCTCCGTCGTCGAGGAGCTCAAGTACCCGCACCTGGTCAGTCTCCCCCTTGCACCTTGGCCCTCATGCACCCTTGTTCGGCCACAGAGCCAGCCCGGGGAATGTCGCTAACGAAACTGTGCAGAGCTCTGTCAAGAATGTTTTCATCCGTGGCTCCGTTGTTCGTTATGTTCACTTGCCCGCTGGCTCAGTAGACGTGCCCCTCCTGGAGGACGCAACGCGCAGAGGTGAGTATTGCGTTTTCATCACATCATCGCAGGTAGAGGGACAGCGCTAACGCCATCACAGAGGCTGCTGCCCAGGCCGCAAAGGCGAAATAGGCCCTGATTTTAAGGGTCGTAGGGGTTGGGATGGCGTGTGTGAATCATAACGACATGGCCGGGGCACTGAAAAAGCCGGTCTACGTTTGGGGTTGAATGAAGACCACAACCTCACGACGAGGTACACGTAGTCAGCGGTTTTCTTGGTGTATGGCAAGACTTGAGCGGGCAGTGCACTGCGGAAAACGAATAGAGGGGATATGATATCCAGACAGAGATCTACGAAACAAATCAAATGTTCAACGGGAATTGTGCCCACCACATGGTATTCATTAGTCATTATGCTATTCTGACGAAGCAAGCAATCACCACCAGACGCCTCCTCCACGACTATCTTTGCCGCTCCATAATGAAACTTCTTTACCTTCGCCCTCTTCACCCTCTAGAGGATGGACGAGTCCGCCCTTCCTCCTCTCAGACAGCCATTTGTCGATCCAGCCCTTCATCCTCTTCCTCGATACTTCGCTGCCGATATTGACCGTTGGTACTACCTTATCGATGCGCAAGGACATCACGAACATGGTCAGCTCCCGGAAACTGCTATGCTCACTGTATGGCACTCCGAAGCACATGGCTTCTTTCGTGCTGCCACGTTGCGCAACGAAGTCCTTTGCCCCAAACCGTGGCCGCCAAGCCTTGCCTTGAAGAATTTGTGTCATCGGGATCGTGCCAGGTTGAGTGCTAGCCGTCACCGCCTTGCTGGCACCTTGTGGACGATAGTTCCAGCCGGAAGGACGAAACCCTACGATACGGCTGAAATGCGGCTTATACCCATTGAGGTATTCTTGTAGTGTCTCGGCTCGGATTTCCATCAGCATTTGCATGTGAACCTGAGCTTCGTGTGGATTATCCGTCATAAGTGCCGCCAGCTCCGGGTCTCCGAGTTTGGACACGATGCGGATCTTCGACTTGGACGCAAATATCTTGCTTCCTAGAGCTTGTGCAATAGCTTTGCAAATACGCTCCTTGCCAATCGAGTAAGTGCCGCAAATGACAAGGAGACGTTCCTTTGGTGCGTTTTTCTTTTTCGCCTTTGCGGCGGCGTCGTCCGCATTTGTCTTCGTGAAGAATTTGCTGACCGTCTCCGTGCCAGCCTCTCTGTTGATCTTGTCCCAAGTGTTATCCTCCAACGTCTGGTCTGGCGCAAGTGACTTACACATGTCTGCGCATGCCTTAATCACATCGTTTTGAGGCGGGAAAGAATAGCGGGGGTTGAGGTAGGTCGTATCCAGATAACAGACATCAATCTTTTGCTGCTTGAGTTTGCCTGATGTCGAATCTTGTATGTCGGGCTTGAGCAGAGGATGAGCGACCTGAGCTGGACAGGCTCTGAAGTCGCCGCAATGCAGAATTCTCTGCTTCCTTGCATTTTGCCCCTTCCCCATTGTCTTCTCGAACAGAAACAGGGAGCTGCCGGGGCAATGGTTGGCAGGGATCATAGTCACTGTCACACCCTCAGTGCCCGGGACCTCCTCCGTCTGATTGAACTCCAGAGCAACAACCCACTTGGCAGCAACTCGTAATTGCATCTTTACCAGGTCTCCGGTGACTTTGCTGCAGTATATCGGGCCGTGCGTCCAGGTGGAAGTCAAGCCAATGTAGTGATCACTGTGAAAATGGCTCAAGAAGTAGGCATTGCATCCCTTCACTGCACCGTACCTAAAGGCATCTACACAGATGTAGAACCCGGGCATAATCTTGTAGAAGGGACAGGTCCGTTGATACGCGGGCTTCCCACGCGATGAGTGCTCTGCAGCAGCGGCACCGGCCCACGCAGCGTCTTCAGCATGGCCTGACATCAACTTGGTGAAGGCTGAAGCCGATTTGGTCTGAACCTCGCTAAGCTTGAACGGGTTCGCCTGACCCTCTCGTGGTACTGCTGCGCGCGCGAGTCGCTTGTTGACTTCGGGAGCATCGAGTATTGGCGGTCTTGCGACTTCGTCTTTGATTTTCTTGGTCTCTTTGGGCTGAGGAAGTGGAATTGGGTTGCCATCGAGGCAAGCGTTTACATGTCGTGTTGCTTCGTCAGGTGTGATGCCGGCAAGTGTACCGTCGCAGATGGGACAGTTGGCCACCATGGCATCGCTCGGACGTATGGGGTCGGCTAATTCGTCACAAGAATAGTCACCCCTATCTGCAGCCTCGGCTTCTGCTTCCAAACGATCTTGCTCCTCCATGAACTGCATCATGCGGTACTCTTCGCCGCCGAAATCTTCGTCGTTGGGGAAATCGTCTAGGTCACCAAAGTCGTCAACATTTGTAAATTCGGCGTCGATCGAGTTCTCAACCTTCAATGGCGGTGGCGGGCAGCTCGTTTCTTTCGCTGGCGGTTGTGCCTCCTCCTCTTCTTCCTCCTTTAACTGAAACAGCGGCGTAGCTATATTGTCTTGCTTCGTTGCGAGAGACATCGCGTCATCCTCCGGCTTAACCGGTGGCACAACGGGCGGTCGATTGCGAATAGCGCCGATGAGACTTGATTTCCTTGCTGGAGCTGTCGAATCCTCTTCTGATTCACTGTCGGACTCGTCGAGAAAAGGGCCTTTCCGCTTAGCTGACGCCTTCCTAGAAGGCTTCTCTGTTGGTGATGAAGGCGGTGGTTCGGACACCACCGGGCTGTTAGAATCCCTTGCGGCTGACTGTTCCCCTTCGTGATTCTCAGCTTCTTGACTTAGCCGCCGCTTTTTGTTTGGCGCCTCAACTTCATTGAATCTCTCCTCCTCCTCCCATGGTTCGGCGTCGTATATCTCTGGCACCTCATCATCTTCCTTTAGGGGAACAACGAGCTTTTCGTGGCCATCAATGAACAGCGTCTGCTCAGGCTTTTCGGCCTTTTGAAAGAAGCTGAGAATACTGGCATTGGGCTTTCCAGCAGGCTTTTTCGAAGGAGGCAACCTGGTCAGCGGTTTTTTTGGAGTGGTCGTAGGCCGCTTCCGCGCTGCCGATGATGGAGGGCCCATTTCGCCACACGTGCCCAAGAAAAGGGTACTCTTCTCAAGAAATCCGAATTGTTCAGAGTTCTGTTATGGTAATTTCTGTCGAAACCGCAATCTATACTCGCATTGAGCTGCACGAGTTGAGAGGCGAAGTCTGGGGGTGAAGTCTGGACAAGGAGTGAAGTGGTCAAAGAGTAATGACGTTGGGACTAGGACTCTCTAAAACACGAAAATCGCGGGGTCTCTTCGAGTGCGTCGCGAAGTCACGTGCTCTCACCCAGATTAAAGTGCCTGGTCTTAGCTCCGATGCAGGGTCTGGTACTCTATCTCCTTCTGAAAATGGTCCCAAAGCCCTACCTCACCGCCATCGTTGTCTACTAACAATAATCGCTATTGTTTAAACTCAGTTGCATCTTTAACATGCTGGCATACTAGCGGGAGCCGAGCCACGTCAGACGCTGGAGAACACGCCTAGCGAAAACGCAAGGCGAAGCCCGCTGCCCGTATGTATCTCACCCACACGCACTCATTATATCATACGGTATAAGCGACTCTTGAACAATGGTCATGGAAGCTGAGGGAGCTCCCTCGTTGTAATGCTTGATTGGTGTGCGATTGTGTCTAACTAAACCAAAGCTTGCGCTCCTTCCTTTTCAATCAACCGAGTGATGGTGTCCAGGGAGACGAAGCACACATCTTGAAAGACCGAGTCGAAAGAAGTGCCTGTGTACCTGTGATGGAAGCCAGAGGAGTGAGATAGCTCTGTCCTGATTCGAATCCCCACAGCCCTCCACCTCTCTAATAGTGGTAAACATACACAATACCGGGAGCCCGAGCGGCGGCCTGGTATCTGCTCAATATGAGCCTAAATGAAATCGCACTGTCGGATAAGCCTTGTATACCGCGTACAGGGTTACCGGTGCAGTGAAGGTTGCCATCGCCACACCGGTGCTCTGTCCAGGCGGGGTCTCTTTGGATATCGTAACCACCTTGCGCTCGAGGTCAAATAGTAGGATCTGCTGCCAAACGTAAGACATGGAGCCAAAGTTTGCGATCTCTTCGGATAAGCGGTGTCGGTGACAGAGATCAATCCGTTCTTCCGACCTCGACTACCCACCCAACCTTCGGTTAGGTTCTCCCTTTCACATCCTTAAGCAGAATCGATCAATTTACAGCAATTGATACTTCGTCACCCTCAGAGCCTCACGGTTCGAACCAACTACCCTGTGATAGGGATACCAACAGAGCCCAGCCTCTACTTTATCGCAAGATCTATCTCGCCATCGGGATCCAGTCGGCTTCAACATCTTATCGTTGATCGAGCTCCGTCTCAAAGTGGACAAAGTCAAGATACACCTTGAAATGGTCTTTTCTTGCCGCCTGAGACGGACTATGGACGATATCAGCTTGCCGTCGACGTGGCTGGAGATGGAAGTTATTGGAGGAAGTGCTGTTAGTACTGGCCCTTGCTGTCGAAGTACAGGCCAGCTAAGGAAGGCACTCTCAACATTCGAGGCAGTTTCGATCAACTCTCCAGCCCTCCCGTCCACTAATCGCCGTTCCGATGGCTGCCGAGGAGACTGCGTTCCAATACGCCTGCTTCGACCTCCTTCCGCCAGAAGCTCGCTGCTGAAGGATCCCACCCTCCTACACTACCGCCGAGATCTAGCAAGCAACAGGCGACCGGATCTCCAACTTTCACCAGGTCTCTTCTATGGCAACCTTACGGATTAGACGAAGTCTCTGCCCACAGCTGGCATCTTCTGTTTACTACGAAAAAGCGGTCGGCCCAGATTCCTCGGACCCCCCCCTTCCCCCGCCTTCGTGACTCCTCAACAAATGGAACAGCAATCACGGCAAGTAGCTCGACAGGCAGGAAAGTGCCAGAAACTTCCCCTCAGTACGCCAACGCAAGCCGCTGCTTGGCACCCATCGAGTCACTTCCATCTACCGTAGCCACCTCGACGGCATGGATCTGTTTGGCCGTTGCGAGATAGTCCTGTGTCGGCGACGAGCGGGTTCTCGTCCTGCAGCCACTTCGGCGACAATCCCACCTTTTGCCAACTCGATCGCAACGGCAAGGGCCAGGCCGCTCACACACAAGCTTAAGATGCAGGCGCCAAGTCGCCTAACGAACGTATACGCCTCTCGGGCTTCGGCTTGGAGGGAAACGCACGTTTTTAGGGGCGTAGTCAGACCGACAGAAAGCTCCTTCTCACGCATAATTAATCAATACGCGCGTTGGAAGGGAGAAATATGGGGCGCTTTGGAATTTGGATCTTTCTTGTACGACAATTCCTGCCGGAGTGCTGCCAAAATGGAAAAGGGCATTCAGGAAGGTCAATTGTCTGATCGAACGTCAAAACCACCTGATTTTATAATTCAATCAAAATGAGATTCGCCATGCTAATAAATTGCATGGGTTGTTTTGATCGTATGAGGGGTGACGAGGTTATTATCTCGAGGTAAGAGGTGGTTCTCAATTCTCCTCTTACGACAACTATACAACTATCCCAAGCGTAATGGCCCATCGACGTAAACTCCAACACCGGGCTCCTTCACTCATATCTCACTCCGTCGTTCACCATGAGCAGAATATAGGTCTATCTCAAACAAGACTCATGGTTATCTCGGCACACTACTCGCTTCTGTATCGCTCAATGAACTCGGCCACTTCAACAGCCCCATGCGCCCTTGCAACTTCAGCTGCTGTTCCCTTGACCTTGAAAGGTACCCTCATCTTCGTCGGCATGACCTGCTTATCGATGCCCAGATCTAGAAGTAACTTGACGCACTCCATCTTGCCTGTCCTCGCCGCATAGTGTAACGCAGTGTAATCCCCATCTGCCTTCTGATCCAAATCGTGGCCACAGCCAAGAAAGAAGCTCGCGCAGACGGCGCTTCCGCCACTCAATGCCCATATGAACGCATTCGTCCCTTGAGGCGTTGTGTATGACCACTGAGCTCCGTGCTTAAGCAGGAGCCTTACCATGGGTAGCGAGCCGATCTGGGCAGCCGCCATGATCGGAGTCGCTTTGCTGCTCCCCTTCGCCTCTACTTTGGCCCCATTCTCTAGCATAAGCCGGGTTATCAGGAAGTCCTTGGCCCATACTGCCGCGTGGAGAGGTGTATCCTTGCTAGATGACTTGGCATTTAGATCGGCCTTGTATTTGACCAATAGCTTGGCCAGCTCCAGCCAATGCTGCGTCGCCGCAAGATGGAGAATCGTTATATCGTTGCCTTTTGCGTTGGGATCCGCGCCAGCCTCGAGAAGCTTTGTCGCGATACTCAGGTCCGGATTCCATGCGGCGTGCCACAGAGCAGTCGGGACCGTGTTGTCCTTGGAAGTCTCTCTCGCGTTTACGTTGGCTTTATACTTGATCAGAACGTCTATGGCGTCTGAGTGCTTCTTTCTGACAGCGATGAGTAGCGGCGTTCGACCCTGAGCGTCTCCCGACAGCGGTAGTTCGAGTGTCTTTGCCGCCTTGGTCATGATCTCGAGCTCCTTCGCGTGCCCACTCGAGGCAAGCTCGTGGATTGGAGTGCTGCCGTTTTTCCAAGCCCCAAGCGTCGGATCGGCACCTCGCTCGACGAGCAAGCGGATTGTTTTCAGGTCGACATTGGCCCTTTTGCCATCCTTGTCTGCGGGATGGCACGCCTTGAAAAGGGGAGTCTGACCCCATTTGTCTCGAGCATTTGGGTCTGCCCCCTTATCGAGCAAGTACTGCACAACAATATATGCAGAAATCCTCACGGCTGTGTGTAGGACCGTGGTCCCATTGGCATTCCTGATCTTCCAACTGGCCCCGCTCGACAACAGCGCCAGCGAAGTGGGAATCTGTCTTCGGTTGAGCGCTTGATGCAAAGCTGTATCTTGGGCCGTGTTCTGGACATTAACGTCTGCTCCGGAAGCAATAATTCGGTCCAAGACGAGCAGAAATCCCTCGCGAGCAGCGACGTGTACGGCTCGGTCACCGCGGTCTCCTAGAGCTATGTTTACGGAGGCGCCTTGGGCCAAAATGGGCTCAAGGTCCTCAAGTCTCCCTCCTCGGACTGCATTGAACAGATCATCGGCAAATCGCTTGCCTGTTGTGTTAATCTGAGTATCCGATCTACTCTTCTTCAGCTCCGGTGGCGGCTGTAGACCCAGTTGAGGCGTAGACCTTGAGGCGGCGATTTGGCTTTTCAACAATTGATCCAGGATTAGTTTAAGCGTCCCCTCAATATTGTTGACCCCCTTCTGCACATTGTTGACGTCCTTCTCTACTTTGTTGCCAGTGCGCCTACCACTCGTTAGATTGTTGCTTTATCTTGATCAGCACCCAGCTCAAGGACATACGCTTGCAATGCTTGCATCATGATGCCAAGGTTGGCTTTTTGGGCTTGGACACTTTGCGCAGCATCTGAAAATATCTCCTCTTTCCATAAGAACTTCGTCTTATCCCACTTTCCCATGCGCGAATTGCTTTTGCTCTGTACCTTGCTGACTTCTTTGTCCAATTCTTTCAGCGTTTTCTCCATGTTCTCCATGCACGTATCAAAAAGCTGCCGCATCGTACACTCAATGCTGTTTTTTCTCGGGTTCTTGAGAGCGTCGGTCTGTGAGACATGCTCTTTCAAGTTGAGACACAGAACTCTCGTCCAGTTGCACTCGGCGATGATCTCGTGTACAGCCTGGGGGGCATTCTTGTACTTTTCCACGAGCCCTTGAATCTGGCGGGCAACGCCGAAAAGGTCAACAACACCCGTTATGATGCCGATGGGATCCATCTCGTAAGGAATGCCGGACGTTGAAGCAAGGTTGAGGCTACCCCTCTCTTGAGTGCAAGCATGGGGTGAAGGTGAGCTTCATATAACAGCGGAGAAACAGCATCGTGGTGCATCGCCTCAGCTAGTTATCTGGTCTGCGGCCAATCGTAATAGTGGCTGGGGCTGACATGCATCAATGTTACCCACCGACGAGGAATTCACAAGGCTGCCTCTCAGTTCGGTATCACTATAGTAGTGTCTTTTCTCGAGAAGAGGGGAGGGAGGCCGTCGTAGAGGTCAAAGTTCAGCTATGAAGACGTTTCATAAATTATATGACCGAAGTGTTGGTGATCACAACCTAGGCGCTTTTGTTGTAGGAAGCCGGCTTTGATCCGCTGTTCTGCCACGGACTAACAGCTGTCGTTTGCCGGCATGCCGGAAAATCTGGCAACTTTCTGTTCGTTGATGCACCTTCCGTTTGTCGAGGAGCCTCGAAGGCGGATAATCTTGACTGACCGCAAATTCGTAGTCAACAGAGGATGCTCGTAGTGGGAAGAGGATTCGTTCAGCCCTCACGGTTACCATAGAAGAGTTATGGTGGAAGTTGGAGATCCGGGCGATTGTTGGGTCTCGGCGGTGGTGTAGGAGGGTGGGGTCCTTCAGCGGCGAGGACGATCTCCGGCGGGAGGAGGTTTTGAAGGTGCAATTTTTCTGCGGCGAGTAGGCGGAAGAAATCGAGTGTCCACAGGCATTAGAACGCGGGAGTAGCGCCTGTCGAGGTGACTCTTCCGCTTCCGCGACGGAAACCTGGCGGAAGGAAGTCGGACGGCGCACTGGAACGCCGTCTCCCAACAGCCAGCGGTCCGGCGCCAAGGTCTCGTCGAGGGGAGGTTGTTTAGTACAGAACGGATCGCGCGTATATTGAGAAAACTAGCTAGAGAGAGCAGCAATAGCGACAGCGATAGCATCAAGACTGGCTGGAAAGAGAGTAGCAGGAACAGTGATAGTAAAGATGCTAGGACTGGATATTGAATGGTAAGTGTGCTAATGTTCTATTGAATTTAGTGAGCACCGCGTGGTGTTTAGTGATACTACTGGTAATCCAGCTTGTATTTTGATTGAACTTTCAGATAGTTACTCCTACTGATTTCTAAGCGGAGCACTGAAGCTGTGGACTACGTTTTTCGGCTTCCGTTTATCTGTTTATCTGGTGAAATCGCATCCCTTTCCTTCTGGCGCCTCTTGAGCGAAGGAAGCATAGAATGAACGGTTTGAACAGCTCCTAGTGTCTGGCGTGCGGACTTGTCGTACGACTAAGTTGTTTGAGCTTGTATGCCATTCATCCGACTCGGTGTTTGACTACGAATGTGCTAATGTATGGGGAAGCCCACTTTGTTAAGAATATTGTCACCAATTTGACTGGTTAAGGTGCGCGACATGAAGCTGTAGCAAAGATGCAGGTGAGGGGCAATGACGACATCCATTGAACATCAGTAGACAGGGACTGGGGTTATGATGAGAAGGTTTACCTCTCAATAACAAATCATTCGAACCGGCAGACTGCTCCGCCAGGAACATGAAGTGACTGATGGTTAGATGGTACCGACCATGGGCGCAATACCTGCACGCCGGAAAGTCCATGAGTGACTGCGACGCATGCTAAACCCAGATTCTAAGTTGGTCGCGCAAAGTGACCTCGAAGAAACAGGAATGGGTTCCGATGGCGGCGCCCACTGGGGGCTAGCGCTGGGCCGATGTCGATGCGTAATGTCCTCAGAGCTCTCACGAAATCCAGGTACGTAAACCAAAAGTTTTTATCAGAGCAGGGGCTGCTTTCATTCGCTGACGGTCTCATCGAGCCGTTGGTTGGCTTGTCCCAGTATGCCATGTATGTAGAAGTACCGTTGTAGAAGGGGGTTAGCTCTCAAGCACGTGCAAGCGCTTCTCGAAGAAAGATGAAGGAAACCTTGGCTCACTACTCCGTAGGAGTATCATCTACCTGGAATCCCCACGCCCAGCAGCCCCCAAGACACTACACAGTAAGACATCCCGCATTCAGTGGCAGGCTCGATGAGCTGCCTCCCAGGTTCATGGATGGGTTGTCTTTCTGTCAAGTAGGTAATCTTAGCTTTGGGGGCGGGGGAGTATCCTTACTAGGTGCTCACTCACACTCACTGATAAGTCGATGTACCTCACACTTCACTTATCTTACCTTACCATATGATGTGATGCACGGTAGAGAGCTGCCAGGAACGGATGCCTTATCTATATACAATATCGCTGACGTACCTACCTGTTCTCGTTTTATTATTCTCTCGTCCCATCTTGCGAGGTTACTCAAATAAAGTTGCGCACCCACGTTATTTTCCCTCGAGACACATTCCTACTCGAACTCACTCACCAAAACCACGAACCGCAGAACCTACATCATACCTGTAACCTCACAACTCGAACACGATGACCGCCGAAGTATCCCATGGAAGAGGTGGTGCCGGAAACATGGCCGTTGACGACACCCAGTATGTCGACGGCGAGGTCGTAAGAGCAGGCCCCGAGGGGTCCCATGGAACTGGCGCATTCAGCGCAGGTCGAGGAGGTGAGTCTTGACGCGGGACGAGTGCGCCCAGCGCATCGCCTTATCACCCAGTCCGCCAAGCGGCTTCGGCGCATTCGCCCACTTGGCCGATGCTCCGCCCCCAACCATGCTCACTCTCCACCCCACGATGTCTTTAGATGTTGCAACCACTTCACAATCAAACGCTTCGTGCTCTGTAGGCTAACTGGTTGCACCCTGCCCTTCAGGTGCCGGTAACATCGGTGATGCTAAGAAGGAGCCCGCTCCCCGCTCCGACAAGGACCTCATCCCCGAGGAGGCCTACCGCCCCTCCATGGAGGGCCAGGACTACCACGTCGGCCGGGGCGGCGCGGGCAACGCCGTCGAGACGGAGAAGTCGGCTGCACACAAGGACATTGATCACGAGAAGAAGGCTGCTGCGCAGGCTCGCGCCGACGGCCACTCGGGCGTCAGCGTCGCCGATAAGCTCAAGGCCAAGATTCTCGCACCCTTCCACAAGAAGTAAGAAGGAAATGACTGTTTAGTGGGAAAAAGCGCACGGAGATGGGAAATGGAGAAGGTCGGTAATTCTAGATGTTGATGTGCGTTTTTGTTGTTGTGACGGATGCTGGTTGGACCTGGGCTGGAAGTTTGTTTTTGACATACCCTTCAAGATATCCCCCATTTCATAGAAACTTTTTCGTGTCGGGACTTTATCCCGACTCCTTGAATGATATCCTGCCACTGGCACACTTATTTCTCCTGGCAAAATCCCCGTCAGACCAGCTCTCATCGTGTTCCGTTCAATACATCCATCCCAATATGTCGATCCAAATTTTGGTGAGCGCGGGTTGCGCGTGGATGGAAACACTCGCAACCAAGCCATCAAGACCTTCGTCACTGGAACGATGAGTCTAAATGAGAGAGTGCCCTTGGAAAAGTCCGAAACTTAAGTCATTACTCATTAGATTACGCAACTCATCCATGGATGGAAAAAAAGTCAAAAACATCGACGAAGACAAGATTCGAACTTGCGCGACCGAAGCCATGTGCTGGAAGCATCATCAGAGGATGACGTAATTCGAGGCACACCCATTAACCACTCTGGCACTTCGCCATTGCTTGTTTGATGTGGATCGATGATGAAATGTGGAATATATTGTCTTGTGTGTGGAGTTGGTGTGAAATCTCATGTGTGTCCTGTGAATATCAAACGAGTAAGTCTCGGAGATGCTCGGTGTGGAGAGAGAGATATGGTCAGTGCACTCGCGCTAGACCCAGTAGGTGGGCGGCGTAGTCGAAAACGGCAGAAACTCGGCAGGGTATGCCGAGCCTGTGTTCAGCCACCAATTCACCTTTCCAAACACCAACCCGAACCACACGTCAACCTTCAACTTCATCTTGTCGTGGAAGCATTGCTGCATCGAAACATCGACGGATCAGCTACTCGAGCTCCAATATCCTGTTTCACCTGGTCACAGGACAAACGCCGTAGATTTTATGGGTCTTTGGAATCGAGGCCCGTCTTCACGAAACCTTAAACTGAAGCGGTGAACTTTCGCGGAATGCAGACAGCTATCCGCATAGGTTTCTGAGATGTGACAGGTATCCTCAGCATCCGTATGGAGTACACACAGGCTGCCGCCGCCATTGCTATTCCCCAGATTCTTGGTGCCAAACATTCACGGCATAGATCATGGCGATGCTAGCGCATCGCCACATCCGCGCTCTGCAGTTTCCTCTACCGTCGACTCGATTTACATGCCGGTGATCGTCGCTCAGGGTCCAACGGGTCTTTGAAATGTGGTGGGCAGACACGCTTACTGGCGCGAAGAGAACCGCAGATCGCTCGGGCACTTGCAGAATGCCCGCCCCCGCAAGCCCCAATCCGGTTTGGATCGCCATGAAACCTCGCCTCAGTGCTTCGACGAGAATTGGGTTGCAACACACACAGCACTTGCGTTTTTGAGATAAACGAAAGTCAGAGGAACGTGGTCGGGTGCAGGATCCCACTGAACTGAGCCTTGCAGTTTGAACATGCGTCTCCCTCCGGGGGACGCCGCACGCGAATCGGGATACCTGTATTAAGTCTGCTTTTACTCAACTGTCAAACCAGTCCCTCCCCAGACGGCACGGCTGACAAGCCAAGAAATACAAAACCCTGGATAGTTGGAGAACCTAACCCGGTGAGGTACAGCTGAGCAGATCTGTACCGGCAATTCAGCTGCCAAAGGTCTCGAGTCCGTGGACAGCGTCGGTCAACGATGCTCGGAGTTTTCAAAGAATCCGGTGGGGTTGACACGCTGAATCGCGTTGACCAGGGAGGGCTTGCATGCTTATGAGGTCGAACGAGAGAAACACCATGGAAGCCGGGGAGGCCGTTGAAGAATTAAACAATGCAGTGGGATTCAGCCTCTTGCGGTGTAGGCAACGCAAAGTGCCAATGGCCATGGTGGTTGGAGATGGGGAATTTGTGGTGTACGATCAATGGCCAATCCCAAAGGCGGATATAGCGCATACCCATCGACGCATGCCGCCTATGGAATATCGGACGAATGAAGAACCTGGTTCGTCTCACAACGCATGTCGTTCAACGCGCATCCTCTCACGATAAATGGAGTCCATTGCCTCATAGCGCGATATGCTTCAAGCGTGGCAGCGGCGCTAGGAAGGAACACCGTCCCATCGGCGATGATCTAGTTGGATGCATCCATGTTTGCCGACGCAGCGCTTCCGAGATTGGGCAAAGGTTTTCGTCGCGACTGGGGGGTTTGGAGAAGATTTTGCGACTCCCTTACACACATTAGGTACTCCGTACAGACGCACAGGGAGGAGAGTGGTTGGGCGGAGGAGGTTGAGAGGGGAGATGCGATGTGATGAACGGCGGACAGCGGGCCTTTGGTGGCCTTGGCTCAGCTTAGAACGGCTCCGGCAAAGGAGCCGCGGCGCAGGAGACATGCAAAAAGGCAGAGAGCAACGAAGTAGGCATGGAGCTAGAGGCCCAGAGAGACCATGGAATGACACTGTCACCCTGGATGTCCATGTCCTTACCTCTCTGCTCTGGCCCGGCCTGCTTTCGACGACTTTTGCAACGCCATATAACCAACCACGCCGGCCCACAGCTGGATCTTGCAAACTTGACGACACATCAACCTGCCTCGCCTCGTTTTCTCGACTTGTTCTTGTTCTTCTTTCTTCTCGAACTCTTTCTCGCGGGTTCGTCCTCTATTCTGGTACTCACAGAAACCGCTGCGACCATATGTTGCTGCTCCCGCGAGCCAAAGACCGTTCTCATTACTCGCAAACACGGCGTATTCGGACTGACGCATAGCGGTCACCGTTTAACGACTCGTATAACCGCATTTCACAAGTCGCCTCTCGTCTCGGGCCCATGACGGCCAACATCCTGTATTCGGAATCGGCAGGCTCTCACAAGCGAAGACTCCATTGACGAGCCCAGTCTCGGAAAACGGTGTGATTGCTACCACAGCCTACAGCACAGTGAAAATTCGCCGAGTGGTTCAACTCAGCTGCAGCATCAGCATCAGCGGGGTCCGAATACAAGCCCGTTATCAACTCGGCGCTCACATTTGGCGAGGTGCCTAGCACTTGCGACGAGTACGACGCTTCAGTGCTAGGTGCCTTGCCCGAACTGCACCTGCATCTACATCCGCATTGGCATTGGCAATCCGCGGTCGCATTATCCGACTGCATTACCTACCTGCCTGGTTGGTAAGCTGTCTTCCCTAGGTAAAGGTACTCTGTGCTTGGTACCCCGTCCGAAGTGAGGTGCTCAACAGAGGTTGGCAGGTCTCCACGGGTTGTTCTGCAGCAGTGCAGCCTAAACTCAAGGCAGCTGCAAGTTGCAACAGACGAAAGAAACGGGGAAGAGACATTTCTCCAGTTTCGGACCATCTGGACCTTCTTCTGGTTGCGTGCTGCGACCGGAGTGCATCCGCCCGGTGAGACAAGGTGACAAGGTGACAGGACAGGGCCACACAGGCGCAGGAGTCAGCTGTCCGACCTTGCCCATCCAGTAAAGTTGCGCCGACCTGCGGCCTACCCGTGTCAGCCGCCATGGTTCCAAGACAAGAACAACACGCTCGACCACCGCCTGCACCACGCTTATGGTCGCGTCTTTCGACTCTGTCAAAACGCTCTTTTCGCTCCTTCACCTCTGACTTTGAGGCCGATGACGAACGTTCCGATACAGATTCCGACTACTTCGACAGAATGAGCGGCAGCAGTAGTGACGGTTTCCTCCACGGTCCAGGCCGTTACAAAGGCGAAGACACTCGTCCTACGAGCCAGAAAGAGCTGTCTGGTTGGTACGCCTACGCCTTTGCTGCCGAAACCTATGTCATCTGTGGTAAGCTTCCAGCCCATGGAACTGGATGTTCGTGCATGCGCTGACTGAGAATAGCTATCGGTAAGTCGTCACTGTCTGCCACTCCCATAGTCGAGCAGCGACATTCGTCGCTATAGAGTGATCAAGCTGTGGAGCCTGGACAGCTCGAGATGCTGGCGCCACAGCATTGCCGTGCACCCCGCCCCCCGAACTCGTTGCGCTGACACCACACGATGTTCAGGTTCCTTCATCCCGATCCTCCTCGAGACCCTCGCGCGCGAAAATGGCGTCCTCCTTTCTGATCGAACGACCCCGTGTGGTACGAGTGATTCGAAAAACAAAACTGATGGACAATGCGTCGTATATCCTCTGGGTATCGAGATCAACACGGCGTCTTTCGCCATGTACACGTTCTCCATCAGCGTCCTGCTGCAGGTTCTCCTTGTTGTGAGCGTCAGCAGTGCCGCAGATCACGGCAACTCGAGAAAGAAGCTTTTGCTCACATTCGCCTGGGTTGGAAGTTTCTCCGTCATGGCTTACATCTTTGTCAATAAGACCACCTATCTCTTGGGTGCTCTGTTGGCTATCATATCGAACACATGTTTCGGGGCCTCGTTCGTGCTCCTCAACTCATTCCTGCCACTATTGGTCCGGCATCATCCGGAGGTGATTGCGTCCGAGACTGTTCACACCCCCGACCTGGGACATTCGGACCTCGAGTCGCGACCCCTCAACGGTTCCTACATCGACGAAGATTCCGGCGCCGATGACATCGATGACCAGAATTCGGCTTTGCTCGGTGGACATGGAAATGGAAACGGAAGTGGAAACGGGGGCTACCCTTTGGTTCGGAAAGCTACCCATGAGGAGCTCACCTCAGTCGAGCTCCAACTGTCGACTCAAATCTCAGCCAAGGGGATTGGCATTGGCTACATTGCTGGCCTTTTCGTGCAGTGTGTCGCCATCGCCATCGTGATTGCATTGAAAAATACTACCTGGTCGCAAAGGGTCGCATTGTCCTTTTGCGGACTTTGGTGGGTATGTAGCGAGCTCTTTCTATCTCATCCCCGTCGCTTGGGCGCATTATCCACCGTTACTGATCATACTACAGGCAATCTTCACGATCCCTGCTGCCATGTGGCTCCGCCCTAGGCCAGGTCCACCAATGCCCATCACGTCAGGGAAAGGAATCCGAGCGTGGCCAACCTATGTGGCCATGGCATGGAAATCGCTGTTCAACACTGTCCGGCTGGCTCGTCGCCTGAGAGACATCGTCCTGTTCCTATGCGCATGGTTTTTGGTCAGTGACGCGATCGCAACGACATCTTCCACGGCCATATTGTTCGCGAAAACGCAACTCCACATGAAGCCTTGGGCCCTGGGTATGATCAATGTCATTTCCACAATAGCTGGCGTCATCGGTGCCTTCAGCTGGGCGTTCATCTCACGCAAGTTCAACTTGAAGCCACATCAGACAATCCTTGTCTGTATTGGCCTCTTCGAACTCATTCCTATTTACGGACTTCTCGGATATTTGCCGATTGTGCAGAGATGGGGCGTCATCGGACTGCAGCAGCCGTGGGAAATGTACCCTCTTGCTGCCGTATACGGACTGGTGTTGGGAGGCTTGAGTTCGTACTGCAGATCGCTGTACGGCGAGCTGATTCCCGAGGGAAGCGAAGCTGCCTTTTACGCTCTATACGCTGCATCGGACAAAGGCTCGAGTGTTTTTGGGCCTGCAATCGTAGGAGCCATCATTGATCAATCTGGTGACATCCGGCCGGCGTTTTGGTTCCTGGCGGCATTGGTTGGACTTCCGGCGCCTCTCATCTGGAGCGTGAACGTGGAGCGTGGCAAGCGGGAGGGCCAGAAACTTGCGGAGACTATTGAGGGATTCAAGAGTCTACAGGGAGAAACCGGCAGTGAGACAGAGGACAGCGACGACCGCCCGATCCTCAGCGCATATGACGATGATGAGGAAGAAGTCGAACACGAGCATAACCAGACGAGGGGTAATTGAGCCTCAATTAAGGGGCGATACTGCATAGCAACGGCGTAGGTCAATCAAGTTAGCGATATTGCATGTTCTACTCAAAGCGCCAAGTAATGAACAGTCGACTTTGTTGTTGTTAATTCTCGCTTGTCGTCTTTACCGCCTTCAATATCCTCGCCGCCTCCTTCGTGTCCCCTATCTTCTTTGTTACTCTTTGAACCCCCGCTCTTCTGTTCAAATTGGCGTTGGAATACTCGGGAAAAGGGAGCTAATTACGAGGATTGGTCTGCTGACTGTCGACTTTGCATGAAGATGAGACTGCTGGCCTTTCGAGCCACCTCTCTAATAAGACGGCATATCGATAATATAAAAGCTTACGGAAAATGAAAGACGAGACGGATGCCCGATATTGAAGTTAGATTCAGGCGCATTGCTGTAGCTATATAGCCAATCAGATAACGGAGAAATAAGTGTCGGCGCTTGTTGTGGGAACCTCGGAGGCAGACCAGGATTTGATGGTTCCCTCTGGATGTGCTGGGTCGCTGAGGTGGGTGGCAGTGGACGCTCGTCGGAGGTACGCCGCGCTCACGTGACTCAGCAGAATAATCATCCTGCGCCACCTTTTTTTCGCTGGTTAGCAAGAACGCGCTCCGCTCCTCGTCCCGGAATTGCCAGATACTCAACCCGCGATTTTCCCATTTTTGCGCATCGTGGCCATCATTGGTCGTCGATATCCGGCCTGGACCATCCTCCGGCTTGCTAGAGTATTTGCACTCTTGTCAAAGTCAACGAGAGCGCCCATCTAGGACGGCGCGCTTGCCACACAGCTTCATACCCACCCCCGGTCTTTTGGGCGACCCATCCGTCTTCCAGCCACCCCGTGCTCCTTCCCTTCGGTCGCGACATCCCAGCGAGCTTTTTGCACACAACGTCATTCGTCTCGGACACCGTTAATCGAAATCGCGTCACCTCGGTCGCTTCCATACCCGCGATAACATCGCCGCATTTGCGTTTGCGACTCCGAACCTCCTCCTCCATCAATCATGTCTACTTCGCGCAAGCGCCCTCGCGCCGAGGTCGAGGAAAACAAGGCCGAATGCCCCTTCAGCATCACCTATGCCGAACCCGACATCAAGGCACAGAAGAAATCTAAGAAGAGGAGGAAACCAGAGCAAGAAGAGGAGGACGGGAAGAAGAGCTCCAAGCAACTCTCTCCCTTCTCCCCTTCCGGTGACTTCAACGGCAAGAGCGCCAATGATGTTCTGGACCTGGAATATCATGTGCACCCGCAGAAGAAGTGGTTGGAGATGACGCGATACAATAGCTTTGTCCGTAAGTTGTTCAACAACAATCCATCGGCGATGGCCTTGCACTAACAGACGCGGGCGACAGTAAACGGGACGAAGTATTTCAGTGAGGGCTTTATCTATGTCGCAAACGACCAGACAGTCCAACGTCAAAAGGCCGCAGCGGAAGGCTCGACAGATGCCAACGAGCCGGAGAAGGTCCTGAAGCGGTCCAAGTCTGAAGACGACTGGGTAGCGCGCATTCTGGAGATCCGCGCTAGTGACGAACACCACGTCTATGCGCGCATATACTGGATGTACTGGCCGGAGGAGCTGCCAGAGGGCACGATGGAAGGAAAGAGATACACGGGAGGTCGTCAGCCGTACCACGGTCACAACGAGCTGATTGCTTCCAACCATAGTAGGTTCTATGCTTCGCGAGACATTAACCTCCAGTACTGACGAGAAGCAGTGGATATCATCAACGTCGTTAGTGTGACATTGCCCGCCACCGTCAAGCAATGGATTGAAGAGAACGACGACGAGATCCAGGAGGCCCTCTACTGGCGTCAAGCCTTCGATTGTCGCACCCAGCAGCTCTCGGTATGCACAACCCCTCGGAGCTAAGATCGGTCGTTTGAGGCTAACCCGTCATGCAGTCAGTCGAACGCACCTGTAAATGCCGGCAACCCGCCAACCCGGATAAGACCCTCGTCGGGTGCTCCAACAAGGAATGCGGCAAATGGCTACACGAGCACTGTCTTCGAGAAGAAACCCTGATGCGAACATACGAGAGACTTGGCAAGGACAAGCCCCACTTTACCGCGAAACCCCCGACAGACGGGACAGCGTCAGTCGCTGAGAGCGAAAGGGTCAAAGACGAAAAGCAGCTCGATGACGGTGTAAACGAACCTCTCAGCCCGACCGAGAGCGGTGCCGATGTGAAGCAAACAATCGACGCCAAGCCGAGCGATGCGCCGGAGGAGACCAATGGGCAGTCAGTGGCCGAGGGAACACCTGCCGTTGTCGATGAGCGTGTTTCGCAACCACCCACAACCCCTGCCACGCTAATCGTACCCGATGTGTCGGCGGCGGCGTCACGCAAGGCGAGATCCGCCAAGAAGAAGATTTCCTCCACCGATGCAAAGCCGTGGGAAGGTTTGTTCGAGGCGAGGATCTTGATGGACATGACCCCGTCGACAATTGAAATCAGGGACGTTCGGGAGAATGTCACCGAAGGCGAGAAGGTGTGGACTGAGCCGCTGCTCTGCGTCGTTTGCGGAGTGGGGATCAGCTAAATAATCGGCCTTGACATGGCTGCCAAATTACCGATCGATCCCTTGAATAAAGGATCATTTCCCAACACGCCTACGCGATGATGGGGTGCCGAGCTTCACTTCTCGCTGTACTTATTCCAGCAGGCACCTTGTTCAACACACCGACTGGCGATGACTTAGGAGGTGCCGCTGTTTTGCTTATGACGATCTCCAGTATGACTGGGTTCGTAAATCGACCCTGAAAACAAGTATTGGGAGAGGAATAGATGCCAAGAGGCATGTTGTAGGGGACGAGAGAAAGGCCTGGGCAGGCGGGGCGAGACGCGGACAACTGAAGGCGAGTCTCGGGGAAGAAGACTGGTTATTCGGGAGTGGCTGAGTTTTATTTTTCGCGCGAGGCGTTGGCGAATGGGGGGCGGGGGATTCATCTCGCAACTGAGTGAGGTTGGCATATGGAATAGGTCTTGGTATATCCTCAAGAGACAGAAGGACGCCAACCAAAGGGGACAAAAAGTGTGAACAAGGCCAGCAGAGCGGCCAATTTGGAGACCAGAGTCTTGCGAGCAGTTTCCTAGAGCTTACATGGTTTGTGGTCAAATGTTTACCTTATCCTCTTTTACTTTGCATCAGCCATTGCCATGATTGATTGATACTTGCTTGATTATCTTGGGGTGCCTTACACGTTCACTGTGACTATTGCTATCCAACACGAGGAGCTCCAACAGCTAAGGATACAGTGGAGAGCTTTGCTGACTCGAGATGTAGGTGACAACAGCTCCAAATACTACCTCCCTTTGTCCAGCTAGGTAAAGAGGTAGATAGGTAGGTGCCTCAAATTATGACGTGCATTTTGTAGCTCCATGCCTCTTCAACACAAGGTGGTAGGTGCAGTCCAGAGCTCACCCTGGCTGTGGGGTCCTGGGGAAGTCACACCCAGGGGCTAAGGACCGTCTACCCCGCCAGACCTTCCGCTAACAGTAACACTCCAACCTCAAAGATCACCCAAATCCAATCGACACCGCCACCCTTTCATCGCCAACGACTCCGAACACGCTCAAAGATAACCTCCTCCAACGATAGATACCAATACAAAGAGCCCATAATGGCCTCCGTCGACCCTTTCGACTCGGCTCTGTAAGACTGCAGGCAGCCCCTCCCCCCCAAAACGTCATGCACCAAAGCAAATCATCTCTAACCTGCCGCGTGTCTGCCCGTCTAGCGACCTCCTCCGCCGCCTGAACCCGAAACACACGACCGACCACCTGAATGCAATCATCTCCCTCGCACCGGATCTGACGGAGGACCTCCTCTCGTCCGTTGACCAACCCCTGACTGTCAAGCGCTGCAAGCAGACGGGCCGTGATTACCTCCTCTGCGACTACAACCGCGACGGCGACAGCTACCGCTCCCCATGGAGCAACCAGTTTGACCCACCTCTGGATGAGGGCGGCGTCGGCGGTGTTGGTGCCGGTGGTAGTGAGGGTGCCGGCGAGGGCGCAATCCCCAGCGAGAGGGTCCGCAAGATGGAGGTCAAGGCCAATGAGGCGTTTGACGTGTACCGAGACCTGTACTACGAGGGTGGTGTGAGCAGCGTATACTTTTGGAACCTGGACGATGGGTTCGCCGGCGTGGTTCTCTTGAAAAAATGTAAGGCTTCTCCCGTCCCCATTGAGTTCACGTCTGCGATCAGGAGCAAGCCCATTAGCTGACAGAACATCTCCCAATCACAGCCGCGACGCCCGGCGGAAGCGCAGAGGGCGTATGGGACTCGATCCACGTCTTCGAGGCCATTGAGCGCGGCCGAACAACGCAGTACAAGCTCACCTCGACCGTCATCCTCTCGCTCTCTACTTCGACCAACGCCCTGGGCGACATGGACCTCAGCGGCAACATGACACGGCAGGTCGAGCAGGAGCTTCCGGTCGACGGCGACGAGAGCCACATTGCCAACGTGGGACGGCTCGTTGAGGACATGGAGCTCAAGATGCGAAACCTGCTGCAGGAAGTCTACTTCGGCAAGGCCAAGGACGTCGTCGGCGACCTGCGGAGCGTGGGTAGCCTTAGTGAGGCTGGTAGGGACCGCGCGGCGCAGAGGGAGATTATCGGGAGCATGCAGAAGTGATGAGCCCCCAGTCCGGTCCTGCTTGAGCTCATCAAAGTTGTATCCTAAAGAATTGGAGCACAATTGATACCCCGCTCATGATATTGCGGGCATTGAGGTCTATGGTAGATGAGTAACACGGAGGCGTGGCGCTAGATATTGAGATCGGGTTGTACAGTTTTGTTTCCCAAGCCGGGCTTTTCAAAATCTCTCAGGATCGGCTCTCAATGTTGTGCGTCATTGGCGTCGGGATGGAGAAAAGCAACGATTGGGATTACCTCTCTCTTGTCTTGAATCCCTAGATCCCTGGCAGATGCATTTTCTTGCTCCGGCAGCAGTGCTGTAGGCATCACCCCATCCTCCCCATCCCCCCCTTTCTGAGCGAGAATGAGCAGGCGATTAGAAAAAGATGGTGGTTGAATTGCAAAAATTCGTGTTACTCTTTGTTCATGAGTGATTTTCCACTACAGTGTCCCTTGTCTAATGCGGTTTTGATTAAAAGTTCTGAGATGAATGTCTCCGATGTTCGGCATATAATTGCGATTCAACGAGGTGTCGATGGATCTATGTCTTACTGTGGCGCTTGGATGAACAGTCCGGCTTCAAAGTCAAGAAGCTGTCCTAGTTCTGGCAACTTCTGAGAATCTGCCATATTCTCACTTTTCGATACTCCCCGCAAGGATCGAGAGACGATGACATTCAAGTGAGCACGGAATGCGAATCGGGCAATCATGAAACCGGCAAAGCTCACCTACATGCAGCAAGCTTAGTTGCGGGCTGATTGCTTTCCTCAGCACGTTTCCCTTGGCCGCGTCCTCGGAGTGATATACCAAGAACCGAATTTGACGATTGTCGGGTAACTACACGTAGACCGAAATCGTGAGAATACACCACTGAACAACCTGGAAAGCCGGATTCATTGCACACGGCGACCAGTCGGAGACCTGCCGATGTAAAAGCAGTTCCCAACCTTGTGGCGTTTGTAAGTGTATTAGAATCGTGGCTGCATAAATACTGCCCACGCCGCAAAACTGTATGTCGAATTAGGACCGATAGTAGGGGTCCTGCATAGGTTCGGATCAACTTGGGACAGAGCTGACAGAGGCTTTGTTGCCTATTCTGATTCTGATTCTCGTTCTCGTTTCTCAGAATTGGGACACGTAATCGAACAAGTCGATCCGATCAGTCGAAACACCCGTAACTTAGCTGATATGCCCAGCTCTCAGCTAGCTTCACAGCAAAGTCGGCGACCCTGGCATCGTAGGACTCAGTCTCCATGCCCGGTTCGGTCCCGTGTGTCATGCTTGAAGATGCGGCGAGATACGCGGACCTCGACACTCAGCGAACGCCGGGCTCTCTATCTTCTTACGATAGGCTTTGGGGGGCGCAGTCAGGCTTTGTTTGATGACGAAGAGCATGAAGGTCGTAATGGGCGACTGATGCCCAACGTTGCCTGTCGAAGTTTAGGCGGCTAACGCGCCGACGCGGGAGCTGTCCATTCAAGGCGGGGTTTGGTTTGCAGAGAAGAAACCTGAGTAGTGTTGGCGGTTGCTGCACGGGTTGGTGCTGTGGAGCCTGCTTAGCTTTGGTGCTTGATGACGGACTTGCAAGATCAATAGTTGGCTCTGGCTCTGTCTCTGGCGCCGGAGGCGTCTGGGTTCCTAGCTCCAACGTCGTTGGCGTTGGCGCTGGCGCTGGTGTTCGTTCCTCGGTGGCGGGTAACCAAAGTCGATTATTTTGGGAAACACACACGAGAGTGAGTGCGATGCAAGTCAATGTCTCTCGTGCCCTCGTTCATCTTCAGGGGGATAGCCGATGTGAAAAGCGAAAAGATAACAAGGACTGACAAATTGAATCAGCCCTCACTCTCGCCAAAAAAGAAAACATGCGTGCTCCGTTGCAGAACAGATCCCACAAGATTTTTAGAACATGCAGCAGATCTCCTCTAGGACTCCCCGCATGCAGGATGCAGGGAGATGCGAAAAGCGAAAAGCCAAATGGCCGAAAGCTGTGCCCGAGCCCGAACCTGCCCGTGGAGCGCGCCGGTGCGTGTGCGGTTCACTGTCACACTGATTGCCCCCTTTTAAAGTTGAGATACGGCGACATGGCCTAGACAAGAAGCACCCATCTGCGAGGCGCATCATGGAAGGCCCCTGAGCGGGAACGGGGCGGGATCCATGGGATGGACACTTCGCGCCGCTGGCGCTAGCCGGAAGCTTGGGACGCAAGGTAGCCAACAGCAACGGCAGAGCCAATTAGAAGTAATTTTTTTCCCCTTTGATCTCGCATTGTTCATTTCGTAATTTGTTTCCAGCGAGATGGGCGTGTTACTCGGAATCGAGGCTGATGGTGAGACAAGATCTGTTGTATCGCTGTCTTGACTTGAGGGGATGGACTGTGGATAGCCGTGGTTCCTGGCCCGGGCCGGACAATGAAAAGAGAAGACGGAGATGCCGGCCGGCATGCAGGCGCAGGGCAAGCCGCAAGTGTTGAAGTGAGTGAGTGTGAGTGCGTGCATGCGTGGAAGACCGGGAATAGCGGGAGGGAAATCAACGAGTTGCCATCGGGCATGGATTGTTCCCTGCTTTTTGGCGAAGATCTCGGTGGTACGGGAAGGGGTGGACACGATATCAGGTATGTGTTGGGAGAAACCTGAGTCGGAACGCAACAGAATCCGAGGCTGTCGAGAAACATTATTGGACAATAGAAGGCAATTAGGGCGCGGAATTGCAGTGCGAGGGCACCATGGGTGCGTACCTTGCATGGCTTTTTCTGAAAGAATGGCACCGATGTCTCTCTGGAGACTATATTCTGTGTCTGAAGCATTGCGCGCATGTCTCTGCCGTGTATTTGGGATTCGATGGAGCCAATAGACGCAAGAAAGTGACGACAATAACGACAACCAGGGAAAGAGGTGACGGGGGTAGGCCTGGTTGAAGGCTCTGGGCAGCATGCGGACACGAGCCTCCCGTCTGGATTTCGATTTTCGGCAGAACGAACGTTCATCGATGAAAGTGGCTGACCTCGCCCCCTCCCCTCTTGTGATGATTTGATAGGAGTGGATGCTTGTCGTCGTCCAAAAGATGGTGGACGCTACGGCATGGAGTGGACCGGGGGACATCTTGCTGCTGCAACGATGTGGGGTTTCTAAGGGAGCACAGGGCACTGTAAATTTGGCGACAAGGAAGCAGGCCGTCTTGGTGTCTAGCCCATGGCTCCCGAGTTCCCATTGCCTTTTTGTGTGTGTGACCGAGTGAGAGCGGGTGCATGGCGAAGGAGCAACTTGGCGAAGACGGTCGATGAGAATGAGCATGCGATACCGGAGCTGTGGTTGTAAATTTCAGTTCGTGGTCGGTGGCATTTCGCCCCTTGGAACGCTGGCTTACCTAGTCAGAGTAATATCGCGGCCCATCTCAGATAGTAGAGGTACCTTACTCCGTACGGAGTATGCGTACCAAAGTTGTCCGTATGGCGGAAAACCTAGCACGGCAATTGGTAAGGTGCTTGTATCCGTATCGGTGAGATAGAGCGCCGTAGCCGCCGCCAGAACTTGTTCCTCTCCATCGGGGGGGATTGATTTCTTGGTGGATTGCGCCGCAGTCAGGGTTCAGGGTGCTGGAAAAGGATGCTCTCTGGTCTTTGGAGAAAGGAAAGGATCCCTAGCGTGTAAACGGAGTGACTCAGACGGAGCTGGCACGGCAGGCAGGACAATAGAGGACATGTCAGCGAGCTGCGTAAATTGAAACGTGAGATGATGGCGGGAGGACACCGACGAGAAGCTGCTGCAAGCTACGCTACCTGAACTAAGCTCGAGTAGGTGAGCAAGGTGAGATGGTGGTGGTGAGGTCAGCACTCAGCAGGCAGGGGCTCGGTAATAGCAACCTACGGGTAAGTTACGGATATTCCGTACGTATTCGCTCTTGCTTTGTGAAGATTCGTACGAAGTACGGAGTACATAGCCCGAGTAAGTAATTGAGGCAGGAATGGACTGGGAGTTGGACCTACCTGGACGTGACCTGGACCTGATGCTGGCGGGGAGCAAGTGGCAGGAGTTGTCCACGGGTTACCAACTCAAGTAAGAAGGCCAAAGTGCATGGCAGGCTTGAGTTCTGTAAGTGTGAAGTTTGAAGCTGCATAAAACCTCCACCAGCAATCCATCGGCCAGCTTAACTATTGTCAAGAAACCTCTTGGTTGTTGACTTTATGCTTGAAGAGCGTCAAGAAGTAAGAGACTGTGAGTGTTGTCACTTGTGAGTGTGAGTATGCGTGTGCGTGTGCGTGTGTGTGTACTTCGTACTCCGTATCCCTAGGGATATTGTCATTTCCAGAATCTCCTCTTTTCCTCCCACTTTCTTCGAGTCTTCATAGTGCCCCAGTGCCCCCCCTCGTCCCTTGACCCGCTCTCCGTTCGTTCCACGGCCCGCTCCAATATCCATCTAGCCCCCGTTTTGAATGACAGCACCATTGTATTGGAGGATACTCCGTGCTGGAGCTCGTCTTTGCTCTGTTTCGTCTCTTTTTTTATGCTGCTGCATTTCCGCTAAAATTTTGATTATTCCCTCCTTATTTTTCTGATACTTGTACGGGAGGGAACACAAAAAAAGGAGAAAGGGCCATCTGTCGTCTCAAGTTTCTCGATTTTGTCTTTTTTCCACGACGTGCGCAACGCCGCTGCCAACGCCACTGCCACCTTAGGTTGACTTATGTGCTTTTCGATATCATTATACGTAACCAACCAACTCGAATCTTTTACACTAGCACAACACACACACCTATCCGTACCTTACCTTACCTTGCCTTACCTTAGACGCACAAACATACCATACACAATCACATATATACATATACAGACGCACCCACGCATCTCTGTACATACGCACACCACCATCAAGCCTACAACCTCCTTTTTGTCATTATTCCTCTTGTGCCCCCCCTCGTCAGCTTCTCTCCTCCTCCTCCTCCTCCTCCTCCTCCTCCTCCTCCTCCTCCTCCTCCTCTTTTCACCCCTCCGACTGGTCTCCCCGCCTCTGCCATCTGACCTTAACAACATTGGTTGCCCTGATATCCGTAATTTATATCTCATCAGGGCCATTCGTCTGCCATCTTCATTCGGCGCCCTCCCCAAAGTCTTGCCCACCAACTATCCCGGGTGGACATTCGCCCCCCCCCCCCCCCCCCCCCCCAAATACCCCCTGCCGAGCTTCGCCCGCATCCATCCCGCTGCACCGTGGTTAACACTAAACTCGCGCAATCCTGGTGCTGCAACTCCCAGTCCCAGGGGGCCAGGGCAAAGCCGCAAATCACCCCTAACTTGACGGGAACCTGGACACCAGACGTCAACCCCGCCGTCCGTTACCCTCGCTGTCCTTGTCGTCCCTGCCCGTCAGAGGTACCTCTTCCCGCCTTGCCGCTGAGCGCCCAGTGCACCACCACCACAACCACGACCTCGAACCCCTCTGCCCCCAAACTTATCAACCTGCGCTGCTCATAATATCCTTTTCTTTCCGACGACACAACACCGCACACAAACGCACAACCACACGACCGACCGCCTCTGCCACCGAATCCCTCCCCCTTCCCTTCACCATGGCCGAGAAACCCTCAGTCCTGATCATCGGGGGGCTGGGCTACATCGGTCGCTTCCTGGCCCGCTACATCCACGACAATGACCTCGCATCAGAGGTCCGCGTTGTCGACAAGGCCTTGCCCCAACTCGCATGGCTTGCTCCCGAATTCCAGGACGCCTGCGCCGGCAGCAAATTCATGCAGGCCGATGCAAGCAGAGAACGTAAGTCACCCGACCCGAACGGCGACACGACCTGCTTTTCACCCTTTTCCTTTTCTCTCCCATTCACCACCTATCACCGCTCACTTGTCCACGTCTTTTCTTCACTTTCTCTTCTCTGGGGCCCATCCCCTCCCCTCCTCTCTGTCTTTGGCATCTCCAAGGTTTGCCAACCGACACAAATCCTAGAGAAACCACCCACTGTGATATTGCTCTTGGCTAACTGTTCTTGCTTTTTCTTTGCCCTCTTGCAGAAGCCCTAGCAAAGATATTCGACCGCGCCGACGGCAAACAGTGGGACTACGTTTTCAATTGCGGTGGCGAAACGAGATATTCTCAAGAGGATGAGGTTTACAAGTTGCGCTCTCTCGGCCTGTCGCTTGCCGTTGGCAAGGAGGCAGCCAAGCGCAAGGTCAAGGCCTTTATCGAACTCAGCACCGGCATGGTCTACAAGTCCGACTCGTCCCCGAGCAAAGAGGGCGACAAACTGAAGCCTTGGAGCAAAATTGCCGTCTACAAGCTGCAAGCCGAAGAGGAGTTGGCAAAGATTGAGGGGTACGTATCCCGGGCCTCGCTCGCCACCTAGCGTTCCCAAAGCTCCGTCTACCTTGCGGAGCGCATCGTCGTGTATCATTCCAAGCTGACTCAACGACACTATTTTTCTAGACTGAACCTCATCATTGTCCGTTTAGCACACGTCTACGGCCCGTACGCATCGCAATGGGTCGCAACGGCACTTTGCATGGCCCGTGTCTACCAATACCTGGAGAGCGAAATGAAGTGGCTGTGGGACAAGGGCCTCCGACAGAACACGGTACATATTACAGATGCCGTACGAGCACTTTGGGATATCACGACGTGGTACAGCAAAGGCAAGGACAAGTGGGATGTCAAGACCATGGGCAAAGTGCCCACGTTTAACGTTGTCGACAAGGGCATCACCACACAAGGCACCATGTCCGAGATTATTGGCGACATCTTCAAGATCGAGACGGGATTCCAGGGACAACTCATCAGCACATTTGCGCGCCTAAACATGGATAGCGTCGTCGACGATGTCAACGACGAGCTTATGGGACCGTGGGCCGAACTGCTCGAGAAGGCGGGCATTGCGCGGCCGGGACCTCTCACGCCCTTTATGGAGAAGGAGCTGTTGAAGGATACGGATCTGAGCATGGATGGCAACCGTTTAGAGCAAGTCGTTGGCTTCCAGTACGAAAAGCCCAAGTTGACCAAGGAATTGGTCGAGGAGGTGATTGAGAGCTACAAGACGATGAATTGGTGGCCGTGACGGACACGGATGACGGACAGAAACGAACTAGAAGCATAAAAAAGCGTGCGGATGATGACTTTCGGCCTGGGTTCGTTGGACTCGAAGGAACGGGGGAGGACACCAGCGCAGGCGCAGGCGCGAGTTGCGGAATCGAGAGAGGGAGAGAGAGGGAGAGCGCGCGCCATGATATCAGTCGAATCGTTTGTTTGGAAACTCCACTGCGTGCGAGCAGCATTCAGGAGCCGATGGCGGGGAGCGCCGGGGCATTTGTATAACCAAGATATCCTTTTCCTTTTATTACTCTTCGTAGCTCCGGCCATGTATATTGGCACCATTTTTGAAGGTAATAATCCACGACGAAATTAGGCGAAAAAACAAAGACCGTGCAAGTATTGAGCGCGCAAATTCTTGAAGCAGGTTCAAAGCGATGGAGCTGTACCTGAGCTGTCACAGGCAGGGGGTTGCCTGCTGGCATCTTCTTGAAACAGCAAAGAGCTCTCACGTGTGGTTTTTCGCGGGCAGGAACGTCGCGGACGGCCACCTCTTGGCCCCGTGGTAACTGGGATTCTCCTACCTGCATGACTGAGTTCTTTGGAGCTTGGCCCCGCCGTAACGAGGGATCTCCCTCCTCGCTGCAGCGCTGCTTATCATCTCGAGGAGTAGAAGGCTCAAAGCTTCGACCATCGGCCGGAACCCTTTCGGACGCAAGAGTCATCCCAGTCAGGCACCACACATCCTCGAGACGATTCGTCGAATAGACGAGTCTGGTTCGGAATATCTCGTTGCGCTTCGCTTCGCTCGCTTGTGGCACGGCTGTTAAAACACATCGTTCCCCGATGGTCGGTTCAGGGTCTGATTCAGGAGCCAGGAGACCAGAGACAGGTCCGCTCGACGTCGGCAATGGTTGGGTGGCACTACTGTGGGAGCTGTCAAATGTCTGCAGTGAAACCCAAGCTGAGGCAGAGGGCCGCTGACGGGATGCTGTCGTGCGATGAGGCATCCGAGACGGGTAGCAGTCTGTACCAGCTAGTCGATCACCGAGTCCACTGCTGAATGTTCTGAGATACTGAGATTGAGACGCCACACGATAGCTTTAGCCAGGCTTGAGGGAGGTTTTATGGAGATGAATCCGTCGACGGGGAGAGTGAGCCTGGGCTGGAAAAAGAATGCAGCTCGCTTGGTTGGGCCCCCGTCCCATTCCGCCACCACGGGCAAAAGTAGCGTCCGTCCCGCACATGCTTAGAACTGAAAAAGGCTGAGTGTGGCCAAAAGTCTGCCGAAGCCGTGGGGTGGCATCTCCCGCCTGATGACCCGAGACGGGATGGAGAGTTGGGGAGGACCGAGTTCGTGATTGGCGTCGTGTCATTGGGCGGAGTAGAGGGGAAAGAAGCTGTCGGTGTATGCGACATTGCTGTTCGGATACAAGCGTCAAGCAGTGTCGAAGCTCTCAGATGAATTGCGCGCCTGTGAGGTGTTGTCTGTCCCTGCGTCTGTCTGCTTTACCCGTCATGCATATGCCTACCTTGGATTACTTCAGGTAATGACCCTTGCCCGCCCTGCATCATGAAGACCGTGCAAGAGCCCATTTGGTCTTTTTTTTTTCTTTTTTCTTCTTCTGTGTCTTCTTCAGCGCTGTCTCGAACCTCGGAACCTGCGGTGTCTGTTCACCCCTGAGTTTGTCCTTTTTTGGCTGCCTGATTGGGAAGCGACACACTGACACTCAGGGTGCACATGGGACGGGGGCGAGCATCGTCGAGGTCGATGTTCTGGTATTGGTCTTGAAGAACGGTTGTTCGGATTGCTACGTTCCCCGTACTATCTCTAAATGGACGCAACCCGGACCGGGCTAGGCGGCCAGATTGGGGAAGTGAGTGTCGGGCTGGTTGCTGCCATTGGCCGTTTGTTTCGCGCAGGTCCAGGTGGTATGCTGGCATGCCCAGATTCGGGGAGTTAAGAGGAGGATTAAAATGCTGACAGGAGCGTAGTTCTGGGTGTGGGAGGTTGCAGTCTGCAGAGAAGGGTGTATGCGGTCATGATCTCACGCGCGCTCCCTTTTCGAGGTAGATTGGCAGGGTCTGGGGTAAAGCGTAAGGGTGTGGAGGTTGTCTCGCGAGCCTCGGCCCCGACGTCTGAGCTGTCGCAGAAGGTTCGTGTGATAGAGAGCTGTCCTTATTCGGGGCTGGCTGAGCGATTGCGAAGAAGGGAGTGAGAGAGAGAGCGAGAGCTTCTTCTCTTCATGTGAAAGCGTGGCAGTGGCAGTGTCAGTGTGGGGAGGGATACTTCCCCGCCCCGCTTGTCCAAGGTAAGGAAGGTAAGGTAAGGTAAGGTAGGTAGGTACCTCCCAACTCCAATTCAAGCTGTTGGTACGAAGTACTGCGGCAGACACCCTGTTGGACCTGAAGAGCTCGTTCCTGACTTGACCTGACTGGAAAGAGCTGATGCCGGAGCAGACGGCGTATAAGAAGGCGCCGACGGATTGGGCGCCTTCCATCCGGAGTCAAATTCCACGTCACCTTTGTTGCTCAGCCCAACTTCTTCTTTCCCATCTTCTTATTTATTCTACCGCCAATTTACAAACCAAAAGAAGAAGGTGGCTTACCTGAAACAGACTTTGTGCCTGCCTTGAGTAACGACTTTGGCTTGACGACATCCCACCTTTGCGAACCGGGCCTACCTACATTTACGTATCTCACCTCTGCGGACCCGTTGACATTTTGTCCCCATTGCAACCCCTCCAACCACCACCGACCTAAAGGTACTTTACCGCCACCACCACACCTTTGTCTCCCTTTCTACCCGTTGAAGCTCACCAAAGCTTCAGGACATAAAAACTAAATACCTCCTCGGTCAAATTTCATCACAACACAGACCAAGCACATTCACACTCACAACACACATCACATCAAAATGGCTGCTCCCGCCACAAAGACGATCGCCGACCTCAATGGCCAGTGGGTCATGGTACGTTCATCCATGTTCTGGACAGCACCACGAAGCAGAGCAGGTGCGCAAAGAAAGGAGACTGACAGCCACAATAGAACAAGACCCTCTCCGATTCACCGGAGCCTGCCCTCGCCCTCCAGGGCATTGGCTGGATGACCCGTAAGGCTGTCGGCCTTGCCACTGTCACCCTCCACGTCAAGCAGTACACCGCCCCGCCCTCTCCTCCTGCCACCGGCACTGAGCCCGTCACCCACTTCGATATTGACCAGTTCGCCACGGCCGGCCTCAAGGGCACTACGGAGAAGCGCTGCGTCGACAACGAGTGGCGTGAGCACTCCGACTGGATGTTCGGTAGCGTCCGTGGCCAGAGCCGCTGGATGACTCTCGCCGAGATCGAGGACGAATTCCTCAAGAAGGGCTGGCTCGAGGGCGAAGCCGAGGCCACCGGCCCCGATGGCAAGACCCACCTCTACAGCCACGTCGAGAGCATCGACAACGGCTGGACTGCCTCCCAGATCTGGGGCTTCCAGACCATCGATGGAGAGAGACGCTACACCCGTAACGTTCTCGTTCAGAAGGGCGGTAAGAGAGTCGAGATTCGCCTCGTCTACGACTACCTTCCTTAAATCTGACGCACGCGGCGTTTTCTGGGAATTCTTTACATTGCGGTTGGATGATGAGACCGGTTCTACTATACACGAAGCATGACTACCACACGCGCTTGCAAGACGGACCGTGCCGTTTTGCTGGTAGGCTAGGAAATAGCCCGACGAAGAGTAGACTTTGAGAGCATGGATAGCAATTGAACCCGTCTGAAAAACACCTAGTCGGTGGATGCTCATTTATAAAAATGTACGTGACGACAAGAGAGAGCAATGTTGAATCGTCTGCTTGTCTACCAGTCATGGTCCCAATGCTTCCCTTCGGTTCAACATGCGAACCGCCAACGCCTGAGTTGGTGCAGCCACCCGTCTCGTCTACCATGTGTCGTCGTTCCATAGATTCATTACGACCGTTGGATGCTTGCCGACATCCTAGTTCTCTCTGTATACCGCTACCGATCTGTCCTCAGCCCTTTTCACTCACGCCGGTCTCCTCTTGACAAACTCCTCGAGATCCTGCACCGTCGCGACACCCAGTACGAAACGCCTCTTCTCGTCCGTGATGACGGCAAAGTGGCTCTTCTTCGCCTCGACGCCGTCGCCAGCAAAAAAGGCCTCGAGCTCCTCCAGCGGTGTCTGCATGGTGATGACGCGGTAGGTGCGGCCTTTACGCTGGAAGCGGACCATGGCTTTCGAGAGGGGGTCCTCGGGCTTGACCTTGCCGGCGTCGAGGAGGGCCTGGAGGTGAGGGATGGCGAGGTAGCCGACGAGAGCGCGGTGGGCGTCGACGACGGTCAGGTGGGTGTAGTCGCGCTCAAAGGCAGAGATGAGGGCGTGGGAGATGGGGTCGGTGGGCGTTAGGGAGAGGGCGGCGGGGGGTCGATGTCTTCTACTGTGGCCTACGATGGGAGGGAAGAGGTTAGTCGGGGGAAAAGGGCTCAAGGTCTGTGGTCCGGGGCGGAGGGACGGGAGAAGGGAGGGTTGGTTTAGAGGGGATGTTCACGTACACCGCGGTAGCGGGAGGACCATTTTGACACGAAGGGACTGGAGGTTTCGCTGGTTTGCAACGTAGGCGCCGCGGCGGCAGGAGTGGAAGCCAGAGCCGCCATTGTTGGGAATTGATAATCTTGTGAACACTCTCAAATCTAAGGTCGAAAGTCGAGACAGAGTGGGTATCACCAATCGTGGTTGGTGCCGGTCGCTTGTGCAAGTGAGTTGAAAGATGATATCAATTATCGCGGGGTTCTTTTGGAGAGAGGAGGGGCGGTGTCGACAGGGCGGGAAGATTTGGCGGCAAGGTACGGGAAACGCCACAGTTGATAGTCGGGCGGTGTCTCGGATTTTGCTCACAGACGCGCGCCGCTGATGGGCGCCCGGGGGCCGGCTGCTGGATTGCGAATTTGCATGTCGCCGATGTGGGGGGTGGGATCCAGCTGTTCACACGGTCCACCTGCACCTGGTATCCGCAGGTAATTGTTAAGGTTTCGCTGAAGCTGCCTGCCGCCGTTCCTTCACCGACCTTGGGCGGGTTCCACAGCGGGGTGTTACTGCTGAAGAGTCACCAAAGCCACCGGACGGGAGCTATCGGGTAGAGCATCACGGAATAGCCCGTTGATACAAATATTAAGAGAAGTTGAAACAAGGAATACCAGATTAGTCCTACCATTTCGAGAATGAGATCCATAGAATTCCGGTCATCTGCTCGCTGAAATTTTCTTGTCTCTTGCATCGAGAACGAACATGTCCCCTTGAAAAATCCCTCGACGGAAGTTCTCATGATCACGGTCAGCCTGGATGCTCTAGTGTAGTTTCAAAGCAATTTCCTATTTGGGCCATCGGCTCTATCGCAAAAGTAGACAACGTATCTACACCTTCTTGGTTCCGGTGCTTTTTATAAACTTCACGGAACAAAATCACGAGTAAAAGATGGATTGAGGATGACTTAAATAGACAGTAAGGATAAATCTAAATTGACAAGCGGTTGGCGGACGATGGTAATGAAAAACGACGCCGGGAGACGAAACAACGAATTCACGGCGAAGTCCCATAAAATCCGGGGATAAGCGCGGGCCATTTCGCGATAACACGGGAGCCTTTCCTCTCGTCGTATCCTGTCGCATACCGGTGCCCCACTCGAGCTACTTCTGCTCTAGTACACAGTACAGCAACTCTCACTCGAGGTCCAGACCCCCCATTGTGAGGTGTGATGTCACCCATACCGTCCCGACGCCTTTCGCAGCAGCTGTTGGTCACTGGCGCGTAAGCTCTACCCAAGTCCAGAAGACATCACCGAGCAAACTGTCGATGAGGTCGAGGTACCCGCGACATGGACGTGACCGAACCATCCGAACCGACCCCTTCTCTCACATCTCTAGGCTCCTCCTCCTCCTCCTCTATCGCAGTCAAGGGAATTACCACTCGCTCGCTGGGCCCCCAGTCCTTCCTGAGCTATCCTGTTCGTCCACTCACCAGCGCTGGCGCCCCCTTTCCCCCAATTATATTCGCATGATAATAAACCTGCTTCTGACCTCTCTCTCATTCTGATTCCCTCTTCTTCCTCTGTGTATGTGTATTTGCGACAGCTTCGCTCGCAACCCTCTTCCCTCCCTCTGCTTCCGTATTCTCGAGAAACGAGTCCTCCATCCTCAAGGTGCTCTCGCATAAGCCGAAAACGGTCACTTGTGTCGCGTGACTGACGTTGCACCAACTCTCCTCTCCTCCTGTTCTTTGAGCTAGAAATCCCCTCAGCTCGCTCCTTCGGTAAGTAGCAACCCTCAACATCTTTGGTTTACCCTCTTCAGCATCGCGCTGTGAACGCCTATTGCTGGTGTCGGCCGCCTCCTCCGAGCTCGAGCTTCTATAGCGAAACTCAATTGCGCGCTCCTCCTGCCTCTCGAGCTTATCGCAGGGGTATAATCGTCCTTCACGTTACCTCCTGACTAACTTCACCGGCCAGATATTCTTGCAGAAGAACTCCCATACCATCCACCTCTTCTGGTCCAGACGAATTGCGTCCCGACCACCATGTCGTTCCTCTACCCCAGACAGGATACCCTCAAGGGATGCTTCTCGTCCCCCTTCAACAGCCGCCTTAACAAGACCGCGGATACCACGGCCATGGCGAAACCAACGCGCTACCAGGCCCGCCCCGAGCTCTACGGCGCCTTCTCCACCGTCGACGACGTCAAGGGCAAGGCGAAGCAGCTCAGTGCCGAGGCCACGGCCGAGTTTGAAAAGGCCAGCGCCAAGGCCCAGTCTGCGGCCGGCGGCAAGATTGAGCTGTACTCTGGACAATACTATGCTGCTTGCACCGTCGGTGGTCTCATGGCCTGCGTGAGTTTCCTCTGTTCCTTCTTGGTCTTGAATCGTTGTCGTCGTCCTTGACGGGTGACCTGGTCTCCGGTCCGGGGTCCCCACAACGGCGCGGGGCCCCGGCGCCCGGCCGCGACGGCAACGCATGAGAAGCGCACGACTAACACGGGACGCTAGGGCTTGACGCATACCGCAGTGACTCCTCTGGATCTCGTCAAAGTGAGGAGGCAAATCGATTCGAAGCTGTACCGCGGAAACTTCCAGGCTTGGGGAATGATTTTCCGAAAGGAGGGTCTCCGCGGCATTATGACCGGCTGGGGCCCAACCTTCTGGGGATATTCCGCGCAGGGAGCTTGCAAGTACGGATTCTACGAATACTTCAAAAAGGTGTGACCAAACATTATCCATGATTAATCTCTCGTCCCAGCCCGGGGAAGGAAAACCTCTGGACTAACATGCAACCCTCAAGACCTACGCCGACCTCGCGGGCCCCGACAACGCCAAAAAGTACCAGACGATCCTCTTCCTCTCCGCCTCGGCCTCCGCCGAGTTCCTCGCCGACATCGCCCTCTGCCCCTTTGAGGCCGTCAAGGTCCGCATGCAGGGCGGCATCCCCTCCCCCTACAAGGGCACTCTCGACGGCATCAGCAAAATCACGGCCAAGGAAGGGTGGGGAGGCCTCTACAAGGGCCTGTACCCGCTCTGGGGCCGACAGATCCCCTACACCATGATGAAGTTTGCCTCCTTTGAGACCATTGTCGAGATGATGTACGCCCGCCTCCCCGGCCAGAAGTCCGACTACAGCAAGGCCGCGCAGACGGGCGTGTCGTTTGTCAGCGGTTACCTGGCCGGTATCCTCTGCGCCATCGTCTCCCACCCGGCCGACGTCATGGTCAGCAAGCTCAACGCGAACCGCGCTCAGGGCGAGGCGTTTGGTGCGGCCATGGGCAGGATCTACAAGGACATTGGATTCTCTGGCCTCTGGAACGGTCTGCCTGTCCGTATTGTCATGATTGGTACCCTGACCGGTCTCCAGTGGATGATTTACGTGAGTGACCATCAGAATTTTGTTGAGAAAAGTGTGACAGAACTGACATGATGGACAGGACTACTTCAAGATCTTTATGGGCTTCCCCACTACCGGAGGAGCAGCCCCCCCCCCGCCGAGAAGAAGTAAGTTAAGGGATATTCTATCGGTTGGGTGTACGGAGGGCTTTACTCGCGCGACCTGCGTTACCCAGCTAGTATACTATGTACACCGAGGACCTCTTGAGGGAGTCCTCTTAGCTCTTACACTATTGTAACAATGAAAAGAGTCTATTCTATAAACACATAGATGCTCATCTAGCCTTGAACCTCACGTACCAGCTCAAAGAAGAGTCTTTATGCTACTAGGTGGGATTTCCAATGCTTTTTCCCCCGTATTCTACATTCACTTCGCTTCCTCCCTAGGAAGTAGGATATATCATCCCCCGGCGTGACCATGAATGTACCCTCCCAATAAGACGCCGTCATGAGTGATTCTCAACCCGCCTGAGACCCGTATTCTTCTGCTGAATCGCGATATAATCTAGCACCTTGATACATGGATGTCTATGTATCGAAGCACTCACTGAAAGCTTTGCTACCATTCCGAGTAGCTCAGTAGGCACCGAAGATACTTGAGGGTGACAGGTACCAGTTCAGTCGCAGTACTACAAGCAACCAATTTGCTTCCGTTTCCCATATTCATGACATTTTGCAACATTATCCCGCGCTTTTCTTGCCTTCCCTTTCATGGAGGAGGGCTGGAAAATCGAAAATCCAAAGCAGAGGGGTTTGTTTACTCAACACGGGGGGTTTTTTTTATTTGCCATCCTCCATCTCGGGGTTTACGTGATTGAATTTTTCCCCTTGTCTTCCACTGGCACCTATGACTGATATGTCCCTGTCTGACAGAGAGAGAGAGAGAAAGAGAGAGAGAGAAAGAGAGAGAGAGGGAGAGGGGGTTTCCGGCTCTACTGGCCTGGTTGGGATGAAATTTGAATGGGATTTGGCTGTAATGGGTGATTACTCTTGACCATATACACATGGTACTACATGCACGTACCTTCCGCGCCACTACTTAGCTTTCAGATGGCGATGTGATCTTTGACAACGAGAGGGATCGTGGGAGAAGATGGAGATGGAGGGGGTTTCAGTGGGGGAAAAGACCGTCAGAGGGGGAAGAGAGAGTCCGGAGCAAGATAGGGAGAATGTGCATGATTGATGCCAATGACGCCCCTTGCTATCCATATATCAGATTAACGATCGAGTATTGAATGCTGATACTATTTCCAAGGTCAGTCTTACGTATAAGCCCAATGCTAATGCTTATCACCAACGACTGATCTGCACCATCTGGCTGGCCAACGAATGAGTATACACCGTCTTGCTAGCACGTTCGTGTCTCTGGCAACGGAAAAAACAAGGCTCAACGTGACCTTGGTTCTTGCCCTTCAAGGTTTAAGCTTCACATTTGGGTTTGTCTCAAAGTGCCAAACGAAGAAGAGCATCGTGTAGAAAAAGGTGGTAGCGAGCCTAAAGCCACTCCGATGGGAACTTGAATACAACAAATCAGTCAACTCAGTGCGCTAGATTATAACGATGACCGACTTGTCAGAATCAGTCGTACATGGCACTAGATTATCTCCAATAGGAAAACGTAGTTTCAAGGTCGACGAGAAAAAGGCCAGGCCCGGACGCCGGCGACGCCGGGGCGGGATCCCACTCTACCTGCAGAGCGACTTAGCCGTCCGAACTTAGGCGCGGGGGTTGCTCCGGCAGTCGTACGCCGGCACCGGTAAAGGTCTCTCTGCATTTGGAAGCACAAGACTCCTCAAGACTAGATGGACCCCCTGTACCTGGCCCCTCGAGACTACCTGAGTCTTCTTCGGCAATTTTGAGGCGTTGAATCGAAGAGTGAAAAGAGACATTTCGTCATTCGACAATGCTTGGGCGGCAGTGGGGGAAACGGTACCGAAGGATGCAGGGCATGACGTTCATATCTTCCAGAAGTTCGTGGGAGTCGGGCCGGTACGGGAGCGTGTGGAGGACGCTGACCTACCAGAAACCGCCAGTGTGCTGCACGTCGTTGGTGAAGGAGCGTGGGTGATTCTAGAGGTGGCATCCGCAAATCGGTTGACTGCGACACCCTACCTACTGTTAGTGCCTGTTGACCAAAGATGTCCCATGAATTAAGCCAAGCAAGCCAAGGTGCGCCACGAGCGAGGCACAACGAAGATAGCTCAAGACACAATACCTAGCCAAGTGGCGCTGGCGTTGAACGTCTGCTTTTTCCCTCGGCCGCACTAGCCACCCGCAGACAATGCAATGTCTCCCGAACGTGTTTTCCGTTCGGGGACTTTTCGTCGAAAAATGACGAGGGGCTCTTGGGGCAACTGTTTTTCGCCCATGGATGATACCTGTTAGTGCTGCGGAGTTGTTGAGGAGGTAGGGGATTGGGAGTGAGCATTCAGGATAGGCCATGATGGAGTCGTTTCGATCGGACATGGATGCGACGAAGGTGCAGCAAAAGAAGCGAATGGGTGTGATGCTGATTGGCAAGGGCGCTCTGTCGGTCTCGAGCGGATATCCCCCGCATAGATGCTGGCCGGGTGCAATAGCGTTCCCCATGCCTGGTGGGAGGGACATGCTGGAGCAAGGGGAGGCGAACAGCAGCAGATCGACAGAGCTTTGCTCCACTGCTGTGTTTGTGAGAAGACTCGGCGTGTGTCGGAGGGGAAAGACGGGAGGCATGTCTTAAGATGGACCGAATAAGCACGGGAGGTGAGTTGACGAATGAGCTCGGGTCCAGCAGCGTGGATGAGGGTAACAACGGCGTCGTCCCCCATCCAGCTAGACACGGAATCGGACCAGTAGCGTCAAGTCGTTGTTCCTCTCACACCAACCGCGATGCAACGATGTCTTTCGGGGTGGCTGCACCGCACCAAGGGATCCAAGACGGCGGAGTGGCCTGTGTAGGGGTTTAGAGGTAGTCGTATGTGGCCCTGGCCTGACATGACAGGTCGACCAGCTTTTCATTGGTGCTCGCTCACGCCCGTTCCAGTGAATCTGCCATCTTCAGGTAAGGCGGGTTACGTTGCGTTGGTGTGCAATTCGCAACTCACAACCTGTAAGAGAGAGGGGGTCTTGTCTGGGTCACCTACCGAGACGCTCCTGTGCGAGTTGCATTCTCTTGCGGCAAGGCTTCGAAGCAGGGAACGAGGAGCCGAAAAAAAGACAAACGCTACAGGGACACTGGCGGTTCATCAGGCCAAGGTTGTTGGTCGTGTCAAGAGGAGGTTGCAGAAAGCCTGTCCTGGACGATGTCCGTCTCATCGATCGTCGAGAAGACGGCAGTCTGCAACACCAACGACTCAGGAAGAACGCCTCTTTTCCCGGGGTGCGGGGACAAATTCAAACTTGAAGTCGGCAGCTTGGGTGCTGTGGTTTGCAGTCTATAGCTGTGTAAGCCATCGGGTGCTTTTTCCCACCAAATAGATGGGCTTGGAGAGCGCCCTCATCCCCGATTGAGCAACCGGCGTTTGAGGGGCAACAAAGCTTCGGCTGGTCTAGGGCGGCTAGGTTTGATGGGGGAAAAGCAAGTGTGACTGACTAACAATGATTGAATTAGCAATGCGCTGCCCGGTCACCCTTGAGACCGAATGTTTGGGTGTTTGGATGGATAGTTCAGCAAAGTTCCAGATACTCCTCACAACCACACGACCTCGGAGACATGCCGGGAAGGGATAGTCGGCCTGAGAAGCCATGTTCGTACCCGAAGCACCTGTGCCCGGGGCTGTCTGTTTTGGACATTTATGGCAGACAGACCGAGCGACTTTCGGCCCCCGCGTAGCGTGTGTAGCGTGTATGCCTCGGGTGCTGCTGTGCCGCAGGCCGCCAAAAGTGCTCGGATAGAAGAAAGCGACTGAATCACTAAGGGCATGAACGAGCTTTGAGTATGGGACGTGTAGGCGATGGTGACGGGCGGTCGTCTGTTGTCCAGAATTAGGGGTCGTGATCTATTGACAACATGACGTGCAAAGTCTAAGCAAAATGGCACGTTGGGCGCAGATCCTCTCCAGCAGCGGTCGTAGAATCGAAAACGGGAGCCATTGAGCAGCAGTAGGCCTTCAGGCTGGAGAACGTCGGGATCGGGTTCCAACCAGGGGCGCGAGGATGCCACCGACAACCTTGAAATCAATGGCATCAGTCGGGCGAGACAGATGAAGAAAGCAGGGTGCCTACTGTGTAGGTTAGGTCAGGTCGATAGCAAGCGCCGCGAATAGACGAAGCTAAAAAGGCAGGACGGTCGGGACCAGCAAAGAAGAACCAACGGCCAGCGCAGGGTAGCGTTCCAACGGACCGTCGTGTCGGGGCATGGCAGGCGTGAACGCAATGATGAGGGTAACGGGGTTCCTCTGGTGGTTCTTCCCGGGGCGGGTGAGGATGCGGCCTTTTGTCTCGCGGTTCAGTAAATCAGTCCGCTCGTGGTGTCGTTCCCACAGTGGGGTGTTGGGTGGTGGTGGGTGAGGTAAGCGGAGAAGTAATCCTGGCTCATGTACGTATCGTATTTCCATGAGAAGGGCGCGTGGAGTTCCAGGGATCGGACTTGGGTCGTCTCGACACATGAGCGGATGTTTTGATTTTCATTTCCCTTTCACTGACTACGCAGTACATTATTCCGCCGCGAAAGCTGGATGATCGATGGGCGCTGGAAGTATTCTGTACGGAGTACGGATAGGTACGCTGGAGACAACCCGACAAGCAGGATGCTGGGTGCTGGGCGAACCGTGACCGAATCGACAGGGACCTTGCTGCACATAGCCCCGGCTGCCCTGGTGTCTGGTCTCTCCAGTGGATCAAAGTGCGGAGAGCGAGGGTGCTCACATGGCAGGCTGTTAAGTGCTCCGTGCCTTGATGTTGGTCAGCAAGGCGGTTGGGCGAGTTGGTGGAAACTGGACAAGAAGGGCAAGGATAACAAGGACCACTTGGATGGTATTCGTACTTTGATCGCTATTTAAAACTGTCTCGAGTGAAAGTGCTAGCGAGGTAGTCGTGGACTGTCAACGAAGGGTTCGAGAGAGGTCATATCCATCTGTATTCTGTACAGGATCCATACGTGAGCAGAGATATCGACGGTGGATGTTGTACCTTGTGTTAAGGTGGCAGGAGGAGGCTCAGGCCTGCGATGGCTCCCGCCTGGGCAAAACGGCTTTAACAGCAAAGAATGCCTCGCCCTATGGTGGAACATGTTATGGAAGGGTTGTTCTGCATGCTGCTGTGTGCAAGAGGCTGAGCTTGTCTTGTGCCCAGACAGGCTTGGCTGCGGTGTAATCGCCTTGCGTACGAAGTATATGCCATGCCAAAGTTACTCGTCAAGGGCGAGAGGAAGCTGGCCAATCCGTAGATGATGTGTCGCTGGCGTCCTGCAGAACATTTGCTCTATCCCAGCATGCCCGGGTCGGGTCATGCCACGAGGAGAGACGTGGCTGGCAAACCGTAGCTTGTCTCAGTCTGGGGGAGGACTCTGCGTGGATTGTCAAGTTGCCAGAGAGACAAGGCGGATGTCGAAGTCACCCGGGGGCGGGTTGGACCAGGAAACATGTCGTCTGACACACAAAGTGCAGTCAGTTTCACGAAGGTGATGGAATGCTGATGTTGAAGAAGAGACACAAATAACTTGCCTTGGGAGGTACGTACGGTACGTATTCTGCACTCAGTCACCTAGGTAAGGTACCTCAGCTAGGTATCTACCTAGATTGCTGGAGCCGCCAGGACGGGCAGAAGACGACGACAGAAAGCCGTCGGTCGCAATCGGGTAAAGTGTTAGTGCAGCCAGTCACATTGCAGTTGCTGTTACACGCAGTCCCCCCCCTTCCGTCTGCTATTTGCCTCGTTGTTTGGAAGCGCCGCCAGTGGAGGAATACCCAGCCCTTCATCCTCGCTACTTTGCGCCCGACCTCGACCTCGACCTCGATTCATTTACGACGTTGCCTTCTCACCTGAGCTCAACGACGTCGAGAGACCAAGCACGGCAGGTGTGAGAGAAGAGAGGCACAGAGGGAAAGAGAGGAGAAGAGAGATAACGTCATGTCGCCCGTTATCTCCGTCCGTCCGTCGTGGGCTCAGTTCTGTCGGGCCTACCTTACCGTCCTGCGTCCGTCAACTTTCAAGTCCAGGAATATGCGATCCACTCGCAGTCCACCGAGTGCCAGCAGTACGTACCTTGGGTAATGTACGACTGCGGCGTGCCTTCCTGCCTTCCTGCCTTGAAGCCTTCGTACTTTCGTGCCTTGGTCGGATCACGGGTCTCCAGCCTCTTCCAATTGCTGCCCGCCATCACTAAGGTACGTACGAGGGTACGTAGTCGTGGTAGTGTAAGGTCAGGAAGGAACTTGCAAGTTGACGTCCTATGTGCCTGCCACCTCTTCTTCTTGACGCATCCTTTTATCCATCCTCGTCACTTTTCTCCTCACTCCCCCACTTCTCCCCCCCAATCGCTTATCCAAAAGTGACAGAGTACTTTTTAAGATACCACCAGCAGAAGGAGGGAAAAGAAAAGAAGAAGAAATACCTATCTTACTCCATCCCAAATAGCAGGCCAAAAAAAATAAACAGAAAGAAAAAAGACGCCAACCTTGCTCCAGCCTCTCCATGCCACCCCCTGGTCGGAAACCCCATGTCTGGCCTGTCTAGCCCTGCACTCAAGAACGAACTAGCCCCCTTTCTGTGCACTGCAACCCTTCGATTCCTTCCACCGACCTCCACCTTCCCTCCACTGACACCGTCAGGTTGTGGGTTGTCTGGGTGGGGCCCCCTCGTCCTCGGTGTCCTCCCCACCACTCTCAGTCAGCCATTAACAAAAGTGACCTTCTTTTCCGTACACTACTTGCGTCTCCGTACCACCACTTGCAGTAGTCGCTCCCAGCGCCGTGTGTCTACCTTAGCTCCAGGAAGTTCGCATGTCCCTCGCAGACTCCCCTCACAGCCAGTGGAGGTCTACCTATCCGTACCGGGTCTGCCACCTGCTGGCTGAGGTGTCCTGTCATCCATCGTCTGTCTGTCGCTGTCCCGTCCCTGTCGCGTCTGCCACTACCTACCCAATCCAGTCTCTCATCTGCCTTTCCAACCCACAAACTCGCCTCCATCCTCCTGGTTACTTGCGCCCATCAACCCCAGGACCCCAAGTCTAACGTCCAAATCCCGCCCAGGGCTCCGTCTCTTATTACCTTACCTATTGTCGCCCACGCAGCTGCTAGGTACTCCAGTCTACGCCTCTTACCAACCCTCCCTCCCTCTTCTTCATCCGCTTCCCACATTGCCCATTATCATCATCATCATCATCCTCCTCTTCCTCCTCCTCCTCCTCCTCCCCACTTTCTGCTGCCAACACGGCTGGGTTGAGAGTCTGTGTCCTGGCAAATGCTGCTTCTACCATCGTTGTCCGCATCCAATCTTCCCTGACACCTCTCGTCCCTCTCTCTCCATCCTGCCTCCACAGACCACCCGTATCTTCGGCCGAATCCCCGAGGGAAACGACCCCTACTTCTCTGCGCCACAATCGCGCGCATCTCTCGAATCCGCTCAAATACACGATAGTATCTCTCCCCGCACCTTTTCCGCAGTATATCCTTCATCAACACATCAATTGTCCATCGCATGGTACATTTCGCCATATCTGCGCGGCCGCCGTGAGCTTGTCTCGCCCAGACACCACCCTTCAAGCCGAATCCACTACCGCAACAATTCGCCATTATGGCTGGCTTCTTCAACAAACTGAAGAGCGCGGGCAATGTGAGTTCCCTTGTTCCGTCATCTCCTAAACTATGCCCCGTTTATCGTTTGCCCTGAAATACTCTGTCCTCTCTGCTCTGTTGTTGCTACTCGCGCGTTCTTCTCGCTGACAGACCCCGTCCTTCACAGACCACCTCGAGTCCGACGAGCAAAGATGTGCCGAGCAAGAAGGTCAAAGAGGAGCCAGCGCCGGAGCTTACTCCTTTGGAAAAGATGCTGCAAAATGCCGGTCCATTGAGGGAAGACGGAACTGACAAGTTCTTTGGTCTTGAGAATGTAAGTTTCGAAGCCACACCCGGCCTAGCGACCGCCTTTCCCGAGACAACGAATGCTGACTGAACTCGTAGTTTGGTAACACTTGGTATGCGACACCATCGTCACCAAATCATCTCTCCTTTGCTGACGTGCCTATAGTTATTGCAACTCAATCGTTCAAGCATTGTTCTACTCAGAATCCTTCCGAGACCACGTCGTCAAGTACCCCACACTGTCACCTACCGATACCCCGAACGGAACCCGACCAAAGGTGAATGTGACGATCCGGCCACCAGTCGCGAAAGAGCCCCCAAATACGCCCGGAGCGAAACAGAAAGGCCTGAGTGCGTCGGAATCAATGAAGCGCAGGCAGGCCATCACAGCAGGAATGCCGCCTCCAGGAGCGCCGGGCACACGACCCGAAGACAAGCCTGATTCGCCAGAGTACAAGAAGAAACATGCCATGATCAAGGGCCCGATTCTCGAACTGGCGCAAGAGAACCCCTCCGCTTATGGCATGGAAGAATGTACCTTCACCGGTCTCAAGGACATCTTCCAGGCCCTTATCGAGAGCAACACTAGAACGGGCGTGTTGAGCCCACAGCGATTCCTGGAAATCTTCAAACGAGACAATGAGATGTTTCGAAATTCGATGCATCAGGATGCCCACGAGTTCTATGGCCTCGTTTTGAACGACGTAATCTCCAACGTGGAAGCAAATGCCAAAAGAATTCAAGAGCGACAGGCCGAGAATAAGGACGGACTGATCCAGTCTGTGGAGAACGCTCTTGGCGCGGCTAGTCTGATGAACCGACCAGTAAATGGTGTGGGATCCCCAGGAACCGGCTGGGTTCATGACATCTTTGAGGGTGTATTGACTTCCGAAACCAAATGCTTGACTTGCGAAACGGCCTCGCAAAGAGACGAGACATTCCTGGACCTGTCCATCGATCTGGAGGAGCATTCGTCGGTAACGTCTTGCTTGCGCAAATTCTCCGCCGAAGAGATGCTGTGTGAGCGCAACAAGTTCCACTGCGACCATTGCGGTGGACTTCAAGAGGCCGAGAAGCGGATGAAGATTAAACGTTTACCAAAGGTTCTTGCGTTGCATCTGAAACGATTCAAGTATACCGAGGATTATAGTCGACTGCAGAAGCTCTTCCATCGGGTCGTCTACCCGTACCATCTGCGCATGTTCAACACGACCGACGATGCAGAGGATCCCGATCGACTCTACGAACTGTACGCTGTCGTCGTTCATATAGGAGGAAACGCCTATCACGGCCACTATGTATCGGTGATCAAGACTCAGGACCGAGGTTGGGTTCTGTTTGATGACGAGATGGTAGAACCGGTTGACAAACATTTTGTGCGAAACTTCTTTGGGGACAAGCCTGGCATGGCGTGCGCATATGTCCTATTCTACCAAGAAACCACCTTCGAGAAGGTACAAGCTGAGATGGAGGCCGAGGGTCTAGAGGAAGTCAAGATTGCCAGTGAAGCCGCTAATGTTGCTCATGAAAATGGTCAACCAAACGGCCAACCAAACGGGACGACACCACTCTCGAAACAGTTTACGCAGCCAGTTAGCCCTATCGAGGAACGTGAGCCGCTGCCCAGTCTGGCACATGCACAAACAGCCCCGGGCAAGGTGGATGCTCACCTGCCTTCTGAGAAGCTTCCCACAGTGCCAGACACACCGGCCGCTCCTGCTGTTCCCCCTATTCCGTCTAGCCTTGCTAGGTCCAACACGGGAGCCAAGGCCGACAAGTCCAAGGAAGACAAGAAGCGGGAGAAGAAGGAACAAGAAGCAGCGGAAAAGGCCAGGAAACAAGCCGAGAAAGATCAAGAAAAGCTCAAAGACAAGGAACACCGTGAGAGCATGGCCAGGCAAAGAATGGCTCGTGCGAAAGAAGAAGAAGATATGCGCAAAGCAATGAAGGCCAGCATGCAATCAGCAGAAGCGGACACCAAGAAAAAGGACTCTTCAAGCTCAGGCAGTTTCCTCAACCGATCCAGTCGGGCAAGCAAATCGATGAGCAGGAAGAGTTTCGGGTTCCTCAGCAAGGACAAGGACAAGGCCGAATCGCATCAGTCATCCGAGAATGGGCATGCCAGTCCAGAAGGGATGCCGAGTCACACCGAGAAGCCCAAAGAGTTGAGGGAGCGATTCAGTTTCAACCTTGGCCGGAAGAAGAGCGGCAATCTACTGTCATGAGGCGACGCATGAGGTGTTCTAACGATTCAACTGAAGATTTTGGTATTTGACAGTACATACAGCAAACAAAAAAGGGAGTGAAGAGCAGGATCCTGCGCTATGGACAACCCACGCGATCAGGGTTGGGCACGCATTCTGTCCATGAGCTACATGGATGTTTGGGGGACGGTGGAGATGGCGGCGGCATTGCGCAGATACCCAGGCATGGAGCGGTTTGCTTGGATAATACTTTTCACTTAATGATGCAAAAGAGGGATACGTGTGATGAAGGCATCTTGAGCGTTAGTTACTTTCTCCTGGCACCGCATCGGGCTGTATGATAGCGCAAGGTGTGATCAACAAAAAAGACAGTACAGAGCACGCAAGGGCAGAAAGGGTCTCGAGGTCCAATACTCGGTTCAAAACAATGCAAGCCATGCTCATCACCTGATTGTGATATTACACTCGCCCAAGATTGTAATGTTGCCCGGGGAAGTTTTCAGATAAGGTAACACGTGCCCAGAAAAACCCCTTCCGCTCTTCAACCTTCAACGCCGGTTCGTTACCATGATGCCATGCTGCGAAATTGGAAGAATCAAGCCATCTATGTATGTCATGCAAAGTCCCTTCATTTTGTGTCTCTTTTCGCTTCTCCTCTTCTCTGTGACCCCGACGCCTTACCCGAGGATCAGTTCGTACATGATGATGATGGTGTTGATCCCGATCAAGGGTACTGTGAAGACTGTCAGCGACACGTTCCATGTAGAATTGAGCGCGTATGGAGAGAAAGAGTAGAACGAATAAGGGGGGACGTACTTCTCATAAGTGTCCGTACGCTGGCGATCAGGTTGATGATTTTCGCCTTTACGCTTGCATCGTTGCTTGAGCCGAAAGTTGGGTCGTACGAGGAGGGAGATAAGTTGACTTTTGATTTGGACGCGGGTTAGCTATGGGTATGTCTCGATTCCGGAGGGGAGCGGAGGGGAGGGGGAAGGCAGAACAGAATGTGCTGCAGGATAGGGTGAGACGCACTGCGCGCGAGGAAGCGATCTTCGGAGAGGACTGCGATTGCGTTGATAAGGAGGACGGCGACTGGAGAAAGGAAGAATGTCAGTTTTATGCGGGAAGCTTTCGAGGGGTTGAGGGTGGCCATACTGTAGAGGAAGTTTCCTAGAATGTACATGTTGGCGGTTTGGTGTTGGCTTGGAAAAAGGCCCTAGATGCGGTCGGTTTTGCTGTGTCCCGTTTGTGGGTAGAACCTGGAGGAAAGGGGTGGAGGTGGCTAGCTTCCTTGTTCGAATTGAAGCCAGGTGGTGATGGTGTTGCGCTGCGCTGTCCAGAGCTTACTAGTAGGTTGGAGGGATGGATGCGGATGGGATGCGACGGTCAGATGGTGGGGAGGCGTATTTGATCCGTTCCGAAGGAGAGAATCCCTGCAAAAAAGACGCCTGAAATGAGAGCTGGGGATCTGTCACTGTGTCCATACTGCAGGGGGGGGAAAGTACTACCGGTAGCAGTACGGAGTACTTCGTAAGGTAGAGTGCACAGTACTCCGTAGGCAGGCACGGCTAACAGACAGCTTGCATTGAGTGGTGCACGGACGCTCAGAGCTTCCACCCTTTCAATGGCATGGCATGGCATTTGGATCTGCACGAGACGCCAGCTTACACTTGCTTCCAAGTGAACCAACCTGAAAAGAGAAGCGGAAATCGTGAGAAGCAAAGAATTGAGCGTCATTTGAGGCGAGGAGAAGCACAGGGCAAATCGTTTCAAACCCTCGTTTTCTTCATCCCCATCTTTTCTTTTTTTCCTTCGTCACCTAGGGGCCTATCTCTTCTTATATCTTCCAACAATGAGATAAGTCGGACTCACTCGACAACCCTCCTTCACTTGCTTTCCGCAACGAAATCTCACAACTCCCGTCACGATGAAGCTCATAGGTGATCCAAACCAAAGACCCTTCCCGTTTCTCATCACGATACAGAAAGACTAACTAGGTGCCCCTCAGACACCGCCCTTCTGGGCCTCATCCCAGCCCTCATCACCCTCCACCTCCTCCTAGCCCCAGACACAAAAGTAGAGGAATCCTTCAACATCCAAGCCACCCACGACGTCCTCGTCTACGGCACGCCAACCCACGACGTCGCCGCCCGCCTAAGGGCCACTTACGACCACTTTGACTTCCCCGGCGCCGTGCCCCGCACCTTTGTCGGTCCCGTGCTGCTCGCCGGCCTCGGCGGACCTCTGGTCAACCTCGTCGGCTTCGCCCACGCTCAGCTCGTCGTCCGCGGCTTACTTGGCCTCGCCAACGCCGCCGCCCTCGTCATCTTTGCGAGGAGCTTGAGAAGAGGGTTGGGCGAGGGCGTCATGAGGTGGTGGGTTCTATTGCTCGTCGGCCAGTTTCACGTCATCTTTTACGCGTCGAGGACGTTGCCCAATATGTTTGCCTTCGCCTTGAGTGAGTTTATCTATTTTCCTTGACACCACCCCCCCCCCCCCCCCCCCCCCCCCTTTTTTTTTTTTTCCCCCCCTTCTACCCAGACTCGAGACTGACATCTACCAGCAACCCTCGCATCAGCAAACCTCGTCTCAAACCAGCCCTCGCAATCCCACCTCCCACGCCTCCGCGTAGCCCTCTCCCTCCTTGTCTTCGCCGCCGCAATCTTCCGCTCCGAAGTCGCCCTCCTCCTCGTCACGACCGGCCTCCACCTCCTCCTCACCCGCCAGCTCACGGTCCCCCAACTCATCCGCCCCTTCCTCATCGCCTTCTCCGTCGCCCTCGCCGTCTCCATCCCGCTAGACTCGTACTTTTGGCAGAAACCCCTGTGGCCAGAACTCTGGGGCTTCTACTACAACGCCGTCCTCGGCTCCTCGTCCAACTGGGGCGTCTCCCCCTGGCACTACTACTTCTCCTCCGCCCTCCCGCGCCTCCTCGTCAACCCCCTAACCTTCACCCTCCTCATCCCGCTCGCCCTCGCGCAGCCAGGCACCGCCCGCTCCGCCGCGGGACTCGTCATCCCCCCCTCGCTCTTCATAGCAATCTACTCCCTCCAGCCGCACAAAGAAGCCCGCTTCATCTTCTACGCCATCCCACCCCTAACAGCCGCCGCCGCCCTCGGCGCAAACTTCGTCTTTTCCCGACGCACAAAATCCTCCCTCTACGCCCTCGCCTCCCTCCTCCTCATCCTAAGCATCCTCGCCTCCCTCGCCGCCTCGACGGGCATGCTCCTCCTCTCCTCCCTAAACTACCCAGGCGGCGACGCCCTCCGCCAACTCCACGCCCTCGTCGCCGCGTCCCCCGCCAGCAGCTCCGTGACGACCGTCCACACCGACGTGCTGAGCTGCATGACGGGCGTCACCCTCTTCACCCAGAACCGCGTCGGCCTCCCCAAGAACCCGCACTCCCGCGCCCTCGAGACCTCTCTTCACCAAGACTCTTCTTCGTCATCATCATCATCATCAGGCGCCAGCACCGATCCGATCTTCTCCTTTGACAAAACAGAAGACAAATCCATCCTCGCCGACCCGGGCTTCTGGTCCCGCTTCGACTATGTTCTCGCCGAGGACGCTGCCTCCGTCAAGGGAGGCCAATGGGAGACGGTGGGTGTCGTGCAAGGGTACGCCGGCATCGAGGTGCTGAAGCCAGGTTCCGAGACCTCGGACGCGACCGGGGACGAGGAGACGGGGGAGAGCAAGATCCTGGGCAGAGGACTCGTCGTCAAACGCGTGCGGGACTTTGTACGGGGCTTGACGGGCGGCTGGTGGGTTGGACCGCGTATGGAGCCGCGGATACGCATCATGAGGCGGGCCAAGGATGTTGGCGGTGCCGGTGCCCGTATCGTGTCTTCATAGAAAGTAGTGTGTGTAAGAATACCAAAAGTATGCATCAATGTCAGACAGATGGTCTCAGCATAAATCAGCACAACACGCGGACGTGATAGCACGACTTTGATTGCTTATACGAAGCAAAGAAGGAAAAAGCCTCAAAGTTGATGAAGACAATACTAGGTATTTCAATCGTTTCATACGCCGTGCGGTGTGCTCCGGCTTTGGGCAATAAAGAACAAGAGCAGACACTATCCTACCACAAAAGGCCAAAACCAATGCAAGGCCTTCAGTTTCCCCTTCTCCAACACCAACAACAACCAACCGGTGACCACTGCCGCCATCTCTTTCCCCCAAACCCAAAATCACTACACACTTTTTTTGTTTTCAGTCCATGCCCAGAAACAGCCCAGCCCCAATGGCTTGCTGTGGTCCCAATCCACCCGCCCTTGTCCTTATCCACCGGCCTTTACCTCCATCCAACACGCCCTTCCAACGACCAGCCGGTCGGAGCAGCTCGCTAGCCCAAGCCCTGGGTAACCCAACTTTCTGAAGCAATGACATACGGAAAGCAGTTTTGTTTGATCAAACTGCGGCTCGCTAAAATTGGCTGGGGTGTCGTAATCGCATGATACAGTAATGGAATATGTATATAAGAGGCGCCGTGTTCCCCCCCTTAAAGAAACGGGTATCCAGGTATTGTTGTTGTTGTTGTTGTTGTTCTTGTTATTGTCGTTGTAGTAGACGGGATGCTGTCTCGCGTCGTAGGTATACTATATGAGGTCGCTGCAAGGGAATCATGAAATGAACGCTCGCCACGCTTCTCTCATTCCGTTTCGCTCCCGTCGTCTTCAGTGTCGTTCAACTCGCCATACAACGCCTTGTACCGTGCCAGCTCGGCCATTTGCTTGGCAACCTGGTCAAGGATGTCACTCATGGGACCTCGCATGTCCTCCAGTTGTTGCAGTGGAGCGCTGCCGAACGCAATGTGGCGAAGCGACAAACTCGTCACACATGTCTGTCACTCTGTTAGCCAAGGTCCTTCACATACAAGGACTGTCTCATGACTTACCTCTATTCTGCTCACTTGATGCTCCATAAAGTTGAGCAGGAATCGTTCCGTGACCTCTCCTCCTCGATGTTTCATCCTCTCCAACAACTCTGTTTCGGGTGGTTGTAAGCCCTGGCCAGAGACATTTTCTAGAGAGCTGCACAGCATCTCCAGCCGTAAGCTGACACGCCACAAAGCCCAAATTGATTCCGTGTCAAAAGCCAACTCGCTGCCTGCTTGGAGAATGGCGGGTTTGTCGACCTCGGTTCGTTGCTCGTGTTGTTGATGATGCTCGATACGGCCTGCAAGTGCATGCGGGTACAAGGAGTATACGACTTCGGGGTTCTCAAGGCCTTTGAGCTTCTTCTCACCCATTTCCTTCACCTCAAAGCCCTGGGAGCTGAGAGATCGCAGGTCTTTGCGGATTGCCGAGCCCATCTGGTCGTCATCAAAGGTATCCTCGGATCCAGTCGATCCGTTTCTGTCTGTGTCCTGATAGTTCTCCAGACAGCGCTGAATCTCTGAGATGAAATCAGATGAAACGGTGATTTGACCACCATCAGCAACGGACGAGATACGAGAAGCTTTGTTGACCATTGGACCAAAGTAGTCCATACGCCTCGTGACGGGATCCATCTCACTGACGGCTTCACCAAAGTGAATGCCCATGCGTACGGAAAGACCCTTGAATATCAGGGCGTTGTCCTTGTCGTAAAGTGCCTGGCAAGAAACGGAGTTGATGACTTCGGAAGGCCAATTGACATCCAGCAACGACATTTGAACAGCAAAACACCAGAGAAGCGCTGATGTGGCTGTAGGGAAGGAGACCATGAATGCATCTCCTTCGGTCTTCACTTCGTATCCACCGATTCTCCGCAGCTGCCGACGCATGACCTCGTTATGCAGCTTGATTGCAGATCTCATGGCAGCGGGATACATCTCCCATAGAGTGGTCGAGTTCTTGATATCAGTGAAGGCGATGGAGACATTGCCCGTTGGGGCTGGGATCTCGGCCTCGAGACGTTGTAGACTTGAGTCGAGAACATCGGCCTTGTTCCTCTTACCTCTTCGCATGGGCTGCTGAAGGTCTTCCGGTACGCCTGAGGGATACAGAGACATACTCTGGCCACGATGAAGCCTTGACCGTTCGACCCGCCTCTTAAGATCGGCGACGCTCATCATCATGACCATGATCTTGTTGGTGGCGCCATAGGCAATGGCCAAATCACGAAGCTTTTGCGACGCTCTCATCAAGTCGCCGCGCTCCTGCCTTGCAAAGTCAACCACCAAAGCAGGATCCAGATACTCCCAAAACTCTCTAGTGGCAACCAGGATAATGTCATCCTGCTCGCGGATGGTGAAGTTGCTGACGTAGGGGGCAGCTTGAACCGCTGGCATCAGGTCTACGTAGCCAAAGGCCCTGGAAACCTCGAGCAGGTCGTTCAGTCTGCCGTTACGCGAGACCCAGCCACCTGCCTCACGGATCCGTTGGCGCTCGCTTGGTTCTGCTGGGTCGTGCTTTCGCGTAAGGATCTTGTGAGAGCCATCGGTCTGAATCAGCATAGCTTGCGCGTCGCCCACGTTGGCGACGTAGAGCTCGGTGTTTTGAAGATAGACCACAGTGGCAACACCACCAGAGTTGAGATCCTCCTTGGACAACACAACTGGCGTTGCAGAGCCTCTATGCGTCTTTTGCGAGCGCTCTTCGGTGTGTTGGATGGCGATGGTGACGAGGTCCTTGTTGAGAGATAAGAAAGCCCGCCTCAAAGCATCCGCTGGTGTCTCATTGAGACGCGTCTTGAGGCCCTTCAACTCCATGCCAAAGATGTGACCAAAGTTCTCATGCAGATACTTGGCAATCTTGGAACCTCCACTGGAGAGAGCCTGCCCGTCAAACAAGCCAAGCAGAGTCTCAGTCTCCGTGGAGTTGTATCGAGGCACCACGAGATCGATGGTTGACAAGTGTTCGTTCTTGCCCAACGTGTCGGCCATACCGTACGGAAGATGGCCAGCAAGAGAACCTGAGGTTCGCACACGGCGATCCTCACTCTGATCGGGAATCGTAGGCTGCGTGAGGGTGACATCCATGAGACCTAGAACCCTCAGATTCGAGAGCCTGTTGAAGTCGGCGAGAGATTCTCGGTTTGTCACAGTCGGACCAACAGTGGTCTGCTTGATCTCCAAGCGCTTGTTGCCCGACAGATTGAGGTATCTCAGGTTAGGGTTGAGGTTCCAGTTCCAGTCGTACGGAACATTGGAGATGTTGTACTTCAGGGAGTTGCTACCACAGTCCAAGACCGCAAGCTTCTTAGCCCTGGATATGTCGGCCGGCAGGTTGGTGAACTTGTTCCCGTTGATATGTAAGACCTGCAGCAGACTGGCGTCTTCGAGATCATCGGCCGGCAATGTCGTCAGCTCGTTACCAGAGAGGTAAAGCTCAACCATCTGGGGCCAGCTCTTGATTGATCTTTGCGGCATGTCGTTGATGTAATTCCAGGACAGGTTGAGGACGCGAAGCTCGTTGAGCATTGTGATCTGGTCGAACACCTCGTCGTCAAGTTTGTTCTCAGCCAAGTACAGGTTGCGCAGAGATCCGGCAAAAGTTGTGTAAAGTCTCGACGACAGACTGGAATCTTTCCTTGCGGTCGCAGAAGGTGGGAGCGGTGGCACGGTGCCGGCCGATGTGGACCTGGACACCACTGACGTCTTGCGGCCACCCTTACCATAGACCGACACTACAGAACTCTTCCTGTCACCACCGCCTGGTACAGGCGACGGTCCAACGCTCAACAACGTTGACGATGAGTTCTGGCTCGGTCTCCTGGAGGCATCGGGTGATTCTTCCAAAGGAGATTGGGCAATGCGCTCCATCGGGTTGGCCTTGTTCACGGCAGCTGGCGTCTGGGCTTCTTCGCCTGATGGCCGGGGTTGTCTGGAGCCTGGCTTGGGGAAGTTCTCCAAGATATTGGAAGACGCGTTGAGAGTCTCGAGCTTATTGGCCCACCACAGCTCCATTGGTAGTTTCCTGATATTGTTCCTCCGCACGTCCAACACTCGCAGTTCTGTGAGACATCCTATGGATGGCGGAAGTTCCGCTACGTTATTGTTGGCAATGCTGAAGTGCTCCAGCTTGCTGAGATTTCCGATGAGTGGTGGCAAGGAAACGAAGTAGTTCTTGTCCAGCACGAGGCGCTCCAGGTTCAACATCATGTTGAATGTCTCGTCGATACTCGCAAGCTGGCAATGCGATAAATTGAGCATCTTCAACGTCAAAACTGGCTCGTTGATCTCGAACTTGGTGATGGGGTTTGAGTTCAATTTCAGGCTCCGTATCCTATCGAAGCTGCCGATGAACTGTGAGATGCTGTTGTGGTCTGCAGAGAGAATCTCCAGCTTGGGAAGCAATGATATGATGTCGATGCTCGTAATGGCGTTGTATTTGATATCAAGCTCCCGAAGACCTTGTAGCTCGCTGAAAGTATCGGGCAGTGCATTCGATAGCCTGTTGTTGGTTATGACAAACTTTTCCAAGTTTCTCAGTCTTCCAATCTCATTTGGAAGACTGCTTATTGAGTTGAAGCTCAGGTCCAACTCGACAAGAGTCTCCACCTGGCAAAGGAACAGTGGAAACTTATCCAAGAAGTTGGACGAGATATTGAGGTTCCGCAGAGCCCTGTAGGCACCAAAGTACGGCGGGAGTGCCTTGAGGCGGTTATTGGCTATGTTGAGCTTTAGTATGCCCTGCAGACCGTTCAGTTCGGCGTGGTCCAGCTGTTCCAATCGATTATTCGATACATCGAGGTATGTCAGCTTTGCCGCCTTGCCCAAACTGGGGGGTAATCTTCGTGCTTCATTATTGTTGAACTTGATGTCTCTCAAGTTTTGACATGACTGAATGAAGTCGCGAGGGAGATCCAGAGAGAGGTTACGGGAGAGGTTTAGTGATATGATCTCAGAGGCCTTTGAATAGAGCGAGATGGGAATGGTAATGAGGTTGCGGCCAGCGAGGTCGACGTGGTTGAACTTCTGTATGCGTCCGAGTCCGAGATCATTCGTAACGGAGTGGAAATCGCTCTCTCTTGATGAGAGGAACATGAATCGGCACAGATAGCTGTTGTCCTCCCGGCCCACGTCTTCGATGCGGTCCCGCTCCTCGTAACCAATCTGTTGCAGCAGCCGCTTCTGCATCAACAGCGGTCGCTCGGGAGCTGCGAGCACCCGAACCAAGTCATGCTTCTTAAGAATGATGTGGTAATTCTCCAACCCGTCAGTAGCGTAAGTCTTTTTGATAAGCTGTGATATAACATCGGTGACGCTCGCGTCGAGAGCCATGGACAAAGTCGCAAACGTCCCGTCGGATCTGAAGATTCGGATGCAGTAAGGTGTCATCTTCTCGTCGGGTCGAGGCGGGCTTCCAATATCGTCAATGTCTGGTGCCTGGTACGTGGTGTCCTCGGTATTACGACGTACAGCCCAGCTGTCCGGCGCGTTCCAAGAACCATTGGGTCCGAGGACAGCATCGGGCTTCGCGGGCACTGGAGGTGGTTGTTCGACTTTTTCGGCATCGCCAATGCTAGAGAAGACGCCGCTGTCCATGGGTGTCAAGGGTTGGGGCTTCGTAAGGATACCATCCATGTCGCTCAGGTTGGTGTCCAAGTGAATTCCTCCAAGCGATCCGAGATTATTGTTCGCGCCGGGCTGCCTATCCGTCGGTCCAATCTGCTCATCCGGCTCCATAGTCCGTTGTTGCCGGCCTTTGCTCTTGGAGAACGGGAATCTGTTGTTAAACGTTTGGTTTCGTTGGTTATACGCTGCTAGTCGAGGGTCCTGGTCTGAACCGGGCTCGGTGCCTGAGAAGGCGAGCGGGAATGTCGAGGGCGATAGCTCGGGTCTAGCGAATTCGGGACGAGAAGGCTTGGTAGCCAGTGACCGAGTCGAACCGGGCAGGTCGCGTAATCTAGACGCCCCGTCATCTTTGTCCTTGTTCCGCCGCAGACGATGCAACAGATTTCGCTTGGAATGATGCTGCGGCTGCTGCTGTTGCTGCTGCTGGCCGCCGGGCGACGTGGAGCCATCGACAGTGCCATGTCTCGAACTGAAGTAGCCGCCGCTCGGCGTCGGGCTTTGGGCGCGGGATCGATTGGAGCCGTACATGACTGTCGCTGCAGAGCCACCGCGCTCTCGGGGGTTCTGCTGTACTTGCAAACTGGCCTGCGAATCTTCCCTGCTTACAGTCGGTCGCAGCGCCCTGCCATCATCAATGCTCCTGTTGTGTCGGTGGTGGTGGCCAGGGAGATGCACGATTGAATGGCCGGAGCGGCTGGATGAGGAGGTCTTTGGTGGATTTTGCGGGTTGTTGGGATTTTCGTTGTTCATGTAACGTTCGCGGTCGGGACCGCTCAAAATGTCTCTGACTGGGGCCTCGCCGAACCTGGCAATATCCTTGAAGCACATTTAGCAGTCTTGACTCGACACAGGACGGGTGGAAGAAGGGGTAATAAGAGATAAGATAAGACGATGGGTTGATGCGGCGCAATTCCCGTATGCGAGATAGCGGCGCCAAGGGTGCGGATGTGCGGAATGCGGATGGGGATTGAAAAGAGGAGGGATGTTCGCAACGAAATAAATCGTGGAGAGTGGGATCAACAACAATGCAGCGTCTATTGTTACTCACATCAGCTTCCTGGTAGAGGAACGGCACGACTTCAGGAGCCGGCACTGGGGTTCTTGGTCTTGACGAGGAAGGCGAAGCTTCTCGGTCTCGTGCATGGTCTGTCGCGTTAGAGTAGTTGCGATCCCTCGTAGGGCGGCTGTGGCTATAGGAACGCGAGCGATCCCTGCCAGAACTCGAATGCAAGCTGCTCTCGGAACCGTCTCGCCCAGGAAACTCCTCCCCAAAGAAGCCCTGTAGTTTTTGTAATCCACCTCTCCGAATGCTCGTCTTGGAGCCCTGACTGCTCAACGTTGTTATGCTGGCCAGAGACGGCCTTCGTTCGTCTCCGAAATATGCTACATCTGGCGAATCTTGACTACCAGAGGATTGAGGCGCAAGGCGATTTGTAGGCGGACGGAAGCCAGGCGAGAGCTGGGAAGCGACGGATAGGTTATCGCTCGAGTCGTTATAAAAAGTGGTATTGAGCTGGCTCTGAGGCGTGGATGCGGTGGCACCGCCGTTGGATGGCGACATCCAGGGAGCTATCTGGGAATTGGACGAGGGAGTAGCTGTGGGAGGGTTGTGTTGTATAGAGGGCAGACGGCCGCCAGAGGTCTCTAGGACGGCCAGGTCTCTTCGGTAGTTGGCGAAGTCGCTCAGACGGTGATCGCGATAGGACGAGGCATTGGACTTTGTTGTTCCTGGTGACAAAGCTCCGCGCGGCGCAGAAGCAAAAGTGGAAGAGGCGGACGGGTCGGCTGGACTCAAATCACTAATGAAAGATCTAGACGGGGGGCGGAACGCAATGACCAGTCAGTTATGGGTGCATTCGTCAATCAAAGAAGGGAACACGGAGGAAAATGGAAGAGAAAGTTGTTAGTCCGGTGGGAGAATGAGTTTGTCTTGGGTGCTTGGCTTGAGAAGCTGCAACTGGGCTGGACTGGAGGGATCGAAAACAGCAGATAGCTCCACCATCGAAGCGACTGACGACAAAGCTTGCCTGGGGCCGGGGCGGAGGAGGAGGAGGCGAGGGGACGGGGGGGAGGGGGACGGACGACGGGGAAGGGTGAGGTAAGGCAGCGCAGGCCGCAGGACAGGACAGGGAACGTACGAGGTACGATTGGGGTGCGGATGAGGCTTGGGAACAGCCCAGGTACGAAATGGGTAGGTATCCGTACAAAGTAAGGTAGTGTGCGAGAGAGAGGAGGGGTGGAGGGGAAGGGGATAGAGATGGGGACAAGACCAGACAATTGTTGCAATGCGCACACCAAGGCAATACGGGCAAAGTAGCAGACTGGAAGCAGCCCAGTACGGAGTAAAGCAGCATGTAGCAGGGCAGAAAAAAAACACACACACACACACAAGCACACAAGCACACAAACCCAAGCTGGTCGCACCTCAGTCCTCAGCTATGAATAACGTGAATAGTCTAGAGACTGAGAGTCCTTGGACCTAGACACTATTCGTACACCAGTTGGAGGTGTGTCTCGCCTGGGGCTGGGACTGGGTTTCGGGACGCCGCCGCGGCACGCAGGGAAAAAAGCTGCGGGACGACACAACTTGAACCAACGAGCAACAGGGAACAGCGGCCCTGGGCAGCAGAGCAGCGACAGAGACAAGAGACAGAGACAGAGACAGAGAAAAAGAGAGGGACCAGGAAAAGAAGAGAGCGCCAGGACCACCTCACCTCACCTCACGACTCAAACAACCCACTCGTGGATTGCGGCTTGCGACGTGCGCACGCAACACCACAGACAGAGTGGGAGGCGTAATGAGTGTACTCCGTATGGAGTGAGAGTTGAGGAATGGACACTGGCGTCGAAGTGAGTTGAGTTGAGCGGTCTCACTCTCATGCTCACTCTCACTCACACCACACACACGCTCTCTCTCTCTCTTTCCCCTACTCCCTCTGGCTTGCTTGGTGGAGATGGTATAGAGTGATGGGAATTGTGTTTTGTGTGTGTGCGTGGGTTGCTTGATGATTGATTGATCGACTGGGGGTCATGGGGAACGGACCGGGACAGGCACACAGGGCCAAACATGAGAAAGAACATGACACTCACTTGTCTGCGAGGGATCCATTGCTACCGGTGTTGCCATTGCCATTACCCTCCGTCTTGAGGCGCATGGACGACTTGCGCGATGCTGGTATGGGATTGCTGGAAGGTCTCACGGTGGCCGATGATCGGGTGCTGTCGGTACTGGTGCTCGTGAGAGAGCTGAAGCGGGAGCCGGCCTCATTCCTCGTCATTGTCGCCAGGCCGTCGCGAGAGGGCGTAGAGCCATGTCATTCCCAAGAAACAAGGTTGAGAAAAACAGAGGGGACCGGCGCAGCACGGTGCGCTATCGCGGTTCGCGGTGGGCGCAGTGCTTCGTACTCGTACGTATCCGTAATTCCGAATTATGAAATGGACGAAAGCGTGAGCTGTGGGCACAGGGACGGGATCCGTAAGTTGGGCCTAGCGGGCACGCGGGTAATCGACGACGAGGGTGGAGTGGGCAGTAATCGTAATTGATATTTGCGGGTGTGCTGTCTCCGTACGATAAGGTAAGGTACTCGGCAAGACAATGTGGTGTAGGTGAGGTGTGGAACAGCGGCGGCGATTGCGTTTGCGACTTTGCGCACTTTCAGGTTTCGATGAAGAAAGTAAGCAAGCGATCCGGTGAGAAGCGGGGGCTGGCGTCGAGGTTGACGATTCCGTCTAGTGAATGTACGGATAGGATATTCGCAAGGTCGCAAGGTAGAGAAGCGGGCACGAAAACAGCTCGCGGGCGACACACTCTAGAGTGCAAGAGAGGGGTCGAGGCCGTTCTGAGAATGGGCCGACAGAGACAGAAGTAGAATTGGGTACGATTAGATCATGCTTGTGGCGGCTAGGTGGAATGTAAAGGAATTGGAACGGCGGCGGGACAGTAGGTATGTATTGTCGTCAAAAGGTGGCTGTTTTGGCAGCCCGGTCGCATCTGCTGATGTCAGTTGTGGTGCGAAGAGGCGAAAAGGAACGAAGCTGCGGGACAGCGAGAATAGCGAGGATATGTATGGTGGTAAGGTAGGGCCGAAAGGTGTCTGCTGCTGCTACTGAGGTGCGTTCAGGCAGTGTAAGTAGGGAGTACTCAGGTAAGGTAGTCTTGTACGACGGACAGATGAGCTCTATGGGTGAGGTAAGGTAAGGTAAGGTAAGGTAAGGTAAAGTGAGGTGAATGAGAGGCGAGAAGGTCCTGGTTGGGTAGCGCCACTCCGTACTCCGTACCCAAACTAAAGTTACGTGGTGTGCAGAGTGCTGGTGCGATACGGAGTAGGTACTTTGAAAGGTATATGGTCGGGTGGCGTGCCGCGCGTGGTGTGCAGACGGCAAAGTGTTCCCGGCGCTCTATGTTGGCGATGCTTGGTAGAAGGAGGTGCCCAGGAGGTGCCCTCGACGAGAGTCTTTGCCAGCTTTCTTCACCACTCACCAAGTCATGTTACAGTCAATCGTTTCTGCGTTCTCGTAACTGTGAGTTGTGAATTTAGGGTGCTAGATACGCCGAGCTACCTTGCAGAGTAAACAGTCGTGCCTGCCTCGAATTGCGAGATAGACGAAGCATGTACCCATGTATTTACACAGCTAGGTAGAAAGTTCCCAAGGTACTCAAGTACTTTACCGGTGGAAGGTACCAAGTCAGGGAAGGTGGCTACTTAAGCTTTGGGTAAGGCGAAGCACTCAGTGACCAATGGCTTGTTCCCATCCCAATTCAATCCCAATGCCTCCCGTCCGTACAACCCCAAGGTGACACTACCAGGTACAACGTCCATGAGGCAATGCGCATGTAGAAAGGAATCTCGTCGTTCAATCTTGAATGCTACTTATCCCTAGGGATCTTCTCATTTTAGAGGCCATGTTTGAAAGGAGCACCAACATTCCATGTTTCAATCCCAGGAAACCCTGTCAGGCTGTCACCATAAGCCTTGACACACAATCTCTGTTTAAGGTAGTGTACCTGTCCGTTTTTCGTATACCTACCTTACCTCAAGGTAATGTGAGAGGTACCTCGACACCTACCTTGGACAGGAAAGTACCTTACCTCATTAGCAGCTGGAGGTGGGCTTTTCCGGGGATTAGACCCGCTCCAGAACTCGCTTCCGTCGCTCTGCCGGAGCGTAGCGCGCTGAGGTGCGGTTGAGTGGGCGAGTGGGTAAGCGGTTAGCCGGGCCAAGTTCCAAGTTCCAAGTACCTTACCCAGACTTACCAGTCTCAGACTCTCAGAGACCAGCAGGAGTGTCGCTCAGACCAATTCAGTGAAAGAGAGCCATCAGGAGCTATGTACTTCCGTATGTCTCTCCCAGACCATACTCCAAGAGGCGTCTCTTTGCGCCTACATCCTTGCATTCATCGATACCATGCAATGCCCTCCGCCTGAAGCTCCCTCCCTCTCCTGAGTTAAAAAAAAAAAAAAAAGATACGTAGCAAAATGGCTGGATGCTTCAAAGACAACCTACTAAAAAGTTGTCGAGACGCTTAAATCACACGTTGAGATGCACACAATCACGTGTTGTCGATGCACATGCAAGACATCATCGTTTTTTATTTTACTTTTCGTAATCTCAAAATTCTGCCAGGCAGAGCTTCGGTTGCCCTTGTTTCGAGAAAATCAAAGTGTTTGGTTCCCCAATACCTAGCGCGGTGGGTGTGAGTGACAATATCTTCATTTTAGCGTCTGAGATTCCGTCAAGTGGCCCTTTTGGCTGAGGTGCTGAGGTAGGTACGGAGTACGGATACAGGGAAGGTGGGATAGCAGGTAGGAACATCGGTACTCACGGACCACCTGTACAAGATGTCGGGTAGATGGTAGCGGACAGGGATGGCACCTGATCTGGCGAAGGTGGGGCGATGGGCAGTTCCATGATTGGTTTTCCCGGCTGTGAGTGGCTGACATGTTTGGGGGAACTTGGGAATGAAGTGTGGAAGGTCCTCCTTCTTGGCTACCTAGTCTGTTTGTACCTTTGTACCTTTGTACCTCCTCACCTTCTCTCCTCCCCTACCTACCTTACCTGAGGTAGGTGCTCCGTCCAGCAGGAACGTACTTAGCCATGCTATCTCGGGACTTGCCATCTCCCGCTAATCACCTGCGACACCTCAAGTATCGTCCTATCGTCCGTTCGCATTCTACCCAATATCACCCACCAAGAGACGAGAAACAAGAGAGCACATCTCAACGTCAACCGTCCACCCGTCCCCGTCCACCTCGCAAGGAACGGACTCGCGACTCGCGACGCCAGAGCTGAGCAGAGGTCAGTGTCACCGTCCAAGGGACGGGCTGGCAGGGGAACAGACGACAGACTCACAGAGCAATACGACTCTGGCACTCGCTGCCCAAAGTCATTTCCGATATTCCTCTTCCTCTCTTTGAAGTTTGACACCAGAAACCTCAGACCAGTCACTTTACTACGGATAGACCAGACCTCCTTCTCTCATCTCAACATACCTAGACCCATGGACCTCCGAGCACACGTGTACACAGTACGGAGTACTCCGTACGGAGCATGGAGAACGAAACAGAAGCATTCTTTCACCTTAGTCAGTCAATGTTTCCTGTCTGCTTGTTCAACCCCCCGACCTCAGTCTCACTTCATCTTGGCACACCGGCGGTACGCAAGGTCCAGCTCCAAGACTCCATCTCAGCGCGGCTGCTGAAGCCGCTACTGTTGCGTGGCTGTTGCTATTATTGCATGCTCGTTGTCGCATTATGATGTTCCATTGCTCGATTGGAGCAGTCTCCAGCTCTGGCCAAGCATCTTCGGCCCCTTCTCTCCACTAATAAGGCACCTTACGAATACTCTCAACCCATACTCCGTCTTGCATGTCCATTCCTGCAATATAGTATACCAACTGCTACCATGTTATGCATCCATATTTCGACTTGGTCATGTACTCTGGACCATGTCGCGATACCTCATGGCCGTCCTCCTGCGATTCATTCCCAACTCCAGTCAAGCGCCCGTCGTTGGGATCCGTCCAAGTTGCGAGATGACTGTCACATTCGAAGCCTCACTCACGGACATGGCCCGTCTGCCAATTGGATGACAGAGTGACGACCCCGTTGCTAGCTTTTTCTGCCAATATCAAATCCAAATTCCTCCAAGTTCCAACCATGGCCCCTGGCAACTCATGTCATTCCACGGACGCAGTTCCGTTACCTTGCGGCTGGTTTAGGTTGCCTGCTGCACCTTGCCTAGCCATGCAGCCACAGCCCACATTCATTCCCGACTCGTTGAGCTCGCATACGAATAAACACTCACACCACATCTCATACTTCACCCACACACGCACACGCACACGCACACATGTCAGCCATGCAGCAGCCCGCGGGGCAACGCATAGGGCAGACATCACAGTTCACCATCAGGGCAATTCAGCTCAGACGCTCGTCTCATCCTGTATCCCTACTTCGTACGCCTTCACGACCGCTGCGCGAATACCCCACGTCCCCTGGTGCTCTAGGGTTCCCCTTCTTCGCTCTCTTCCATTGCCTCCTCGTCTGCCTCCCTCTGTTGCCTGACCCTGCTCCCCCCCCCCCCCATCCAAGCAAGCAACATCACACATGTTGTCGAGCGAGCAGCCTCCCTGCTTGGCCACATGTCTTCTACCACTCTACTTGTTCTACGCAGCAACTCTGCTCATCTATTGAGGCTACACTTCCCAGTGACTCCCAACCGTCGTTCACGACATTAACCGTCCAGGCGTGCAAGGCCCAAACTCTATTCTCCCATCACCACCTCCAAGCGTCAATATGGCCTGATACTGACATCTTATTTGGCAGTTCGATCTCTGCACCAAGCTGTGGCTACAGCTATCTCAAACCATGACTTCTCAGTCACCCTACCCAAACCAAATTCATCGCTTTCGCTACTCGCCTCTTACATCGTCGCCTGTTGCCAAAGAACGCCCAGCTCTACATGTTCTACCACCTAATCCCAGTCCTCCCACTCTCCGACGCCACATGTCTTGCCTATGAACAAGAAGGACTGCCCACCAGAGAGCGACCAATGCGCCCACTTGAGGGCCCTCGTTTCGTTGCTTTCGGGCCTCTCAGCACCACCTCACCTCTCCTCTGCCTGGCCATCCTTGCACGTCTTACCGTTCCTGCGTTACCATGCACACCAACATCAGCCTTTACCTAGGGAGAGGCCGCGTCTGCAACCTCATTCTTGTCCTCAGTACACCTCTGACACGGGTCGTTGCTCCGGAGATCGCCGCCATCAAAGCCGCCCCAATCTCATGATTCTAGCTGTCTGGGTCATGCGAGATATGCAAAGCAAGCAACCATAGTGAAACAACAATATCAACATCAACGTTGATGTTAATACTATCGCCTGGGGCGTTGGAGTCAGACGCATCGCCATGGCTAGGTGACTATTCTATCACCAAATTGACCGTTATAATCAAGCGATTGTATTCGAGTGGTTGACATCTGTTCACTATGTCGAGCTGAGCTGTTGGTCAAGGCACGTCAACCTTGCACTCTAGTCAAGTGTAGGCAATTCCAGGGGCAACTCGTTGCGAATGGCAAAAAAGGCCGATGTGCCTTTCGTAGGTTTTGCCTTTCCGTCCCCGGAATACCTTATGCCCCAAGGCCTACCCTCCCTGTTCAACGATTCGCGAGCCGCAACGACGACAGGAAGATCGACAACCTTCTTGGGTCTAGATCTGAACTCATCAGTTGGCATAACATGCTTGGAGGCCTGGTCCAACCCTATGTACTACTGTTCCCAACACGCCATATGAAGTTTCATCGACAAGTCGAAGCACCGGTCATAGGATGCATTGTTACACCCTCAATGGTCCCTGAAGATCTACGTGAGCTCCCGAGTCAAGACATTGGCTCAAGGGTTGCAACTGTTCTTTGTTTCTGAAGCATCTCAATCCCGTCTGGACAATGTTGCCTTCGGAGCAGCTTTCCGGTCATCTCGTCCCATCCTTTGGCAACCACTACTTGTAAGCACAAGCCCGTATGCTGAAGCGGGGCCGGCATGTTTGTTTAAGCCGCATCAGGTCAACTCGCCATATCTTTATTGACTCGAGGGCAAATGTCCATAGCTTCTAGAAGGTAGTTCCTCTGAACAACTTGATTTATCACGAGCGCACCATGAAACGGTCTCGAGCGAGTAAAAGAGCGAGTCCAACACTCCATCACATGGGCCTGGACGTGGCCGCGCATGGATCGAGCTGGTAAAGATGTTCTTTGTCCCTATTTTCTTGTACCGAACCTCTCGTCCTTTCCCAGATATGGTATGCCAGTAAAATCCGCGCCACCCAAAACGAACGCAACAGAAACACAGTTTTCAGAAAAAAACACGCCATTCTCTAATCTTGTCTTGCCGGGTCCAGTTTGACTTCTCCCACAATGGCATCGACCTCGGCCATGATCTCGGGCGTCAGCTTCTCCAGAACCTTCAATGCGCCCACATTCTCGACGATTTGCTCCGGCCTCGAGGCTCCGGTGATCACGGAGGTAACGTTGGGGTTCTTGAGGCACCACGCCAGGGCCAGCTGCGACTGCGTCGCGCCGAGCTTCTCCGCAATACCCTGTCACGCACATTACCCCGGTTAGCTAACATGTTGCGTGCCGAGTCGCGGGGCGTCGTCGTCGTCGTCGTCGCCGGACGCGCGGGGAAGAGGGGGGGGTGACAGAAAACAACAGCATTCAACAGTCAAAACTCACCTTGAGCTTGACGACGTTCTGAATCAGCGCCTTCCACTCGTCGTTGCCGTACCACTCCTTATTGGCCCAGTTGACAAACTTATCGCCCTTACCCTCCGCGAACCGGCTCCCGGCGGGAGGCGCGTCCGGGTTATCGTTGTACTTGCCGCTCAGCAGGCCCATCTTGATGGGGCTGAAGACGGTGAGGCCGAGGCCGAAGCGCTGGTACAGCCTCTGGAACTCGTACTCGACCTTGCGGCGCTCGAGGATGTTGTACTGGGGCTGCTCGACGACGGGCGCAATCATGCGGAGGTCCTTTGCGATGCCGCAGGCCTCTGCGATCTCGTCGGCGCTCCACTCCGAGGTGCCCCAGTACATGGCGTAGCCCTTGTCGATGACGTGGTTGAAGGCGCGGACGGTTTCTTCCATGGGGGTTAGGCGGTCTGGTCGGTGGGCGTAGACGATGTCGACGTATTCGAGGTCGAGGCGCTTGAGGGAGGCGCGGAGGCCTTCGATGATGTGTTTGCGGGAGAGGCCGTGGTTGTTGACGAGGACTTGGCCGTTGGCGCCGCCCCAGTTGAGCTGGTACATTGAGGTTTAGAATTGTTGTTCGAAGTTGCCGCTGACACTGCGAATGGCGGGGTTAAGGGTTCGTGGTCTACCTTTGTTGTGACGACTATGTCGTTGCGGTTCCAGTTGAACTTCTTAATGGCCTGGCCCATGATGATCTCCGAGTTTCCGCCCGCGTAGCTATAATTGGAGGTTTGTGGTCAGCCAACCTCCCCGTCACTCGGCCGCAGCCGCATGGGATTATACGGGTAGAAGTTCTTCTGGGGAAGCTCACCTCTCAGCCGTATCGAAGAAGTTGACGCCAAGGTCGTAGGCCTGCTTCATACACGCAAACGTTTGCTCTGCAAGGTGGCCGTTAGTGACGGCCCAGATCGTTCTAGACCCGGTCCCATACCATTCTCAACGTGGCCGCCGAAGCTGTGTGTTTATCAAAGTTAGCACGATGTTCTCCCAAGTCACTGGGATGGTGCTAATCTAGGTGAGGATGAGAGATTGAGGAACGTACGTCAACCAGCCGCCCAAGCCAAGCACCGAGACGTGAAGTCCAGAGTTGCCCAGGCGGCGGTACTGCATGCCCGTCTTTCTCGGCTCTTCCCACGCCATTGTGTCTGTTCGTTTTGTTCGTTGTCGATTACGGGTTTAGATGTGTAGGTAGTTCGTCGTCGGCGTCGTCTCTCGAAGTGTTGATACGGGAAGCAATGGGTGCTAAAAGAATAGAATGTTTTGTTTACATTTGCTCCCAGAATCTCTCATCTATTTTTTTTTTCTTACACTGCCTAATGATTTACCCCTCCGTCCTCGGTCTCACGCACATGTTCAAAGCTCCTCCAAAAGAGCTTGCCCCGCACCCCTCCCTCTGCGGAGATATTATCGGAAAGTAATGTTGCCTTCTTTTACCCCTCCAAAAAAAACCCCCACCACGTCATACTAAGAGGTAAGGTGTGGTAATCCGTAGTAGTGGAATTCGCTAGCATTGGCCAATTACTGTTGGATGCACACAACCTACCTTACCTTAATACCCGTGGACTTGTGTGCTGCGGTGCGGCTGGCTGCGGCTGGGTAAAGCAGCTTGCATGTTGGTCTCCCCAAAGATTGTCTCCATGCATTTGCGTACAAAAAGGATGGCGGTAGACGGGTAAGAGGTTCGGAGGCATACGGACAGAACGACTGTAAACCAGGGCTGACCTCCTGTACTTTTGCGGCCGAAAGCCCGGCCGGCCGATACGGGATTGTGAATCTAGAGCTAATGGCTGGTTCATGGCGCTTGCTCGATGGTCGTCGCGGTCCATGTAAGCCGGTCGACCTACCTACTGCGAAGGCGTCGTGGCGGCAACGCTTTCTGGTGAGACTAGGTACTTGGGTAGCGTCAGCTTCTCAGGGTGTCTGACGTGGAGGCTACACCCGTTAGATTGATATAGTCAAAAGATTCCAATGTTCGTAGAAGAGTACGGAGACCTAACAACGATATATCTAGTGTTGATAGATTCGTCCAGCTTATACTCAACCTAGTTCACATGGACATCTCAAACACGAGAAATGTACCCCATCATCGCTCTATGTATGTCGAAGCCCTAGTCTTGTTATTCACACGCCGTCAGTGCTGCCGTCCTATGCCCGTCCACGAATGAGAAAAAACATTGAGACTACTTCAACGCACTCTGCCTCGTTATATCAATTCTCCGTGAACTCGCCATGAAACTAAAAGGCGCTTGACTTTGAAGCGTCCGCGAGCCCGTTCCTCACCCGTTGAGATCCTAAGGCTCCGGATCCCGAGCCAAACCCCTCTGTCAAGTCTTCCGGTGTACACCGGCAAAAATCTCGGGGACGGGATCGGGGGTGGCTCGTGGGCGGTGTGGGCCACAGCACCGGCGGGGCACTGGGTAACACAAACATCCATCCACTTGGGAGGGACCCGGTACCACCACACACCTTCTCGCTTTCAACGCAGGCGCAGTTACACATGGGACACATGTGGGAGGTGATCTTCTCAACCTGCAACACGACACAACGTAATGGCGTTTATGCAACTACTTGTTGGTCGTCTCCCGCGCGTCTGCGGCTGTACCTGCTTGGGATCATCATACTCTTCTTTTCCATGTCCCATGAATAGCAACATGAGTGAGTATCCTACAGACAAGTACGTACTTACACATCGCCTTACCTACTTAGGTAGGCTTTAGTGTAAGTTGAGGTACCTTAGCTACAACGTAGAGCGGAACCTCCGCAACCTTACAGCATGTACTCCCTAATTTCCGTAGCAGCCAAAAAGTTACCCCGCATGACGAAGACGGTTTCTTTCCATGGAGGGGCAGCTGCATTCAACGTCCGATTCGGGGGAGACGGGAAGAGTCTCCCAGAAAGCCCATTCCCTCTCGTCATTCGTCCTTTCCTCGCTCGCTTTTCTCGCTTGAATTCTCCCGGGTGCCCAAGTGTCGGTAAGTGTCGGTATCAACCCATTCCCCACGGGAAAGATCCAAGTACCTGAAAGTCGGCTGCAACAACCCGCCGATCATCTCTTCTTCTCTACCAGTACAACCAGTCCACGCGCCGTCTCTGTGTCTTTGTTGTCTCGTGTTCGACTGAACATTGGCTTTCCTTTCCGCCTTACTCAGCTTCGTCAAGCCAACGTTTTCCCCCAATCTCCAAATTCTTCCAATTGGTCACCAAGACCTGTCTTTACTCGCAGAAACTCTCGCAAAGCCCACCCCGCCAACGGACCAAGCTCCTATTTCCAAACAGCTAACCCCCCTTGCCCCTCTTACCAGACTGCCTGAACTTTGAACCTCTTAAAGGAGTCTCAACTTTCTCTTGTCTTTGCAGTATCTCTGAATGTCTAAGACGTAGACTTCTTTGTTTATTTCCCTAGACTCTCTCTGTTCTCGAGTCAATTGAAGTATTGCGCGTGTTTGCAATAACTACACGACGAGTTTCAACCACCGACCACAATCGCCACTCTTGAACCGGTATACAGCTTATAGTCTCGAAGCTCGAACATCATTTGCAATTTCACCCTTCTCCTCGTAAGTCCACAACACTACATCGCCCACAATGGCTCGATACGTTGTCGCGGAGAGCGCGGGCGGCCAGGCCCCCAAGAGACAGCTCCGCAAGTGGTGGAAAGAAAGCTCCGTATACCAAGTCTACCCAGCGTCCTTCCAGGACTCGACCGGCTCGGGCGTGGGCGACCTCAAGGGAATCATCGACCGCGTCGACCACTTCAAGTCCCTCGGCGTCGACATTGTGTGGTTATGCCCCATCTTTGAGAGTCCCCAGATCGACATGGTGAGTTGAAGCTTCCGATCATAAAAGCCGTCAAATGGTTCCAATTGGACATATGGGCAGCCATTAGCAATGCTTCTCAAAGACATTCGGAATCAGACTCAATTGGACAGTAGATTGACCAACGGCGTATCATAGGGCTACGACATTAGCAATTACAAAAAGATCCACGAGCCCTACGGCACCGTCGCCGACGTCGATGCCCTCAAGGACAAGCTCCACGAGCGCGGCATGAAGCTTGTCCTCGACCTCGTTGTCAACCACACCAGTGACCAGCACGAGTGGTTCAAGCAGTCGCGCAGCTCCAAAGACAGCCCCTACCGCGACTGGTACATCTGGCGCAAGCCAAAGTACGATGCTCAGGGCAACCGCCAGCCTCCCAACAACTGGGCCTCCCATTTCCAGGGTCAGTCTTCCTCCGCCTCTCATCATTCCCTTCCAAGAAGCCGGCAAGGGTTCCTCTGCTCCAGGAAGCTTTATTAAACTACCTACTGGCCAATAGTGGAATTATACTGACATCAGACTCTTCTATATACAGGCAGCGCGTGGGAATACGACGAAGCAACAGACGAATACTACCTCCGCCTCTTTGCGCGCGAACAACCCGACCTTAACTGGGAAAACCCCAAAGTCCGCGACGCCGTCCACGACATCATGCGCTTCTGGCTCGACAAGGGCGCCGACGGCTTCCGCCTCGACGTCATCAACTTTGTCAGCAAGCCCCAGGACTTCCCCGATTCCAAGCAGGAGGTCCTCCCGGGTTCCGAGCTCTACTCGGCTGGGCCTCGTCTGCACGAGTACCTCAAGGAGCTGGGCGCCATCCTGCACGAGTACGACGCCTTTAGCGTGGGCGAGATGCCCTGCGTCAGGGATCTGAACGAGGTCATTAAGAGCGTGAATGGTGATCGCGGGGAGCTGAGCATGATTTTCCACTTTGAATTGTGAGTTTACCCCTTTAACCCCCTTCAATCCCCTTTTACCCTCTTTTCCATCTCGCATCTGCAGTGTAACTAACGAACAACTCCCCCTTCTAGCGTCGACATCGACATTGGCCCCCACGGCAAATTCTCCGCCAAGGAATGGGACCTCGCCGAGCTCAAGGGCATCGCCAACAAGTGGCAGCGCTTCATGTACGACCACGACGGCTGGAACGCGCTGTACCTCGAGAACCATGACCAGCCGCGCTCCGTCAGCCGCTTCGCAAACGATGCGCCGCAGCATCGCGTCGACAGCGCGAAAGCCGTGGCCATGTTTCAGGCCCTCCAGGCTGGTACCCCCTTTGTCTACCAGGGCCAGGAGATTGGCATGGTCAACGTGCCCAAAGAGTGGCCGATGGAGGAGTACAAGGACATTGACTGTCTGAACCACTGGAAGTGAGTAGTACCGTCGTTACAGATCCTTGGCCGTGGAAATTCCAGGTACAAAAACTATATCAGAACCATGCGAGGCTAACAACTTTCCTCACCACAACCAGCTTGAACAAGGACTCCAAGGACAAGGAATACCTCAAATTCCTCAAGTCGCAATACCAAAAGAAATCCCGCGATAACGCCCGCACACCAATGCAGTGGACCGACGCCCCCAACGCAGGCTTCACCACGCCCCAGGCCACGCCGTGGATGACAGTACACCCAAACCACACGGAAATCAACGTCGCCTCGCAGGTCTCGGACCCCGGATCCGTCTTTCACTTCTGGAAGACGGTCCTCGCAACGCGCAAGCGATACCTCGACATTTTCGTCTACGGTGACTTTGCGCTCGTTGACGAAAAGAACGAGCGGATCCTGGCGTACGCGCGGCGGGCCGAGGACGGCGCTGTTGCGGTTGTCGCGTGTAACTTTTCGAGCGAGACGGTGAGCTGGGAAGGTCTGAAGGCGGAGAGTGTTAAGGAGGTGTTGGTCTCCAATGGCGGCAAGACGGTGAAGGACTTCAGTGGTGGCAAGGTCTCGCTTGGGCCATATGAGGGAGCGGTGGTGCTTCTGGCCTAGATTTTCTGGGGCCTGAGTTTGTATTTGGGGGGGGGGATAAGGCTAAATAAGGTATAGAATGTAGACAAAATTTTGGAGTACTGTTTTGCGATTCTTTATCTAGATATCATGTGCCTCTTGAGATTATTCCTCGCCATATGGCGGCTTTTGATCTGGTGGGGAGTCAGAAGTGAATTCGGGTAATAAAGAGACCAGATGAGGATGGCTTACCTAGAGATTCGGTAATCACGCTCCTGATTCCATCCATTGGCGCCTGGACGCCAGGATATATGCTTCGGCCGTGACCAAGACGTGGATCTGCCGTGCTTCAAGCCGAGTGCTTCCCATGTGCACCATCAACTCCTGCGGCCCGTAAATGAATATCTTCGAACCGTGCGGTTTCGGATCGCGACCGGCCCAGAATCGGTAGTTAGAGATCAGTAATCAACATCAACATCAACCCTACTCATACGTCCTCTGCAAATTGGCCGAAGACTGCGTCGGGCTATGGAACACGCCCGGATTCCCCTGCACCGACGCCATCCAGTCATCGTTCGCAACGTTATCCCACAAAGCTCCGTTGGCGAAGAGCATATCGAGCGTGCCGTTGGATTCGACGGTGTTGAAGGAGCCATCAAAGTGTTGCAGCTGGTCAATCAGGTCGTGGGGGGCGCCGGAGCCCATCTGGCCGGCGGCAGATTGATCCCAGACGGGCGGTCTGCCGAGCCCCTGTCGCTGGGGGGAGAGTGATACCGTGTTCCCGTTGGGCATGCCCGGCGCGGCACCACCATCCTTGTCAAACATTGATGAAAAGTTGGAATGTGAGGGTGGTCCGTAGTTTTGGTTCGAGTGAGATACACCATTGATGGGTGCAAATATGTCTGGTTGACCATTCGCAGCAGCAGCAGCAGCAGAATTCCTATCATCCCGCCACTGGTCGTCGTCAACTTCCTGGACCCTCGACGTCGGGCTTCTGTTCATGATCAGCAGAGGGCCGTCCTGGACCTCTGCTATGCGGGCGCAGAGCATCTCCAAGAGGGCTTTGTTGCCGCCGCGGCACGAGGCGAGGACCCTTTGCAGCTGGAGGAGGATGTCTCGCGGGCCGTCGGTGGAGGTGCGAGGTAGACGAAAGTTATTCGCCACGGCGTCCGTAACCGCGCTAGCAATCTCGTAGATTTTGAACTCCTAGTATTCAAGTTAGCAGAGGGGGTTGGCTACGAGGATATATCTGCCCGGTGGAAGCCTTACGATTCCGGGCCCATGGGCTTCAATGGCCGTGCTGGGAAGTTGTGAGATTAACTGGAGAAACTCCTTGGCGATCTGGATGGGGTGTGATAACGAAGTGACAGCGCTATGGTTGCCGTTGGAAGACCAAGCGCGGCCGTGGTTCATGGTGACTTTCCACAACACGGCCTGCATCCATTGACGAGTGACAACAATGTCGGCTCGCTGGACATCGTTGCTGGCGTCAGAGTCCAGGGGGATCTGCTGAAGCTTCTGCTGCACGACATCAAGACACGCTCTGCTAGCCGTTTGGAGGCCGTCGGCCATGGACCACAGGGCGTCCTCGTCATCCGAGTTCTGGAGGATGTCAAAGGCGCCGCTTTGGTCGAATATCCAAAAGAGGTCGGCCAACTTTTTGAAAGCAGGTAGAATGTGGCCCTCGTCTTCGCCGACCCCTGAACCATCCAGGGACGGGAAACGGGTGTTGGACTTTAGAGCCACGGGTAGCTTGTGAAGCATGGCGACACCTCTGTCATTCTTGTTAGCAGCAGTCCAGTGGTAGGCCGTCAGGGGTCCAACATGCCTTTCTGTAACAAACAGCAGCCAAAGTGTCCTCCTCCGCATCTGCTGTTCCGCCAAAGGCAGAGCCACGTACGAAGACTCCTTGTGCAATCCCATAATCTGAGCAATGGTGATGGCCTCTCGGAGGTAGAGAAGCGACTTGGCCCCTCCAGGTTGCTGATTCTCATGATAAACGTGGAGAAAGAAGGACGTCCTCAGCCAGTTGAGGTTCATGGGCGGGCCTCCCTCGCGTTCTTGGAGCACCATCCTCGACCGCTGGCACTCAGTCTCCATTGAGCCCGCCGTCGCCGGATCGTCATTGTCAGTCGTGGCCAGCTTGAGCTGGGCAATGGTGGCAGCTCCCACGGCGTTGGCCAAGACGTATGATTCAAGGTCGTCAGTGTCGCGGGACAGCGAGGCCATGATGTCCTCGACTGCAATGATGGGCCAGACGGGGAACAGACGCAGGCGGTAAATACATAGCCTCAAGACCAGTGATGCGCTGGGCGTCCTTTGCGGCTGGATGGCATTCTCCTGTCGGAGAACCCGTTGCCCACTCGCGGCGCTCCCAGTGGCCTCGGAGGATCCTCCTTCAGAGGACGACGGAGACCGGGACGAGGACGGAACTCCCGAAGAGGCGGCGGCAACGGTCGGGGTCGAAGTGGAAGCCCCATCACCGGTAGGCGAGACGGAGGACGCAGTACCGGAGCCAGCGGAAGCAGTAGCAGAAGAAGCAGGAGCAGAAGCAGTACCAGCAGAGCTCTCCTTCTGGGCCTGGGCAATCTGGCGTATCGTCTTCGCCCTCAGGTTCCGTGGGCCCCTAGTGGCGGGGACCTTGTTGAAGGTGCATGATGTCCCGATGGCGACGCAGCCGTCACAGGGCGGGACCTCTGTGCATTTGATCTTGCGGATCTTGCACGCGTCACAAGCTCTTTTGCCAATCTTGCGCCCGGAGGACATTGTCCGCGAAGACGGAAGACGGGAGGGGAGGGGAGAACAACGTCGGCCCTGCTGCCCTACTCGTGCCGTGTCATGGCAGCTTGCACCGCCGTGGACTTTTTTTTTTCTTTGGGAATCCGCAAGGTAATACGTCAATTTGTGTTTGCAGGTTGTGTGAAGGCGGTGTTGTAAAGTCAGTCTGTCACTTGCACCAGACAAGACGGGTCCCAGGTTCCTGGACAGGCTGGGCTTGAGGCTGCGTACGGATAGTTCTTAGGCGAAAGTGGATAAGTGAGGTGACAAGCACGTAAGGGTACGAGGTATCCATACACCGTATGTAGTGAGAGTATCCGTAGGTATTACAAAGCAAGGCTGCGAAGATCAGGCGATTCTGGCTCTATTCTGAGCAAATAAAATGCGTTCCTTGGCTTTGATTCGAGCAGAGAGAAAAAGCTGTCCCTCGTCGCCGGAACTCTCGACCTAGGTGACTGACTGAAGAGGACTGGAAGAGGGTAGGGAAGTAAAAATGGGGATAGGAGGAGGCAGCTGCGGACGTCTGAGATGCGCAGGGTGGAGTCGACGACCGATGGTGTGCTCGATGCGCTAAGCCGATCAGGGGAGCTGTGGAGTTTCCTGCCGTGCCTGCCTCCCTGCAGCTCGAGTCGAAAAGAGCCGGGGGGGGGGCTTTGGGGTCGACAGGTGGCGCCCGTTAAGGGACCTTGGCGCTGCTGTATTTCCCCGCAAAATTCGGTCTCTTTGCTGCGGTCAGTCCTTGACCGCTGTCCGGGCCGCCAGCCTCCCAGCGATTTGGTCTAGGCCGGGATGACACACGGGGCCAATCAGCGTTCATCCATTAGTGCATATACGTACGGGTTCCTCGAAATTCAAGCGAAGAAAACAGACGAGAATTCGTATCTTCCTACAAAGAACACCAAGGTAGCACTAGCGATTGATCAATTTTGATGAGGGTAGATGTTGACATAGTGTGCGAGCGTGTTATCAGTAGTATAATTAGTTGAACAAGTTACCGGGGTTGCATGGTAGCCCCTGGTTCTCGTCATTTTGGTCTTGACCATCTTTATTAGTTGTAATCTTGTCCTTTTCATGGACTGGTATCCAAACTCATATCACCCATCAAAATATGTATCCCACTCGCCCATATACCTACACTGCCCGTCGTGTGTACACCCCCTTAGTACACAAACCTAAAGTCCAAACGCTTGTTTCCGTCCTGCTCGCGCGCCGCCGCATCACTCTGGTACGCCAGCCGCTCCTCGTTGGACATGGCATCCCACACCCGCGCCTTGCGCTTGTTTAGCAGCACAAGGACCTGCCGGTGCACCAAAAACACGACGAGACTAAAAGCGCAAATCGACACGCAGACGGTGTTGCCGCGCTTATAATACGGCGCGTCGTAGGCGCGGTAGATTTGCGATCCGGCGAGGGATCCGATCTGCACAATGACGTTGTACGTCGCCGCCGAGATGGCCCGCTTCTTGACGTCGAACGTGTTCTCCGAGATCCACGACGACACGATCGGGTGGAAGTATGGGTAGCCCGAGATGAGCGTAATGACCGAGAATCGGCTCCATTCGCGCCCACCGTCGGGCAGCGTGAGGAGGGTGACGAGCAGGGGCATGATCCAGAGCTCGCCAAAGATGCAGTGGAACGCGCGCTCCTTGAAGTAGTCACTGCTAAATGCCAGCGTGAGCATCGTGATGATTTGCAGCACGGCCGAGGGCACCGTGAGCATGTTGGCGTTGAAGGTCGTGAAGCCCAGGCGGCGGAGGGTGAGGGTCAGGTACGCCTGGACGGGCGTGGCCGGGATGTAGGCGACGAGGCCAATGAGGTACAGTCCCCACATTGAGGGATCGAACCAGGCGTTCTTGATGTCCTTGACCGTCATGGGCTCCTTCAGCGCAGTGAGGCCCTTTGCGGGGTCGTCGCGGAGGATGCGGTTGATCATGATGACCTCCTGTCTCTCCGTGTACCACGGCTTTCTCCAGATGGCCGTCGTAGTGTTCGTCGGGGAGGCGGGGAGCCAGAGGAATGCCTGTAACAACATGGGGTCAGTGGGGGGGAATCTTTTCAAACTGCCATACCTCGGGATAGAGAAAGCGGGGGAAGAGACGCGGCAGACATACCATGACAGCCAAAACACAAGTCAGGAGACCCTCTAAACGGCTAGTCAGCGAAAAGACACATAAGAGACGAAAGGTGAGGGAGCAGATCACATACCCAAGAGGAAGAGCCAGAACCAGCCCGTGTGTCCACCAACGCCGCGCATCTTAAGGATACCCGCCGCCAGCAGAGCCGAGATGACTCGCGCAACGTTGAGCGTAGACCAAAACACGGCCAGCCGAACGGACAATTCCTTTGATGTGTAAAAGTAGGTCGCGAAGAGAATGGTGCCGGGAATGAAGCCACCCTCGCAGGCGCCGATGAGGGCTCTCGTCACGTAGAAGCCGGCGCGGGTCGTGATCCAAGCCTGCGTCCAGGAGACGGTTCCCCACATCATCATCATGGTCGGCAGAACGTACTTGAAACCGAAGCGCTTGGTGAGGAACTGGACGGGGAATTCGGCGGCCAGGAAGCACACCAGCTGGATTGTGGTTCCCTACGGAGTGTATGTTAGCAATCGGAATAGCCCCAAGCGTATGACTGCCAGAACGTACGTTGTTGTAGTCGTCACTGCTGAGCTTCAGGTCCTTGAGGAAATCATCTGCCAGGGCGTTGCTCAAATTTCCTCTGTCCAATTGCAAGCCAAAGAACTGGATGAATATCAGCAAGGCGGCTTCTCAAGACTTCGAGGTGACGTCGCATACCATGATACAGAGCATCGTCAATAACTTGATATCCGTGATGCGAACCACTTTCCTCTCCTCGGCCTCGGTCCACGTCGCGGCGGGGTCCCATCTGTGCTTTCCCTCATAAGATTCATGCGGCGGTACGAGGTCAGACAGATTCTCGCGACCGATCACAGGCGCATCCGAGTCCTGGTAGATGGACACAGCGTCCTTGCCGCTGTCGCTGGCCGTCTTCCGCGCGGTAGGCTCGACGTCGGCCATCTTTGCTGTTGCTACTGCTGCCGTCGCGTGCTTGGTTCAGGCGCGAGAGCTCGTGTAAGCACACTTGCCCGAGGGTTTCGCAAAGAAGGGAAACGAAGAAAAGGTAGCGTAAACCGACGGTGATGGACACGAAGCTCCAGTCTCAAGAACGGAGACGTTCTCGATGCTCAACTTAATAGTCGTTACTCAAACTTCTGATGCGTCTGATTGAGGCTAGCAGATCATGGCTCACGACATCTATCCTCGGTCTTGCGTCTTCGAAGGAACCCACATACTAGTGGAGGTGAACCATGTGGCCGGACAAGGGGGGGCCAAGGGCGAGAAGGAAAAAAAGAGATGGTGTTGACAACTTTTTGTGCTTGCTGACAGCGACCGGGTCCGGATGGCCTAGCCGGAGCATGGGAGGCTTTTAGTTCTCCAAAAACCTTACCCCAGAATTCTCCGCCTACCGATTAAAACCCCGGGCTCTCGGAACGACACCCCCCTGGTAACGTGTCTTGGCCAACGGGCGATGTCATTGTCAACATAGTTTTGACTACATGTCATCTGCCCTTTTCTCTGGCGAACGACGGCTTCACGATGGATTGGGGAGGCTCATTCGTGTTTTATTGTTTGCTTGTGACAATGTGGAGGGTGTCGGTCGACAGAAAGGCGGCCTGTGACAAGGAACGGAGGAAATATGCCAATGGGCAAGGTAGCCCCGGTAGCTAATGTGCCCAGAGTAAAGACGTGATGATGCCGCGCCCGTCTTCAAGTCCGAAAGATTCTCCGACGAGGACTGCGAGGTTCGAGGCTATGAGCAGGAAGAGGAGAGGGGGGTAGGTGTGTGTGTGGGAGGTTAGATGGCCAAGTGTTGTCTCCGGAGGGGGCCTCTTGGGTGCCCCCACTCCGCTGATTGGCCACGGCTGACAGACTTCGCCGAATTAGGAAGCTTTGCGATTGCGCCATCGCCCACCGGTCGGGAGCCTCCGTAACGACGAGGACTCTGAGTATCCGTACTCCGTAACCTGCCACTCAACCAAGGGGAAGCAACTCCGGTTGGAGAAAACGTCTGACGATCTTCTTTCCCTCCTCACCCCATTCGCATTACTGGTCACTCCCCGATCTCGCTTTGAAAGCAAAGAGACACGCAAAATAAGAGGAACAATACTCTCCCTCCTTGTGATAACGTACGTGGAGAGTGACAGGACATAACGGGTGTTCCGGACATAAAATCTAGCCATATATATCTCTCTCTCATAATCTTCCTTTTCGCTTATCAGATCTTACCTCACACACCCCCCAAACAAACATGATCGACGACACTCTCAAGCGCCCTGCATCATCAGACTATACCGCCTCACATCCCGTTAAATCACAAAAGATCAACAACGACAACATGCCTTCCGCGGTATCAACTGGCTCCAACATTGTTGGCGGAAACTCGGCAGCTCGCCCCCGGTTGAGCAAGCCGCTCGTCTACTCCGGTTCTCTGGACAAGTACAAGAACGCAGACATCACCCCTGTCATTGGACGCGAGTATGAGGGCCTGCAGGTCGTTGACCTCCTCAAGGCGGACGACCAGGTCATTAGAGATTTGGCCGTCACAAGTGAGTTCCTTATTTGTCTCTTTACATATCTCAAGGACTATGTTGACAGGTAGTACAGTTTCTCAGCGTGGCGTTGTCTTCTTGAGAGACCAGGATGTCACACCCAACCAAATGAAGGATTTCTGCCTTCGTCTCACAGAGCTCGCCGGATGTGTAAGTGAAGAATCAAAACAACCAAACTCACTTCAACCCTATCTGTGGCCCATCTCCTAACTTGGCACCATATAGCCCGAATCATCAGGCCTCCACATCCACCCCCTGACAGAGGAAGGCAGCGAGCTCGGTGACCAAATCAGCGTCATCAGCAGCGAGAAGCAGAAGAAGGGCGGCGGCCTCACCCACCAACTGAGCGATGTCAGCCGCTTCGCCAGCGCCGGCTGGCACACCGATATCTCTTTCGAGCAGGTCCCCTCGGACTACGCAATGCTCAAGATCCACACCCTTCCCACCACCGGTGGTGACACTGTAGGTCCCGAAACCCAAACCCAAATCAACCCGTCCATCCATCTCTTCTCTCCCGGAAAAAGGCTGGAACCCGAAGAGCCCCCCCTCCCCTTCCCACCCCCTTGCTCGCTTGCTTTGCTCGCCATCAAACCCTTGCAGCTGCATTGCAGGTAACAAGTGGACCTTGCCCGGCTAACTGCGTGAACTACTACTAGCTGTGGGCTTCTGGATATGAGATCTACGACAGACTCTCCCCTGCCATGCAGAAGTTCCTCGAAGGGCTGACGGCCACCCACGACGCCACATTCTTCCACGAGGAGGCCCGAAGGCTGGGTAACCCCCTCCGAGAAGGTCTCCGAGGCTCGCCGCTGAACAAGGGCTCCGAGCTCAAGTCCATCCACCCCGTAATCCGTACCAACCGTAAGTCTAATCCCCATCCATCACATCACTCCTAGTCCATAAAGAAAAAAAAGAAAAAAAAAAACACAATCCAAGAAGTCTAGACCCCCAAGGCTGACAAACCAATTCCCCCCATTGTAGCCGTAACGGGATGGAAGTCCGTCTACGTGAACAAGGGCTTCACCAAGCGCATCAACGGCGTCACAAAGGACGAGTCCGACGTCCTCTTGAACTACCTCTTCAACCTCGTCACCCAGAACCACGACGCCCAGGTCCGCTTCAAGTGGCGCGTCAATGACCTCGCCATCTGGGACAACAGGAGCATGTGGCACTGCGCGACCTACGACTACGTCGAGGCCAGGGCGGGTGACCGCGTCGCGTCGTTGGGTGAGGCGCCGTACCTCGATTTGAACAGCACGGGCAGACGGGAGGCGTTGGGATTGTGAAGAAAAGAAGTTTTGATGAAATTAGGTAAGAAGAATTGTCTACGAATGGCGTTGGGTTTGGTAGTTTTGATGAACTTGGTATCCTTGGGCCTTTGACGAGTTGAAAGTTATTCAACATTGCATGTAAGACACATGACAAAATGACATGATATTGGAAGAATCGTTCATTCCATACCTGCCATTGTAATCTACTTCATGATGCTATAAATACCACGAAAACGCCACATGCTGGCGACTCTGTCGCACTGCCTCTGACTGCCATGCTCTCTCAATGTGCCGTTCTCTCATCATCGCTCATCTGATCAACTGTATCGCCAGTGTCTTCGTGAAGCAAGTCGCCAATCCACTTGCTATCCTCGAGGATGCTTCTTGCTTCCTCGGCTTCCACCACCATATCGTCAGATATCAATAGTACCGCCAGCTCCGGGACCAACACTGCCTCCACATAGCTAGAGTAGCCACGCGACGATATAAGCCGGTCGTCCACAGCTCGTTCTCTTAGAACCGATGAGAAGCGACCAATAATGTGCTCTGAAAATGCTCGGAGGCCACGCGGGCCGTAGTAGCCTGGCGTCAAACTGTCTTCTGCCTTGAGCAGCGTCCGGTTCTTGCCCTCTCTGACCTTGTCAAGCAGCAGATCACCAAAGTGAGAAGACCCGCCGTTGATAATCTTTCGAAGAAAATTGTAATGAGAAGCGATCCGAGTATCAAGGACATCCCAGTCGATTTTTGGGTAGCCCCGAGCACCCCAGGCTTCTTCAGCTGACTTCTTTTTGTGCAGCCGGCAAAATTGAATCTGCTTGCGGATGTGCAGACGGGCTCCTTTGGAGAAATCGTGCAGCAAAGTATCATCAACGATTTCATTACACATGGGGCAACGTGCATCCACAACCTGTTTGAGGCCACTGTCCAAGTCCGACAAGTCTGAGGAGGACTCAAACGAGAATTTTCTCGTCTTCTTCGAATCAGGCTCAGGACTTGACTCTATACTGCGAAGCTGTGGGCGTGACTGCGCCGGACTCTGCAGAGACTCAGGTAGGGAAGCGGACGGAAGCTTGAAGTCGGCCTTTGCTTTTCGCTTTGGTGATGAGTGAGGACTGAGAGATGCATGCTTCATGACAGGATGAGCAGAAGCGTGAGGGGGAGAGGACAGAAACGTGGACACGGGATCGATAATACGTTTTGGCGGTGCTCTGCTCGAGAACTGTTCGAACGGGTCGTCGTCATATGCTTTGAAAGACGGCTGTATCATCTTGGGCGCAGACGCTGATGCATGCGTCAGTAACATCATAGTTTCGCATCTCAATGTACAACAAACCTTCTTTTCCTAGCTTGGATATCGGCCTCTCTTGCGACGACTTCGATTTTGACCTTGCGGGAGGTCTGATACGCACCCTATTGCCGTCTCCTCGACCATAGCTTTTCTTCCGTACTAGTAACCTTTTGGCCTCTTTCTCGTCTTCAAGGTCGATCTTTCGGACCTTTCTCATCTGTGATTCCGGACTGAGTGCTCCGCCGTCAGGCGAGTTTCTCTTACTGCCACGTGTTGTGGAGAAAGAGCCCTGAGACCCTTCATATTGGGCTTGTCCTTGAGAGCTTTCCTGGGAAGCGCTCCACGTCTTGCTCTGCTCTTTCCCCCTCTTCGATGAGCCGAAATAAGGGCGAATGTCAGCGCGAGATGATCGCGCGCTTTCATCATCGTCCGAATCTGAAACTGGCTTCGTACTCGAGAAGACCCGAGACGCCTCTCTTGAGCTTGATACGGCTCTTGAAGAGATCGACCTGGGTTCTGGATCGGTAATCTCATCGTCAGAGTCATCAGGTGGCCTGTCTACCGGTCTATCGTCGGTGACCAGTGCCCGTCGCTGGCCATTAACCTGTGACAGTAGAGGCCGAACGCGGTTGTCTCTGGCAAGACCAGCTCGTCTCTGCATCGTGCCCTGCTTCGGGGGCATGCTATCCTCGAATTTGCAGTTACAGCGATGTCTCCCACTGCGTTGAGTAGGTCAACTGGTATTCTCGAGTGGTTTGAGGACTGTGGATAAGTCGTTGCCTGCGGAGACCAGCAGGCATCTCACACGGAGCTCAACATCAGTCTCCGGCCGGGTTCGCTTCCACTTCCGATTCAATCCCTGATATGTTGGAATGGAGGCTGGCGAACATGTGCGTGAAGGATGAACGTCAGACCCCAATTGACATTTAGTCTTCGCATGGAGCCTCGGCAGAGATATGATCTTCTCAATTGCGGAGGAGACGTTGTTTGTTCGGTCCCCAGAGCCACAAATTTTGCTGCCGCTTGAGGTAAAGTGGAAGTGCTGACCGGGGAAAAGGTGGAAGCTACCTACAATCGCGTTCTCGACGCGTGCCTGCCCGAGCACCGGACAAGTAAAGAGTATGTACCTACTGTGTACAGGCCACCCCACCTCCACTTTGTCATTGGGTACGTCCTCATTAGCGGGAAACCCCCCCTGACAGCTCAGTGACTTTTGGCGTACGGAGTAGAGGCTGGAGCTCTCCTTCCTGCGCAGGGGTCTTTGCTTAATTGTTGACTTTACTACATCTCCAACTGGGACGTGAAGCTTCACAGAAAACGCCTTTTCGACGACTCGAAAGGGGCGCATTATCAGACAGCGTCCGAATCCGCCAAACCGAACCGGTATCATTCCCAGTCTTCGTCATGGCATTGAATCGGAAATATGCAGCTCTGCCAGACCTAGTTAGAACACTCGCGTCACCAAATATCAAGAACACGATACTGACGATGTTCAGGACTCGGCCCCGGACGTGTACGAGACGCCAGAGCTAACAGACGATACATCCACCGTCCCAGTACGATTACTCCCTTGAGATTGTCTGCTATTGCTGACACGCGCGCAGACGACAACCGGACAATCGCACTCGGATGATGATTTCGACGACGACCTCGACGATGACGCCAACGGCATTTCCAGATCCCGACTCAGGGTCGATGAAGCACGATCTCGTTTCCTTCCGGCGGGCGTGGACGCCTCAGGAGTCGACTTTTCCGACCGAGTAGATGGCAAGCGCAAATCATACAAGGCGTCGACGAGACGCCAGCGTTTCCTGCAAGATGGTACGGAGCAGCTCGGCGACCTTAGCGACGAGGACGATGAAGATAGTCTGGAACGCAAGATTGCACGGTTGCAGCGTGAGGTTGAGGAAGCCAAAGAGGAGTACGGAAAGAGGAAGGAGGCAGCGGCACAACCCACGACGGGAGACCATGACGAGAAGCTAGGATCTCTCAGCAAGGTCCTGGACGAGATTTCCAAGACGCTTGAACCGCACACGAGCACTTCTCGCGCTCTTCAGCCAGTGTCGCAACCACCCACAGCAACTAAGGATGAGTCGCAAGGCTTGGTGTCACAGGGGAACTCTGCGACCTACACAGTTACTTATGCTCCTACGTACGAACAGAGTCACGCTCTAGCCACAGCCGCGGACTTCGACCGACGATTGGTCCTTCTTGAAAGGGCAATCGGCGTAGGGTCAACTGCCTTGCCGGAAGTTGACATTAATGGGTTACCAAGAGCCATTCTTCCTACGCTTGATGGGCTTCAGAAGCAGATTACGACTCTGTCGCAGGCGTCAACATCGAATTTGGACACAATCAGCCGTCGTGTCCGTACTCTCATTCAAGAAGCTCAAGAGTTGGAAAAGGCACGCCAGGGAGCCAAGTCTGCGCAAGAAACCCTTGGCAATGGTGCGGCCACTGGCGAGGACGTTCCGGCTCCTGAGCAGCTTGCAAAGATCAACGCTCTATATGGCATTCTGCCTACGATCGAGAATCTCGCTCCTCTTTTACCGCCATTGCTTGACCGCCTGAGGTCCCTCCGCGCAATCCACTCTGATGCTGCGTCTGCGGGCGAGATGCTCAGCAGAATTGAAAAACAACAAACAGATATGGCGACGGACCTTAAGCAATGGAAGGGCGGCTTGGAAAAGGTCGAGGAGGCGATGAAGGAGGGAGGCACTGCCATGAGCGGAAACATGAAGGTTATGGAGGCATGGGTAAAGGATTTAGAGGGACGAATTGCGAAGTTGCCATAAATGACTTCCACTGTCAAAAGATACCCCTGCTTTAATCAAATTATCGAGCCAAGCTCCGAATTTCTCGTCTTCATGATCTGGCCGTAAATGTGTCGTTGTATTATGACCGAGCCGTTGCGAAGTTTTGGAATCTCTAATCCCACCTCCAAGGTATATGCGGATGTATGTCACTGCGATTCTAGCAATGAAGGGCCAAATGTGACTATGAAGGTAAATCACCTTTATTGCTGATACCAACCAGCACCTGGCAAGGAATGTTCATCCTAAGGATCGGTGTTTCAATCCCAGTCTCTACTTCCACATATGCTTACCTTTCTTCTGATGCATCGACATCTGTTACAGTCATAGACATGGCGACTTATTCCCTTCCCTTCCTCCTCTTGGACTATTAAGGTATGCAGCACAAATATGGGGTTGAGAATGAGATTCGGTAGGCGGTGAAAATGGCAGAAATGACATGGACAAAGCGCCCTCCTTCCAACCAATGAGAGTGCTCTGGGCCCCTAGCACGCACAGTGGAAGGGTTTCCTTTCGCTAAAGCCCTTCCACAAGTCTTCGCAGCGAAAAAAAGATCGTACTCGCAGTCATCCATCAACCCGCGCAGCCCACCACCCAGCAGCACCCTTCGCAACCACATACATGTACGTGTCGCGACGCCCGAGAAAAATTGACAGAGATCTTGACCGACTGACGTAGAATTTCCGCCAGCAGTCAAAATGGATTCCGCTAAGCAGCCTGTCAAGCTCGTGAAGGTCACCCGCGTCCTGGGCCGTACCGGTATGCCCCGCCTCTTCCCCCGAAAGTTAAAGACAAACGAAGCCCTCGCCCCGACGAAGATCGATTCCCACGATTGAAACCGAGACGGAAGGAGGGACGAGTTTTTGGCAGATTTTCTGACTGCGTACAGGCTCCCGCGGTGGTGTCACCCAAGTCCGCGTCGAGTTCATGGACGACGAGACCCGTTCCATTATCCGTAACGTCAAGGGACCCGGTAAGCGACCTCGGATACCTGCGACCGCCTCTCATCGAAGGGAGGGGCGGATAGCGACAAGCCCGAAGGATCAAAGAAGTACTGACATGTTCTACTAGTCCGTGAGGACGACATCCTCTGCTTGCTCGAGTCTGAGCGTGAGGCCCGCAGACTGAGATAAGCATGGCGAATCGGCAGCGGCGGCGTGTGTTATGGACATTACGAGGAACGGAATCATGGTTCTGAGGATGGGACAGGAACATTGCGAGGGCTTCGTCACCCGAGCCCACGGCTTTCGTGTTTAGAGGAGTCAAAAAACGGATTCTGGCATTGCGAATACAGCAAGGTTCTCCCACCCCAGCCGCGAGGCAACTCTGCACGAAGAATCGACCTCGTGTACCTGTTTGTGATGCGACGTTGGAAGGGGCAAAGGGAACGGCGTCTAACGAGATATATCAATCAATGGACAGCCTGGGAAAATTCATCAAAACATCTTCTGCACCAATCTTTAACGTCTCGACTGACTGCTGTGCGGTTCATGCTGCTTGAATGATGCCATCCCCGCGGGGAACGTTATGAGAAGATGTCATGTGCCGGACGAACCCGCGATCAGCTAGACTGTCGCTAAAATCTTGAAAGCGACCTTCAACATTGACTTCCCAAGACTGCAACTGTCACCACGATCGCAAATTGCCCCGCAAGCCGCGCCTGAGAGCCGCAAAGCTGCGAGGCGGCAGACTCCTCGGTCTGCGTCACGTGACTGGGGGCCAACGAAAATTTCCTTGGACTGCCCCACTCCCTCAGCTCCTGTCCTGCAGCTATAAACTTCCCTGGATTCCCAATCACTTCAATGGTTTGTCCTTCTTCACCCCTCAACCCTCCAAAGGGGCTCGTCGCGAAGTGGTAAGTCAAAGAGTCTCTTTTTATTGCTCCGTTACAAACGTTGGGATGATGTATCCAAATTAGCATGTATTACCTGAACTCTTCTGAAGAATCAAAATTATCACCAAGATCTCTGACACCAACACTATCAACTACACTTTTTTGCGTTTTCTCAAAAGTTTTCGTAGCATTGGCTAACCCCCAAAAAAGATTGCAGATACCTACCGATCATTCTTCGAAACATGGCTGCGGCTCCCAGGCCACCCAAGGATCACTTCAACGTGCTGTTCTTTGCAAGCGCTAGCTCCTTTACATCCAAACAGTACGAGGTGCTGCAGGCCCCTCTCCCCTTGAAGACGCTATTTGATGCACTTGAAGAGAGATATGCCGGGTTTAAAGAGAGATTCCTAGAGTCGTGCTTGGTGACTGTCAATTTAGAATACGTAGATATTCCTGGAGCAGACGACGAGGAGGGCCCGATAATACGGTCCGGCGATGAAGTAGCCATCATCCCTCCCGTCAGCTCCGGATGAAGGCGTCTCTGGTAGCCTCCTTATCTGTGACTCTGTTCTACAGATCCTGCCAGCAGTATTATTTCCCTCCGCTACGTGCCATCTCGCGTGCTGTGAGCTTGACCAAGCAACGGGTCGCGTTCACTGTTCCGATGCTGTCGCTGTCGCCAAAACTGCACCCGTCTCCATTCATGCTTCCACACCCGCCACCAATCCGGGTCCGGTTTACTCCGTCGTCTCACCCAGCGGACGCCGAGCACGATCAAGGTCACCAACAAGACCACGACAAGCGTCGACACAATGGAGATGATGGACGTCAGACTCGTAATGGTCGACACCTGACAGCCCAGCGGCTTGGTGCGCAACTCCCATCGTTCCGCCCAGTGTGGACAAATGTTCTCGTCGTAGGCGGGTGCCAGCAAAGGAATCGCATACGGATTAGGGACGCAGGCGGACGTCTATATCATGGGCAAGTAACAGAACATCACGAATTAGCAAAGAGATCCGGGTTTTCTCGGTTCCGATTTGGCGCGGTAGAACGCGTACCATGGGACACCAGCTGCATTCGTTCTCCGCCAGACACACTTTACAGTCCTGGTGGTTCCAGCATCGGAAGAAGTGCTCTTCGGATGTCTCTCTGGCCGTTGTGAAGTTGTGCTTCAGATGCCATATTTCTTGGGCGCTGAGTTTATCCATCTGGGTGCCAGCGGCCTTCGTCTTTGGGATATGGTGTAGCGGCAGGCGGCAGTAACACGCCTACCTGGCCAATTGATTGCGATTGGGGAAAAGTGAATCTCGTGATGGAAGTTGTCAGTGGGACGAGTACGGGATGATACCGGAGTTGTGCGGGGAAGGAGCTGGTTGAGTTGGAGTCCGTGCACCCATCACCCAGACTGCATTACTCCGTACAGTCTGTCACAATTCCTCACTTCAACACGCCTTGAACTTCAAAACTTCTTTATACCCATTGGATGCATATTAAAGGTGCTTCATGCATCGTCTCACAACTTCGCGTTTGAGCCGATTCGAAGGAGAACCTTCATCAAAGTCATTACCGGAAGAGTTTTCCCGAGAGAATCAACATGACAAGTGAAGGCAGACCACCCATTTGAGTTGTGCTCTCGTGGTATCGCCAACATGCAGCGGCCACGGAACAAGACGGCCACCGGCTACTATGCAGGTACCGTCGCTTGACGGTTGCTCCCACGGGAACGTCAATGTCTTGGTCCTGCGGCTTGCTATGAATACTCCTCAGGGGCCAGTCCTGGAAGATGCTGCGCTGCAAGCAATATAAGCAATTGGTCCCAAGATCATGGATTCGACGATCTCCCATCAATCGGCAACTTGGGAATAATACCCTTAGCGGCGACATGCCGGCAATTTCTGGATAAATTACCCCTGCTTTCGAGAAGCAGCCGCAAGCCGACTACATTCCGACAACTGTGTGATTAAAGAACTGGGCACTTTTCTTCAAGGAGTCTGGTGGTCTCGTTCGCGAACCTGCGGCCTTCGGATACAGCTGCCGGCGTGAATCGAAATTAGTGCATCAAGATACTTACAGCCATGGTGTTCAGATGAAGAGATCATTTATGAGTGGACTGGACTGGTCTGGTTGTGGGACATGCCACTGTCGCTCTTACCGAGGCTGCTATGTGCTGCTTAGATTGTCCACAGGCCGCCGTCCATCGAAGAAGTCGGCCCGGTTGAAAGACACTACGGACAGGAGGAAGCACGAAGGCGGCTGACTCTGTCTTGAACGCGAACATCGATTTGCAACTTGCAAGTCTGCAACAAGGAACGCGTCGGCTGAGAGCCGACTACGGTTAATCAAGTCGTAACTCCATTCGTGTTGGTTCAGTCACCAGCAAGACCCTGCACTCTAATGCTCTGCCATTGGTATAGCGCGATCTCACTTCCATCAACCACTACCGGGCGTCACTTTAGCCTGATATCAGGCTAAATGGCTAAATGCTTCGAGTGCCCTGGGTAGCGCCGGTCAACGACGTGGTATCCTGGAAGAAACCCCATGTGAGGCAGCGGCGCAGTAGCCGTTTTTTCAACCTCACGCTAAGTATCTCCAATCACTCGAGTCTTCTCCAACAGTCAACATGGACACGGTGCGATTCTCAGCGTTGTCTTGGAGCTCCGCAAATGCATCCCCACGACCCACGACGGTTTAGTGTAGAGGCAGAACCGTTCGACTAAGGAACTCGATCATTCATGCTGGGCATGAGCTGCTCAAGTGTCGTACCACTGAAGGGCCTGGTCTGCGAGGACTTTCCCCCCAGACCCCCACCGCTGTTCACACGTACGCTCAAAGACACCCACGTGAACTCTTCATCTCGCAAGGATCCTTGCGAAAGTCAGTCAAAGAGTGATCTGACTGAGAATAACAGGCCTCACCACTCTTGATCCCTCCTTACAGCCCTCCTTACAGGACGGGATGGTATGCAAAGTCGGGCTGTTCCGCATCATCGTGGACCGACTGATGGTCGAGCAGCAGTATCAACGGATCAATCTTAGCCCTTGTGGTGACCCTCCCCGCGCCCACGAATCCACACCCTCAATGACCTTGGGGAGGGCGGGTCTGTGGGTACTCAGAGAGGAGCGGTTCTCGGCCGACCAAGTTGCGAGAGATTCGCATACACCCGCTGTCGCCCCATTGCTGCGGAATCCATCCCGCCGGCATGAGGACTGATCGCGCTGAGAGCGCCATACGGCGTCACGAGGCATTTCACATCGCCATAACTCACCGGGGAAACGCAGACTTGTCTCTGGAATCTGAATGCGCCTGAGTTGGTTGAGTAAGCGCAAAAAAATCCTTCTAGCTTTGGGCATACCCTATACCCACAGCCCGTGTCCTCGAAATAACACCAATAGCACGGTGGAAAGCTTTACCGAGGGTGTTTCTCTCTAAGCAGGGGTCCCTCCTCGACAAAGTTGCATCGACGGGACGGAGATGTCTGCACTTTCGGCTTGGCCTACCGCCTCATCATAGCAAACTTTGGTCCCCGGGCATGAGCACCGAAGCACCTTATTGTAGGATTTACTGCTTTTCATGCGTCGAAAGAATTTCTCGTTTTCACGTGGCGAGCGAGATTTTTCTCATCTCCCCAGAAAGCAGTAGGGCTGCGTGTGAGATGCAACTATTGACTGACACTTCGTTGCGGCCCCGGCTTGATCACTTCATCAAGCCGGCCCAGAAACGGCACGGCATACGGAAACATACGGGATAGAATAAGGAAACCTGACGAGTCACGGAGGCGTCATGCCGGGTTTAATTCGAGTCGCCATGTTCCCAGCGCCCACATTCAAAAGAAAGCCGATTTTAGCTTAGCGATGAGTCGTCCACCTCGGCCTTGTCTTCCCCGCAGCGGTCGACTAGTCAACCCCAAACTCGTCTAAAATTTGCGGTTCCTTTTCTCTCCGTCCTCACTTGCTAGGATATCTCTGGGGTTAATCGACCGGCAAAAGCTGTCTGTCTTCTTCAGCCTTTTGTCCGACACTTCAGCCATTGAAGTCAATCAACAAGCTCCCGAAAACAACCAACTCTTGGTCTCGGTGTTCATACACGTATCCTCCCAAGATTCAGTCGAAGTCGAATGTGTCGAGTCACCTTGGGGAAAGAGAATGGGACAACGGGCGGGACCGTCGTCGTCTCCACTTGAAGGACAACCTCCCTGCCCACCTCCACCTTCTTCTCCACGGGACCCCAGGGGGAACGTTCAGCAAAGTGGGAACTCTCACACCTTTTGTCCTTTTTCCATCTAGTCTTGTCCTTGTCTAGTGGGATTCAAGTGTCCACACAGGCGCCCGGCAAAATACAATTGCCAAAGTTTGGAGAAATAGGTGTCCGATTCGCATTCACCCGTTCGGACGGCAGCAGATTTCTTGGGGAAGACCCAAGTACGGATACACTAGAGAGAGGAGAGCCTCCCGTCCCTCGTGACTTGTGACTTCTCGGGCCAAACTTGACAGCGAAGCTTTGCCTTGAAACAGTTCAAGCCCATCGCATTTTACCGGGAGACAGTGGCAATCCCCTGTGCCGCGTACGCACTAGGAAATCCATGGGGACTAGCAGTCTACCTTGCCCGACAGGCTGCTTCGTCCTCGTACAGGACGATATTTCTCAAAGCTGGCTTGATATTGACAGCTGATTGGGGCCGGCCGACGTCCGCTAGGATTTCACGCAAAGGATCCCAACCAAGTGGTTCCAACACCCCCCGCCCCCAAGAAAAGACCGGTCTCTAGACCTAGGCCTTCCCGGTCCGGTACCCCGTTTGGGATTGTTCGCACTGTTTATCCTTTGCTTCCCAACTGTTCGTCTTATGATCCACAGCTCCATATAATAAGACCTGGAGACCCCGCGTCGTAGATCGAGGTTGTCCTTTCTCGCCTTGTCCGTCCCTCTCAAGTCCTCCTCTGGCCCAAACACACGCGGAGACTGCTTCTGGCTCTTGCTCTGGTCGCCGGCAAAACGCCAAACGTCAAACTCACTACGTCAAAACCCACACACGATATACAGCTCCATTGAGCAGACGCCAATATGGGATTCCTGAAGGGCCTTTCACAAAACAAGACCCAGAGCGAGGCTGTTGTCCAAGCTCAGGATGAGGCGCCGGATTTCGAAAAGGTCAACTGGGTGAAGGACCCCGGTCTGAGAAAGCTTTACTTTTACGCTTTCGTCCTCTGCATTGCCTCTGCGACCACTGGTTATGATGGGTAAGTTGTCGATTGTGGTGGAGTTACAATGGTCGGTCTGCTGACGATGTGTGATTTACAGCATGTTCTTCAACTCGGTCCAGAACTTTGACTCATGGCAGACTTTCTTTGATCACCCCAAGGGAGGCCAGCTCGGTCTTCTCGGTGCCTTTTACCAAATCGGCAGTCTGGTTTCGATTCCCATTGTGTAAGCGACGTTCTCGCGCGAAACCCCTCCGGCACATGAATATTATACTGACCCCTTTCAAGCCCCTTCATTGCAGACAACTTTGGCAGAAAGATCCCTATTGTCATCGGCTGCTTGATCATGGTTGCGGGTGCTGTCTTGCAGGGTGCCTGCACGAGCATGGGCAGTGAGTAATTTGAATCACTCGCTACACTTCTCATAGGCTGACCATTCGCAGTGTTCATGGGCGGTCGTGTCCTTCTTGGTTTCGGCAACTCCTTTGCCCAAATCACCTCGCCCATGTTGCTCGCCGAGCTTTGCCACCCCCAGCATCGTGCTCGCTTGACGACGGTTTACAACTGTTTGTGGAACGTCGGTGCTCTCGTCGTCGCCTGGCTCTCTTTCGGAACCGACTTCCTCGGAAACGAGTGGTCGTGGCGTATTCCTGCCATTGGCCAGGCAGTGCCCTCCGTCATCCAGCTCGCCTTCATCTTCTGTAAGCTAGCCTCCATGAGTTGAGATGCTCCATGCGGTTCTAACATGATATCAAGGGGTTCCCGAGTCTCCCCGTTACCTCATCGCCAAGGACCGCCACGACGAAGCCCTCGCGATCCTGGGCAAGTACCACGCCAACGGCGACACCAACAACCCCACTGTCCAGTTCGAGTTCCGCGAGATTCGCGAGACCATCAAGCGCGAGATCGCCGCCAAGAACAGCAGCAGCTACCTCGACTTCTTCCGCACCGCCGGCAACAAGTACCGCTTCATCGTCCTCATCTCTCTCGGTCTCTTCTCGCAGTGGTCCGGCAACGCCATCATCTCAAACTACACAAACATCCTCTACGCCAATGCTGGCATCGAGAGCTCCACCGCCCGCCTCGGCCTCTCGGCTGGCCAGACCGGCCTTTCCCTCATCACCTCCCTGGCGCTGGCTATGCAGGTCGACCGCTTCGGCCGCAGGCCCATTTTCCTCGCCTCCACCGGTGGTATGCTCATGACCTTTGTCTTCTGGACCCTCTCCGCCGGCCTGTACGAGGAGCACGGCTCGCCCGGCTCCAACTACGCCATGATCTTCTTCATCTGGCTGTTTGGCTTCTTCTACGCCTTTGCGTGGTCCGGTCTCCTCATCAGCTACTCCATCGAGATCTTGCCGTACAAGCTGCGTGCCAAGGGTCTCATGATTGTCAACTTGACCGTCCAGGCCGCCCTCACGCTCAACAACTACGCCAACCCGTACGCGTTTGAATACTTTACCGGCCACACCTGGAAGCTGTACCTCATCTACACTGTAAGTTTTCACCTTTTTCGTACGTCGGCGAATATCTTTCTAATGACGTTGTGCCAAACAGTGCTGGATCTTCCTCGAACTCGTCTTTGTGTACCTCTTCTACGTCGAGACAAAGGGACCTACCCTCGAGGAGCTCGTCAAGGTCATCGACGGACCCGAGGCGCAGGTTGCGGACCTCGACCTCGCGCAGGTCGAGCAGGAGCTCAAGCTCGGCCACGAGGCCGAGGAGCTGGAGCACAAGCGCGGTTGAACGTCTGCTTGACACCATCGCATTGGGAATTTACCCCCATTTAGCATTTCACGGCTTGGAGCTCCGTGGCACGAAACATATACGAGCATGCAGATACCCTACTATTTAATGTTGTACAGAATCATGCGATACACACACCTTATATAATGATATGATCAAACCTACAGACACTTGTACCGTCTACAATTTTAGTTTTATTGAAGGCGTGAAGATATAGTTTAACTCGACAGTACTAGTCCAACGTTGATTAAAGAACTACAAATGAATCTCACCTTACTAACAAGTGAAGTGTACCATTTAGACTACAAACCCCCTTAACGAGATGTTTCCTCACGTCAACCGCTACAAATTGCCCACTGCTATGCTCTACTTCCACATCTACGCGAGTACCCGCTAGCTTTCAAGTCGAGTCTTGAACATCATGAGAGTGACGGCCAAGATCAAATAGACTAGGCCGCCTTCCCAGCGTCAACTATCCCCGGCCTCCCCGTCCCTCTCCCCGACCAAAGCCTCATTCCTCTCCACACCCTCCCCCTCCAGTTCCGCGCTCTCCCTCTCACCCAGTATCCGCGTCCTCTCGGCAACAACCAACGTAACCCATTTAATCTCAGCAGCCTGCCTCCTCTCAAGCTCCGCCAGCGCCCTCTCGAGTCTCTCCTCGTGCCGCTTCCGGACGCTATACATAATCTCCTCCCGGATCGTCCGCTCCTCTTCTACCTTGCTCTTATACCGCGCCACCTCCTCGTCCCGCCACCTCTCCCACGCCCGCCAACCCCTATCTAATTCCCTGCGGAAATCCCGCATCAGCGCCTCGATCCGCGCCTCGCTCGAAGGGCGGTCCGCGAAGAAACTCTCCAGCTGCCGCAGGTACGTCTCCTCCGTCCTCTGCTCCGCCAGCACGCGGGCGCCGTACTCCGTCGTTAAGCTCTTGACTTTCGTCGCCAGCTTCTCCGCCGCCGTCTCGATGAGAGCTTTCTGCTCGGCTTCCTGCTTCGACGCCAGCTCCGCCGTCGACGTCTGTGCCTCGTTGGCTGCGAGCTCCTTTTCTTTATCGTGCTGGTACCGCACCAGGAATTCCTGCAGATCGTGGATCTGGTCCAGCAGCTCCCGAAGTTCCTGGTACCGCACCTCGACCTCGTACCGCCGCAGACTCTCGAGCCGAACCCGCTCCTCCTCCTCCGCCATCCGCGCCTCCTCCTCAAGCCTCTCCATCTCGAGACGGAGCAGCTCAGCCTTGAGCGCCTCCTCCCTCTCAAACTCCTCAATCTGCCGTAGCGCGTCGCGGAGCTCCTCCTCGGCCTCGGCCTCGAGCCGCGCCCTCTCTGCCCGCCGCGCCGCGGCTCCCGTCTTGATGGTCTCGAGCTGCTGCATGGTACACGCGCACGTCCGCCATCGCAGGCCGCAGACGTAGCAGAACTGGTAGCCGCACCGGCACGTCATGTGCTGGCACGCCTCGCGGTGCTCGACGAGCGCCTGGCACCGGCCGCAGTGCTGCCAGCCTTCCTCCTCGGCCAGCGCGTTCGTCAGCGCGAGGTCGCGGTCCAGCGGACAGTCCGCGTCGTCGGCGTGGTGTGGCCCGCGGCAGATGCTGCATGTGAGGTGGCTGCCGTTGGGGCCGCGGCACAGGGCTCGGCGCGAGGCGCCGTCGACGTGTTCTGGGCGCACCCAGACGCCGCAGGAGGGGTCGGCGCAGTAGGTGCGGTCGGCGATGGGGATCGCCCACTCGACAGCGCGGTCTTTGCAGGTTTTGGAGAGCTCGGTGGAGATGTGGCGGTGGACGGTACGGGTTGGGATCGGGTTGAGGCAGCATTTGGGAGGCCAGTGGTGTTCATTTTGGACGGCGGTGGAGATGAGGCGCTCGAAGCAGTCGCGGCAGTAGCTGTGGCATGTGAGTTTGATCGCTTTCTTGGGGCTGAAGTCGTCGAGGCATGAGACGCATTCGCTGTGTTTTGTTAGATAACAAGAACGGAGCTCATTGTTGGGAAAGGGGGGGGCGGGGCTTACACAGTAACGGGAGCTTTCTTTTGCTTCTCCGTCACAGTAGCAGGTTCATCAGACGCTGTTGCTGCCTCTAAGCTCGTCTTGCTCGAGTTGCCGCCAAAACGAAACGTCTTCTTCGCAGCATCCTTTTCACTCATCTTTTGCAAGATTCTCGCCAAGGCGAAGCGGCTCCTTTTCTTGGGTTGAAATGGCAAGACGACGAGCCCCTGAGGCAACGTGCTACCATCGCCCGCTCCCGTCATTTCTGGAAACAGCTTGAGGTCCTCGACACCATCATGTCCTGTTTCGACCGCCGACGACGGTTCGGGTCTTCCGTCGGGGGTGATGATGATGGGCAGATATGGCTCCTTAACCGTGCCGTCTCCGTCATCGGTTGCGTTTTCTGCTTCGGCTTCTCGCTGTTTCTCATCTTCTTCTAGCTGGCGGCGACGATTCTCCTCGGCGGCTCTCGCCTCGAGGTTTTGGATGGACAGCTGGAGGATCTCGAGGGCTACTGTGTTAGTGAGGTTTGGGGCCGTTTTGAGAGATGCCGGCGGGTTGTATCTAGTCCACTCGGCCTCCTCGTCGTTCTCTTGGACTGGATTTGTCTCTGTGATATCACTTTCATCGGAGAGACTATGAGCTGATTTTCCTTTGCTGAGAGCCAGGCTGGGTGTCACATCGTCGCCGTCGTCAAAGTCTCGTAGGGTCACGAACGGATCGCCGTAGAAGCCCACGTAGTCTTCCAGGCGAGCCGGCACATTCGTCGCGGTTTCCATCTCGATGATGGTCGACGCAGTTGTAATCATGTAGTGGGTATAAGATGCTGTCTTAGGTAGGATTGTAGATTATAGCTCTTCGCCGACGGAGAACTCAGGCCGGAAAGTGTCCATCTAGGTAGACATCTCACACAGCAGACACGGCTAGATAATATGTGGCATCTGACCAATCCCGTCGATGAAGCGTAGGAAACTTCCCCTCTGTATGGCGTGAGCCGGAAAGCGGAGCATGAAGGAAGCCAAGGTGCGCTTGGCGGCTCCCCCCCACCGAGCCTCATGACAACCTACCTTGAAGAATCCCCATTTTTGGGAACAACGACGAGGCACTCTGATAACAGCTCACAGACCACAGGGCTGAATCTGCCCCGGCTGGAATGCTAGACTTTCCAAAAGGGCGGGGCAGGTGGTATGGAGAAACACCACATGAAGTTACCTACATGGCATTGGCGGCCAAGATCGGCTTTAGCGTTGATGTAAACATTGCGACGGAAGAAGAAGGTTGGTTAGCCGTCGACCCGGAGCTGATTAGATCAAGGCAGACTCGTCAAGCACGATGTCGCGAGCCGAGACCTGGTTGGTGAGATTTGTGCTTTCAAGTTTGAGGAAGAGACATGTTGTAGAGCGCGAAGAAGGCCGACTGGCGACCGGCTGTGTTTGTGTTTGGGGGGAAGGGGGGGCGGAGTTGGGCACGTTCGGCTACTTAGCGCGGGCGGTGCAGTGCGCCCTGGGACGAGGTCAGTCTGTAATAACTGCCGCAGTTGGTCATCGAAGGGGTTGCTTGGTGCCATAAGATATCACGCAACCCTTAGCCTCCTGAAGATTGGATGTCAATAGTCTGGCTCATGGTGGAAATGTTCCAGTTGGTGATAAACTATAGGTCGTGGGGATCATGTCGTATGGGCTGTTGTGCCTTGCAGGCCGAGTTTCCGCCGATTACGGCATGGATTGGCATCCTTGGTTGGGAGCTGAAACAGCGTCAGCCTGGTAGAGCATAGAGAACGGGTAAGTTACGAAAAGCGCCAGATGAATACAAAAAGGACATGATCTCCTCTTTCCTCTGTTGCATCCTGACTTCCATTTGAAGCTGGAAAGAGTGGGAAGAAATGAGGCCTAGCAACACATAGAGGATCAGAGGAGAGCACGTGCCAGAAAGCGCACCCTACATACAGGGATTTCACTTATCGATATATAGTTACCAATCTTCGCTGGATTAGGCATCAGCATCTGTAGTGTAGTGGTTATCATCCTTGCCTTCCATGACTCCTCGCGGTTAGCAAGGGACCCGATTTCGATTATCGGCGGATGCAAGACAGACGCGTCTTTCTTTTTCATTTTTGAGTGTCTAAGCACGAGTAATCGTCGACTTACTGATTCACTTCGCGTGAGACGTTTTTAACAACCTGTGAGCTGCGCGTATTCCGAATCTGCGTCTGCTTTTTTACGAATGGAGGAGTCGCAGCGATTTGCACAGCCCATAGAGGAGGAAGTCAGCCTAACCAAGCCTACCGACCTACCATCTCTCAAGTACCTCGGCATTAGACATTTTGAACCTCTTGATGTTTTGATGCGCCAGCTCGTGTTGCTTCGGCCGCAATATCGGCGGGCGCCATCTCACAGCCTCGGCTTAGTCGTGATCAAACTCCATAACAAACACAAGATTTCATTCTACAACTGGCCACTAACTTAGCAATTGTGACAATACACTGCATCACCTCGCCACTTTCAACCCTGTTCCTAAATCTTTGACTTGACCTTGCTGAACTCGATCTTGTTGATGCAAGAGCCCACGTTCTCAAGGCCAACTTCGACAACGTCTCCATCCTTGAGCCACAGCTGGGGCTTGCGACCCATGCCAACGCCCTCGGGACTAGACACACACACACGGTCAGTAAGAACTTCGGCTAGGACTCATCATTGATCTACTTACGTTCCGGTGAAGATGACATCTCCCGGCAGCAGCGTAGTGCCCTGACTCAAGAAGGAAATTGTCTTCTTGATGCCGAAAATCATGTCCTTGGTGTTGTTTTTCTGTCCATTTATTAGCTTTGGGTTCACACGTCGTGTGACTACGGCCCAAACTTCACCTGAACAGTCTCCCCGTTGACCTTGGTAAAGATCTTGAGGTTCTGAGGATCCTTGACAACCTTGTTGGTCACGATGCCAGGCCCGAAAGGCGCCCAGCCGTCAAAGCCTTTGCCGAGAGACCACTGCCCGCCGCCACGCTGGATTTGCCACTCGCGGTGTGACACATCGTTGCCCACGGCATAGCCGAGAACATAGTTGAGGGCATCGTCCTCGGAAACGTCCGCGGCGGTCTTGCCGATGACAATGACCAGTTCGCACTCGTAGTCCAGCGTGCTGCCGGTCTGAGCGATCGGGTGCACAGGGACGGGATCAGTTGGTCCGGCCAAAGAGGTCACCGGCTTGTACTGAGAATGGTCAGTCTACCCTTTCTTTCCTTGGAGACGACTATGACTTACGAAGAGAACAGGGAACTTTGGAATTGCCATGTTTGACTGGGAAGCTGTCAGCCGTTTGTGCGGAGCTTTTCGGATTCTTGACTCTTATCTCACCTCCTTGGCGTGGTTGGCATAGTTGAGGCCGAGGCAGCGTACAGTCTTTACGTGCTCAGGCGCAAGGGGAGAAAGCAGAAGCCGGATGTCGGCGACGTTTTCTGTGACATCGTGTCTTCCAAAGATGTCGCCTGTCACGATCCTGGCCTGCCTCGCCTTGGCGATATCAGTGACGCCGTTGGGGAGAATTGCATCGCCGTAGTAGGTCTTGCCATCCCGGGCAAGGAAGCGAACGAGTCTCTGGTATGATAGTTAGTACAGTGGCTGCTGTCACCTACAGCTGGCCAGCAATTGACTCACGGAAAATGAGGACATTGTTACGATTAATCAAAGGAAAACTAAGAAATTGAGGCTCGAGAAGAAAGGAAGCAAGATATCGTACAATAGATGGGAATATGTTGCAGATGATGGAATGTGACGAATATCGGAAGAGGTGCCGAAGACGCTGTAGCAACTGGACCCCACGAACCTGAAGCCTCCGATTACCATCCGTCGACCCCACACTTGCCCCCCAGGACACGGATTCCAGAGCTAAGCCCCGGCTCGCTGTTCGGCGTCAGATGTGCCAGAGCGAACTGAATTGTGTAGTACTCTGGCGCGCCGGCTAATGCATCGGCATCATTACGCCATGGGCTCCCGGCAAAAGTACAGCTGTGCTGCGTGCACCTCTTCCGGATAGAACTCCACAATTCCGAGAAGCTCTTTCCAGCGTATGTTAATGCTGAGTCATTCAATCGACTAACAGCTGCGACTTCCGCCTTTCCTGATTGGCCCAAGCTACAGCGATGGAGCTCTCTTTCTTGTGGTTGACATCAATGATTCGAGCATCCAACTTTCCCATGACGGTCTCTTCATGAGCCACCAAAAGAGCATTCCTTCCGCAGTATCACCGAGTTGACGTTCGAGATGGCAATAACAAGGCGTGGCCTTTCTGGTCTTCAAAGGGAGGTTTTGGCACTTTATCGACAATGTATTCGGGAGATTCGGAAGAAGCCCGAGGTAATATTTCTTCATCCTCTTTGACTTGCATGTGAGATGCTAACATCGCCGTAGACTGCGCGGCCTCACTTTCAATCTTTTGCCAGGCAAGCTCATGCATCAGATTTCTTATTTCCTGTTTAGCACCATACTGACCAGCACATCAGGACAGAATTCGAAAGGTACATCACTGTGGACAAGCGCGACTTCTCCGTTGTAGAGCATTTGTTGCGGAAGGGCCGCCGCCAACTCGAGACGTATTCTTCACCAAGCATCAAGGACATCAGCCGGTAAAGAAACCGCCATCCTCATGCCAAGTAATCGGGCTTCTTTGCATCCTTCCTCGCACGGCTCTGTGTCAGCTTGGGAAGGGACTTCGTTCTTAATCTTCAGGGGGGCCGCACGCAAGGAACAGGACCGACTGCCTCCCTTTTGTATCACCACATGTCTCTTCTGTGCTACGTTTTGTTACCTAGACCACATGATACCAACAAAAATTCTTCTTTGGATCCATCTCTACCATTCCAGTGCAGCGAGCATGGACGATGCTTGAGTGCGACAGAGTCTTCCGAGACTGCAATTGTATTTCCACTTGTTCCCCCTCACTGCCCGTTCTGATATCTGAGCCGGAACTGGCACACAGAGCAGCAGAAGACGCCTTCCGCAAGCCCATAAGCCGGTCTGTCGAAAGCCTCCGCCGTCAGCAACGCATAATTGTTCACACAAAGCGCGCCAGCAGAGCCAGACTTCCATCCGGCAAAGTTACCCGCTCTCAAACGACTGTAGTGTCTACCAGAAGAACAAGCCAACTTGTCCCGATCATCGTCTCCCAGGAGCGAGAACTAGAAAGACTGCGCAGCATTGTGGCTTCGAACGCTCTTCAACCCTTAACACCGGCCCCACGAAGACGCAGCAGACCTTCCATACAAAGGACACCTCCTCCGTGGTATATTGCAATGGAGCCCCCGGTCCAAACCATTCCTAGATCGCCGAGACCACAAGGCCCTTCCTCTCGCTACCAACACGCTGTCCCAAATCGGGCTTCAAAGTCACGTCCCGTCCGTAGGAGACCAGTTGCTGGTCCTTCGGGATCACCAATTCGGCCGAAAGCCCCCAACTTGGTCGAGAGTCTTTCCAAAATCCATGGCTACCCTTTGTCAACCATGGCGGACCCTGGTCCCACATTTCAGCACCGCGAATCGGTGGCATCCCGCGAGAGACGATTCGGAGTTGCTGATCCACAGCTGTAGGAAGCTGTTCGTCGGAGTCTTTCGCAGCAGAGTCGAGTCTCTCTTGTTGCTTCGCCATCAAACAGATCATCAAACCAATCTCTGCGACCACCTCAACCCCCATCGAGAACCTCTAGCCGACACCGTGAAGTGAACCGCTTTGCCAGGCAACTCGAGATATACGCCGAACGCAGAAAGGCTGCGGGGGAGCTACCCGTCTCTACGCCGACACCAGAGTCGGTTATATCGCTACACACAGTTACAGCTCTTCTTCCGTATGAGGAACAGTTCCAAGCTGTCGGTCTAGCAGTGACTTCTGAACAACAACGTCAGAAGTCGCCGCCCAAAACGTCTCCAAAAAAGGATACGAAGGCGATGAATCCACCAGACATCAAAGAAGAGTCGATCTTGGCTCGACCTAAGGAGACCATAAAGCAAGGTGAACCAGGCCACCTTCAGCTTAATGGCTTGAGGAGCGCTTCGACAAGCTCATCCGATTCATCAACGTCGGGTACGCAGGTCGCCTTTGCACAACCAGACGCCTGGGAGCTCGCCTTCATCGATGAAGTTCCAGCCAAGAAGGAAAGCTCTACTTCGAGATGCTGTCAATTGCCTTGCTTTCCAAGCACGAAAGACCAGTCGATCGACATGCCGATGGGCCGAGCACCTGCCGCTCCAACACCGACGACCATTGACACGCCGAACAAGATATTGGCAAAGTGGGAACCAATTTACCCCCAGAAGGCAGAGGCTTTGCAGGGCTGGCGTAAGTCAAGTTCTACGATTGTCGGCCAAGCCGTTGCTAATCCTTCCAAAGGCGAGAAAGCCTCTCAAGATGTTCGAGCCAAAACTTGGCACGGCAACACGGCACAGCGTCCATCAACTTATCGGCCACCACGGAAGGCCCCCCCTCCTCGCAAAGAGGCGGAAATGCCGAGTCCCAAAAGCAAGTCTCCGAAGAAAGCAGTACCTAGTGACTTGGAGAATGATAAACCGCCCATACCTCCAAGAGCTCAAGCGCGTAGTGACCGCTCGAGGAAACAATCAAAGGCGGCAAAGCTCGAGTCTTCAGCCCCTAAGGGGATACGTAAGGAATCTCAGCAAGACGTGTTTTCTAACGAGGAGAACTTTCCACCGGGAAGCAAAGTGCTTCATCCCGTAGCCGAAAGACTAGTGGAAGCTACCGTACTATCTGAGTCAGACGAGAACGCCGCCCAGGTGCGGGCGGAAGAGTCACGTAAGGCTCAAATACCCACAGAATCAAAACGGCCAACCGGTGTTGTAGACAAGCCCCTCAGAGTTTCGATCAGGCAGCCTGAACGCAAGGCCAAGGAAAAGGCCGCTCTACTTAACGAATCTGCACCGACGGAGTTCGAGCACCCGCCCATTTTCCAGTCTGGGAGGATGTTCAGAAGCCTGCCAGGACCAGCAAAGCTCCCGGAATTGGAAAGAAGAGAACGGTCGGCTCAGACGAGTCGCGGAAGCATTACGCCAAATCCTGCTTTACCATCCACATGGAAATTGACCTTGAGCTCATCTTCGTCACTTGAAGTGGCCATGGAAGCTGCTTCGCGGGAAATTGAGATGCAAGAAGCCAAGAAATCTGGGAATGAGGCACTCGCAGCACAAGATTTGGCAGCAGACGCACAAGCTGCCCCTAACTTGACTTTAGAAGCCAAGCATGGCGAGCCACTTCCAGAACCTCTCGGTGGGGAATCTCTCTTACCCTCTGGTAAACAACCCGAGCAGGCACACAAAATACTGCGAGGTAGTGATAATTCCGATCTCAGGGAGCAGGACGACAAGGGTATCGATGACAGAGATGTTTTGCGAGGTCTTCACATCGCCATATCGGCCGCCTGTGATGAAGAGGTTGACTCATGGATCCGACAAAAGACGGGTGTGCGTATTCGTCGATTCTTGGCGGACTTGAAGGCCTTTCAAACGTTGGGTGAAGAGGATCAACCGGATCCAGCCAAGGAGCGCGCTCGGAACAGGAGAGCCGACTCGAGGAAACTCAAGGCACAGATTCGACAATCCAAAGCCGCTCGGGAGGCAAGAGCAGCGCAGTGACAAACGAGTACAGATCATTCTTAGGATTTGCGAAGATCAGGAAAGGTTTTGGGTTTGTCTAGTAGTTTTAGATTCTGCATCGCTGCCTCTAGGGGCATCAATCCTAATTGCCCATCTCACTACCGTCACGTCGTGATGCAGCAAAGGGACGGAAGGGACCTGATGCGATTCATGTAGTTCATTCAGCCGAGGTTGCCCTGACAGGTCCCAATCCTCGTCTATCGTCTAGACCGAATAAGTCTTTATCTTTTCTATCTTTTGCCCCTTTCCAGACCATTATCCTGAAGCCTGGAAGGAGACTCGCACGTCGGCTCCACCATGGAGTCATCCGCGCTCTGCTTCTCCTTGACTCAGTTTCCTGCCCCATTCTCTCCTCTGCCTTTATGTCCCTCACCAGAAGCTCTATGTGGAAAATCAACCTAGCACACCTCGCGATGCCTCATTTCTCTCTTGCCATGATTAATACAAATGTCTCTGACCCCCCTTCTTCTCGCTCTCAATGCTGTGGTATCATGTCATACAACTCTGGACAATGCTGACCGGCTCTTGGTCTCGAGGGGGCAAAAAGAAAAAAAGACGCCGAATCACGAAGGCGTCAACTGGTCCGCCATCATCTTTCGGACCTCCTTCTCCAAGTTCTCCTCGGCATTCTTGTCTTCCAAATCCTCCACCGCGCCAGTGACCTTCTCGGCGAGCTCAATCTTCTTCTGACAGGCCTTATAGATGAGCTCCTCAATGGTGTGCGAGGTCAGCAGGCGAATCACCTCTACATCCCGCGTTTGGCCGAGGCGGTGGGCTCGGTTCTCGGCCTGAATGTCGTCTTGCGGGTTGTCGGACTGGTCAAAGATGATAATCTTGTTGGCAGAAGTCAGGTTGATGCCAGTACCGCCGGCGCCGGTCGTCAGCAAAAAGGCCGTGATATCGGTATCGTTGTTAAACTCGTCAATCAGGTCCTGGCGCTCGGCGACGTTGGTCTGGCCGTACAAGACGCAGTGCTTGATGTTATCGCTGTGGAGGACCTCCCGGAGGATCTCAATGACCTTTGCGAATTTGCTGAAAACAAGAACTCGGTCACCGTTGTCGCGGTATTGGTGAATGAGCTCTAACAGCTTGACGACCTTGCCGCTGTCCATCCACGAACCCTCAGGGACGTCAAGATGCCTGATGCAAGCGTAATCGCGGCACCAGAGATGCAGCTCGAAGTCGGAAGAGTTTTGCAACTCTCCAATGAGATGATCGATTCGCGGTTGTTGTAGCTCGGATTGTGGAACCTCTTGCATCAGAATCTTCGCCATCTTCTCAACCTTCTTGTTATCGAAGTAACGACGGAATAGTTGTGGGTGAAGAGCCGCCTTCCGAAGCTGCATCCAGCTGTTGTTCTGGTCGCTCTGCCGCCCGGCAGTTGTCTTCTTAACCGGCCCGGCTTTGAAGAGACGTTCGTAGTCCTCGTACAGTTCCTTCTGTACCCCTGGTGCCAAATCGCAGTATGCGACGTTGCAAATCTTGGCGGGCATGTCGGAGAGCACCTGCTGCTTGCGACGTTGTAAGATGAACGGCTCCAAAATCGTTCTGGCTCGGCTAACACGTTCGCCATAGAGGAAAGCACCATTGTTGACGTCGCGAATGGTAACTTTTTGGCTGAACATGTACTGAAGCTGGTCCATCCGGCCGTTGAACTGGAGTGGGTCGATGAAGTTCAACAACGCCAGCATTTCCATCAAGTTATTCTGAACAGGTGTGCCAGTGAGAAGCATTCTCCAGCCGGCCTTGATCCTGATCAAGTCCTTGTAGATCTTGGTCTTTGGGTTCTTCATCTTGTGTCCCTCGTCAAAGATGGCGGCGGCGGGCTGCAGCTCTCGGAGAGCCTCCAGATCCTCCTCGGAGCCGACTTGGGTATAGGTTGTCAAAACAACGTGGTAGTCCGCCGGGTTTTCGAGCATCTCATATCCTATCTCTCTGCGTTCGGCTTGCGGGCCTTGATACGCAAGAATTGAGAGGTCAGGAGCAAAGCGCTGGAATTCCACCATCCAGTTCGAAAATGTAGACGGTGGTACAACCACAAGATTGGGCCACGGCCTCTCACCCTTTCCGGTTTTCTCAAAGTTTTCGACAAGGTGACAGATGAGAGAAATGACCTGGCAGGTTTTGCCCAGACCCATCTCGTCGGCCAGTATGCATCCGTATCCACTGTTGTACAGCAGGGACATCCAGTTGAGACCGAACAACTGGAAGGGCCGCATAGTGCAGTTTCCATCCATAAACTTTGGCTGGCAAGGAATCGGCGGCTCTGAGAGCTTGTGCGTGTGGAAGCTCGTCGGCGTCAGGGGGAGGTCACTGTTAGCGGCAGAGCTTTGTGTGCTCCGTTTCTGACCCTTGACGTCGAGATCCCAACGGCTCATCTCCTGCTTGACCTTGTTGGCCTTCTTCTCGCATTCGGCTACAACCTCATCAATGGCATTGACGCTGCGAGTGAACTCCATGATTGCGTCGACCAGGGTCTCTCCAATTGGAACCTTGGGCCTCCTACTGCGGGCGTTTGCCTTTTTGGCCACCGTAACGGCTTGTACTTCGCTGATGGTGTCGAAAGGCCTCTTGGTCTCAATGATCTTTAGCTCGTCCAACTTGATGTTCGTCATGGCCGACAAATCCGCGATCGAGCTGGTGTTGATGGCTTGGAGAGCCTTGTCCTGCAGACTGTCCTTGACCGCCTCGTTCAGTTCTTCCTCATTGTCAAAATCCTCGTCCTCGTTGTCATCAGGAATGATGATGGGTTCGTCCACCTTGTCGGCAGCAAGCTCATCCAGGGACGGCTCGTCTTCGTGAGGCTGCTGCTGGGACGCAGGTGGAGATCTACCAGGGCGACGACCTTGCATCAAGCGCCTGCGCTTGGGCTTTGGTGGGGAGGGCGTGGTGCTTCGAGAAGGTGTAGGTAGGGTCGGGGCATGTCGCCCAAGTAACTTTGGCTTGCTGGGTGAGCCGGGTCTACCTAATTTGCGGTCCATGTTCTTCGCTCTTTCGTCTCCAACGGTGATGCTCGGCTTGGTAGAGCTAACGAAGCTGTTGACTTTGGATTTGAGATGCCGACCGTCCAACAAGTAGTTGATCGCGTCCTCGACGTTGTTGTGGCATGCGGTCAAAGCTTCCTTATAGTATTGAACAGGTATCGTGCCGTTAAGCGCCTCCGAGACCTCCTCAATCTTCTTCTGCAGCTTATCCACCGAAACGTACTCGAAGTTTGCGACGTGCTTCTTGAAAGACGTCTGGCTGATGTTACCGCGGGATGTTCGGTCATCTTCGTCGTCTGACGAGCCTTGTATGAGCACAGGCTCCGCCGAGGGTCTCTTCCGCGGATTGGAAGGCGCTTGTGACGTGGGAGGCGGCTGAAACCGTGAGCCAGGGGGCACAAGGCGTGAGAAGTAGCTGGATTTGTTCTGGAAGGGCGAGGATGCGGGAACCTCAATGACTGAACGCGAAGAGGGGGAGGAGGAAGCGTCGGGCTGCGGCTTGGCCTGGGACGCGAGTGACGTTCGGTTGACAATCTGCGTCGCTTGTGTTTGGTACGGGGACTCGGGGATCGTCTCGTCGGCGAGCTCGTCGGCATCGTTACCGCGACGAATGCCTCTGATCGGTGACGTGCCCATTGCCGAGCTGCCCACCGGTGGCGGTGAGGAGCTGAGGGTATAGTTGATAACCATGGCTCGTATAGTCTTTGTTGCTCGTTGGGAGTGAGTGAGAAGGTGGAAATGGAGAAATTGACAAGCGGAGGTGAGGAGGCAGACAATGGTCGAAATACAAAGGCGGGGAGAGTTTTGCTCAAAGGAAAGAAGGACTCGAGGGCTTTGCTTATGTGAAGATTGCCGATTGTCGAAAGGCTGTGCGAGATAATTGACGCTAGATCAGAAGAAATCGCAAGGAGGAAGAGCAGCAGATTGACAATTACGGATACAGGTACCGCCTTCCAAGATGTGTGCGCGCTCCTGAGCAGACTGGCGGGAGCGGTCGACAGTCGAGATTGATTTTGAACCGACGGCGGCACTGGAGTGGGAATTTTCTGGGGCAGATCGCAACGCCCCCCCATGTCCGTTGACACGGGAATCCAAAGAAACGCGCTTAGACGAATCCCCATAGCGCGTCCGCACGTGGTTGGCGTCATCAATTAAAACACCGTGCGGGGATATATCGCTTTAAACTGTAAGCGTTGTCTTTTGACTTCACGTCTCGTTTTTTAGGGGAGCTCGGCAGCAAGGCTCGGTGAGCAGGACCATCAAACTCATAAGCCCCCCAACCAAACGTCCATCAACTCCGCGTCTTCCGCAACGTCTGCATTGACAACGAGTTTATTCCAACGTCGTTTCTCAGCACCACGTAAGATTCCCGTCATTTAGGACAAGCTCTATAGGATAATGCGCTTACAAGTTACCATAGATACACACCATGGCAACCCGACGTATCGTCGCTTCGGAGAAGACCATCCTCGAGAAGGATGACGTGGTTGGTGCGAGTCCAGCTGCCGGGGACAAGTCCAACATTACTCCTGCTGTTCCAATGGATGTCATCTTGAAGCTTCTCGGATTCACCTTCGCCATGATTGTCTTGCCCATCGGCACCTACTTTGCCACAGTCGACTTCCTCTTCAAGGGTAAGTTGCATATATGATTCCGCTTTGTCTCCTTACATTGCCAAACGGATCTGGACACGCCCGACTGATCTGATCAGGTAATTCGACATTTGCTGGCGCCCTCGCTGCTGTCATGGCCAACGTGGTATTGATCAGTTATGTTATCGTTGCAATGAAGGAGGATCAGAGCGACCAGCTGGAAGCAAAGAAGCAAGGGAAGAAAGACCGTTGAGAGTTTGGATGGATGGTCATTAGGAACCTGGTTGACTGGGATCACAATCTGGAATGCATTCGCAGTCTCCATAGGAATGGAAGTCGTGTCACTTGCCCCTCTCATTAGATGTGATACACTGTTGACGTCAAGCTCCGTTCTATTGAGAAGAGGTTTCATCTCGTTAACTCGGTCTTCTGTAAGACCTTTATTGGTTGGAAGCCACGGCAGCATTGCAATTAGCCCTATCAAATTTTCCAATGCGTGGGCCATAGGTTCATCGCAGGGCATTGTGAATGAATCGAGAATTTCCTCGTAGCTGACCACCGTTGTGCCACCATCAAGCCTCTATGACTGCCACCTTTGCCCTCGCCATCGTTAACTGGATCCTGTACATGTACCTCGATCCAACAGGGTGAATTATGTCGTTATTCTTTTGAATCAAAAATTAGATAGCCATGCCTCCCAGGCTACACTCTCAACTTACCGGCCCTCCTCAAAGTAGGAAAAGCCGTCTCATCGGGGGGATAAGGATGCGCTGGCAACTCCAGACTAGCTAAATATCAGGCAAAACCCGATCTCTGCCCGAGAATGCCATAACACATCCAGAATCTAAGAAAATGGGGGGTATCGACAAAGTTAAAACGAAAACCAGCTCATATCTCATGCCTTTTGTTCTTCAAGATGATTTGCTAAAACGCTTAGAAAACCAGCTTTTCCTCTTGGCTGGCTCAGCGGGTCTAGGCTGCGCCTGTTGCTGCTGTTGCGGTGGTGAGGCGCCCACGGGTCTCCGAAGGACGTTCGCGCTCTGTTGCTGAGGTGCCTGAGCTCCATTGTTCACAGCTTGATAGGCATGCCCCTTTCCATTCGGCGCGCCATTGTCGAGCCTTAGAGCAGGTCCTTGGTCCTGATTGAAGCCAATGCCGTAGTCGTTGGTGGGTTCGGGCCTGCGGGCCGGGCCGCCACGCTCGATGGAGCTGTTGTCGCTGCTAGTCGGGTCGGTATGGTAGCCGGCATGCTCTCCTGAGCTTCCACTTGCGGCCGCTGATGTGACAGTCTCATATGAGCGGTCCTTGTTGGGAAGGGGATAGATGTTCTGATCGCCGCGTGCGTAGCCGTTCATGTGGGGATCGGTTTGCGTCCTGGGAACTCTCTGTCGATAAGGAATGTTGTTACCGCCATTATAGTGTCCTCCGCCATTCTGGTACTGATCGTAGTAACTCTGTCGGTTGGACCCCATCTCGATCTGACCGCTCTCCGGACGGAACGAGCCCGGGCGACCGTTGTAGTAGCTATCGTGAGGGTGGCGACCTCCACTGGCTGTATATTGGATTAGCCACGCTCTGCAGACAATCTGTGGACAGATGAACTTACTGGCATAGTAGCTGCTGCGTCTGTTCCACGTTGCGACCGACTCTGTATCTGAGCGAATGTAAGACTGTCGTCTGTCCCGGTCGCGGTAGCCTCCGTCAATAGCGGCCTCGAAACTGCGAATGGTATCAAGGGGTCGTTCCCAACGGCTACGTGTGGGATTGGATCGGTCGGGTTCGGCTGAGTTGCAGTGTTAGAAAAATCAGCTAAATCTAGAAGTTCGGGGCAAAGCATACCAATTGGGGCACCGGTCGTATCTTTGTGCTGGATGGCGCGCAGAGGAGCCAAGGAAGTCTTGGTCATTGCCTGAACGGCAGCTTTGGAGGCTGTTAGCTGACTTGCAGTTGGCAAGATGACGATAGGGCGGTGACATACAAGGTTCGGCCTCACTCATGGCGACAGTGGGATCGGCTTTACTGTGTAGTCTCTTTGCTTCCTTCTCTTCGGGTGTCTCGTGGAGGTCGATCTTAGGGTGACTCCCGGAACTCTTGTGGGATTTATTGGACTGGAAACTGAAGGTTCTCGGCCGGGACTTGGAGCCTCTACGAGGTTGTTGAATCTGGGGGTGAGATTGGGATTGGGACTGCTGCTGGGCGTTGGGAGGGGGTTGAACGGGCTGGGGATGGTCGTATTGCTGCTGATAAGGCGGGAACTGAGCCTGTTCGTTGTCGTATGAGTCGGAGGCTTGTTGGTGATAGTGGTGATTCTGTTGCTGGTGCTGAGGAGGCAACGCGGGAAGTGGATGGTGTTCAGCCATGACGGGCGACTGGGGAGGGTGCTACTTTTAATTGATCTGTCTCGCAAGCTGGCGGGTTCAGTGGGCGCGGACCTGGTCTCGGCGAACAAGGTCGATTGATGGAGCTATTGCGTGCCTTATCGCGGGTCAGCAAGGGGAAGAGTGGGCGGGCGGTTCCCAGAGCTCGCTAGCGAGGCGGCCAAGGTTGCGTTTTCCAGGGGTGAGGGTGAGATGATGGAGCGCAGTGGAGCGTTAGAAGGGGTAGAATTGTGGAAGGGAAGGGGGTTTGGGGTGTGCCGTATGCGTGAGTCTGGTGTTTCTGCCGACTGCTGGTGCTGGGATTGAAAGTGGATGCAGAAACTAGCAGAGAATAGTGTACCCGTGGACCGGGCTGTTTCCAGTGTTCCACTTGTTGACGATGGATGGATGTTTGTATGAGAAGCAAATCTTCGGCGTCTGAGAACAAGAAGATTGGGAGCAAAGTTGAGGTGCTTGGGAGTTGTTTTTTCTTACTTCTCAGATACTGTCGCAAGGAGGCAGAAAAGCAGGGAACTGGGTGTCTCGAATGTGGCTGGGGGGGAGGTTGAGTTGACAACCTGGAAGGCACTTGGTACGAACGGCAACGGCAACAATTCCCAGCCGATGAAGCTGGGCTGCGGTGTGCTTGTGGTGCCGAGCAGGAAGGAACGGCCAGGCAACCCGACGACAACAGCGATCCAATGGGGACCCCGAAAAAAAAAAAAAAACACCAATGACAACGACAAACCCCCAGCAGACGGAACGGGAACGGGAACAGTTGCAGGTGCAGGTGCAGGTGTAGGTGCAGGTGTTGGTGCAAATTTGCTCACGGACATTGGGTACGTACCTTGTAGTTGTTTTTGGGCCGATGTTCGATCCTTGGGTAAGCTACCGAGTATTGTTGCAAGCTTGATGCAGCTGCAACAGAAGCAAGAGAGAAAAAACGGGAGGGAGTCTGACTCTGACTCTGACTCTCGCGCTCTCAACCTAAGTCTCAACTCTCGGATGGATTCTGATGGGGGGCAACTTCGGGCGAGCGACGCCAGGATGTTTGCTGAAAATGCGCTAGGGCGATTTGAATTGGGAGGCGTTACAGGGAAGTAGGGTGGCCGCAATGGGATAAGCGCACGTCTTTTTTCGATGGGGGGTCGGACGCTGGCTGGAGTCAGGTCCGGCGACGTAGGGGAAAAAGTGGTGACTGGGGGGCTGGGACGCTCAGGGACCCCGGGGGCAAGCAAGTGCTGTCCTGGTGCTGTAAACCGGGTCTGCCCAGACGGCAAGCGCCTCCTGCTTGTTGATGAGGATGTCTTGGTGATGTGGTTTTCCCGTTTCTTTTTCCGTCGGCTTCTTTCTCCTACTTCTAGCTGCTATTTTGTCTGCCCAGGTTGAAGAGTCGACGTGTATTTCGATACCGGGGTTTTTGATAATGCTAAGTACTCCGTATCGAATGTGGTTCTTAGGTTGCCTTTTGTGTTAGTTCTGTCGCTGTTTCCTTCTTTTTGGGGTGTCACCGGCAGTTGCAGCAGGGTACTGGCAAACTGGCAGGGTTCCTCCTATCGACCTGAGCCTTGAATAAGGCGACCTACGCAGTAAGGCAGTTCGGTGAGGTGCCTGCCTGGTAAGGAGGGTTTTTACTGATCAAAGTACGTACCGGTAGGTATCCTGTTTCCCGGCTTTACTTTGGACGGGAGGGTCCTTCAAGGTCAATCAAGTCAAGCAGCTTCTTGAGCTTCTGACGTTCTGCGGCCTGCTTCGGACGTTTCGTAACAAAAAACGAGTAAAATGGATATGATGTTTGATGTTGCCTGTTGATCGATGATCGAATGCGACGTAGTTGGCGCGTTTGCAGGCGGTTGGTGGTGGGCCCGGAAGGGCTAGGACGTGGAGGCCGTCGATCGTTCGCTTGATGCGCGTGGTGGAACTGGATGGGCAATGCTAATGGCGGTGCAGAGCAATGCGAAATACTGTCGTTTCCAAATGGCCAATTTCGCCCCTGTCGTCGTCGGTTCGTCTGTCTGGAGACTATCTGGCTGCGGCTGACGTCAAGCTCCGGTAATTCTCGCGTGTTTCAAAGCGCCTTCGCGTGGTAGCTCAAAGTACGGCGGAACACAGAGGTGTCCTTTTTCCCCTTTCCTTTAATTTGCTTCTTTTTTTTTTCTTTGTCTTTCTCGGTCCTTCCCTTTCGGCCCTTGGCCTAATGCGTCCTGGAATGGAATGAATTGGATCGAGAAATTGTCGAATGGGCTGCTTCTCAGCTTCTTTGCTTCCTGGACCAATATCTCCGGTCGTAGGGCCAGACTTTTGAGCTGGTATTCGTTCCGTGTCGTACGTTATACGTTCTCTGGTCTTCGTGTCTGAAAGTTGTGCCAATGTCAGCAAATCTGTACGGAGTAGGAGTAGTGCATCAACATGGACGATGGGTCAATGTCTTCTTCATCGCACGTCGCAGCGCCATGCATCGTGGCACGTCCTGGCGCCGCAGCCGACCGCAGGTTGCAGATGATGGACGACCCACGGGGGCCCAAAAGAAATTCCTGCCTCTGTGCGTACCTGGTTTCCCTCCAATGGTCCCCTTGCTACCTTGATTATCCCGGACGTCAACAGGTCGCTTGTCGGATCGCTCCGAACAGTGAGGTTTTATCAAATTGCCTTATCATAGATGGTGCTCCGGAAATTGGAAGGGCGTCGATAGCGTCCAAAGCCGGCTCGATTCAACGAGTGATTAGCGATAAAAGGTCGAGGTGTCAAGGTACGGCGGCGAAAGCTGATGCCAGTGTGCGTGGTCTGGGCAGCGAGTGTGGCAAGGTGATTCACTGTAACCCTGCAGGTATCGAGACAATGAGGTGGATTTGATACGTTGTCAAGTGTGGATGTGAGTGAATTGAGCGAAGCCTTCTGGAGGTGCAACAAGGCCGAAAACATAAAAACGGCCAAATCTACCATGAAGGCGTGGCGGGAGGCCTTGGGTATCTATACGAGCCTCCAACTCAGACGGGCCAACGAAGGACAAGCCGGCCACAGCGTGTGTGAGTGCGCTTGTGTGTGACTGGAGGGAAGGCCAGCTGAACAAGGTGGTGTGTAGTGACAAGTCGATGATGATCTCGACGACTAAAACGTAAAGGTGTGGCCTGTCCTGGTCTGGCCTGTCACGACATGGCATGGCAATAATGTGGTGAAGCTCCGGTGGTACTTACCTTCTTTACCTCGCGGATACCCGTTCCTTCCTGCCCGAAGGTATGGATTGGATCCGTACCTTCCTGGCTTTAGATAGGCATCCGTAAGGTACTACGAAGCTTTAGAGAAGGTCGGCGCCGATGGGTCCCGCACTTGCTTCCTTACTTCACGGCAAGTCGTAAGGGAAAGAGCGAGGAAAATTTGACTTCGCGGACCTTTCTTCCCTCCGTTTATGGCGTGGCCTCATGAGAATATCTACATAAGGTACCAAAGCACGCAAAGGTAACTAACCACCTAGGTAAGGTAGGTATGTACCTTGTAGTACGCAGGCCTACAGGGAGTGCCTATCAAGGGATGCGGCCTAGCAACTTACACACAACGTACGACACTTCCAGTGTTCTCTCCAAACATGGGATAGAAGCTGTACTTCGAACGGATACAGCCCTGCCTGCCTCGGCCGCACCCTGTTTCCAAATGCCGGGCTTTCCATCGAATGACAGGTGACCGCGGGCAGCGAGATCAAAAACTTTCTGGCCTGCCTTCCAATTTAACAAGGGGCCAGGATCTATGGAATCAGAAGATAGAAAGATGGCCGGTATCCGTACTGCTCGGATGCAAGGCTCCAACGTCGACAACATTCGAAAAGTCCCTCCCCCGCCATGCCGGTCTTTCTGGAAACGCAGCAGCCCGTCAAGTTGCTGCTGCAGCTGGCCGTGCAGTCGACGCAGAGGAAATCAAAAGCCTGGCCTTGCATTCCATCCCAAGTTACAGTTGTTGCCCGCCTCTCTTCGACCTCCACTCACCCGCCTTTTCCACCTTTGCCGTCTCCCGCCCACCTCCCACAACCTGCCACAACCTGCCACAACCCCCCCAAGCACGTTCCTGGCCTGGAACTCGAGCTTGACGTGTATTGCCCTGAGACCCCAAACCGCGTGCGTGTACCTTTCAGAATCAGACGCAAGGCAAGCACCGGTCAATCAACGGACTTTCAACCATTGGCAACAAGAGGGGTGCTCAGGTGGAGGGGAATTCCTCAAGCCCGCGCCATTACGCGTTTCGCCCCTCATCAACCATCCCACCCGTCCAACCCGTCCAACCCCATCACAGTTACGAGGTTCCATCCAAGAAAACCTTAGCCTTAGTCCTGCAGATGGACGTCCGTCGACAAGACTCGATCAGCCACCACTGCCACTGCCAACTACCCACCAGGATCGACGCCCGGGCATTACCTATTCACTATTGAAGACGGCCACACAGCTTCGACTACCTTACCTATCATGGTACGGTACATGGTGTCTGTAATACCTTCGCACCTGTTTGGGACTTCGTACATGCAAATCAGCGAGGTCGCTACCAGATGGGCACGACGGGCTTTGCGTCATTCCCATTCCGCCGCTTTGTTTCTCTGGCTTTAAGTCGATGCTACTTCAGACTCCAGCCTTCGCCATACACTACACGCGGCTCTCTTTCCCACTGGTCAGTGGTATTGCTAAGCGAGATGCGGCCGCATGAGAGGCGTGCGTCGGCGAAGCTCAACAGTGGTTCAGTCTGAAACTTGACTGCCTCTGCATCATTCAAGCAGGCAGTCAATCATGATTGACCTTTCCGATCCCGAACGAACATTTCCTCGGGCAGTATTGTGGTTTGTCTGTCTCGCGGGAGCGGGACTGCGTTGCGACTCATGGGACTTCTGGCACAACGCCTCAAACACAGTCAGACAGCATCTTTCATCTGATACTCGATCCTCAGATGCCATGATTACCGAACAGCATCTCGACAATGGACCCCTAAGGCCGAGACACACAATCACTTGGATTGGACGCCTGAGGACAGCGAGGATCATGCCCGTCCCACCGCCTCTTCCTCCCCAGTGCTCCACGTTGTCAATTTTTGCCCAGCCCGGCTTTGGGTCCTTGGGGTGAGATGTTGACCACCCCTGCAAGCCGGTGGACTTCGTGTTCAACGGCCATACGAAGGCTGGGCCGTAACTGTACTGCGAGCCTGCGAGGTCCACTTACAACCGAGAGTCCGGATTATCAATTTGGCTGCCAGACCGCCGCATGAAGCGTTAGTCTTCAGCTCTAGTCGTCAATACCCGCGCGTTCCATATTGTATAGTCGAGCTGCGCCTCAATCGCAGGTGCACACATGACGCGGATCGATGGCTTACGGTACGCGCACAACAGATACGTGGACGTTTGTACGAAGTACGGATACTCGACGGGATCAAGTTGCCTCCACAAGGCCGTGAAGGCCTATCCGCTCACTCTGCTACGACCCATGCCCAGTTCCACAACACTACATACCAGCCTGTAACTCGAATTCGATTCGCCTGCACTGAGCCTTACTATCAATGGTCAAGGGACCCCAATCGGATCCGTCAACTTCAATCAAGTCCCTGGGGAACTTTGCTGTTGCCGTATGATGGTTGTGTCTCTCTCCGGGATTCTCTGGTATTTCCCGCCTCCCCGCATCCAAAAACGTTGCGCCGGTCTTCGTAGACTGTAAGAGAACAAAAAAGTCGAGCCAAGATTCTGGACTACAGTCTGTGTTATCGCAGGGCCTTTGTGATGTTGCACCAGCTTTGTATCCCTTCAAACTGGCGCGGGATTGCTACTTTCTTCCGGCATCATGTCTGATATCCTCATTTTTGCTGCGTTAGCAATACCAACCTGCACTTGGGAGCAGCAAGTCACACCCGCCTTCCACACATACAGACACACCACACGGCGACAAGTAACACATCGAAGGAAGGGTCCTGAGGCCCGAGCTTCTGGGCAAGTCTCTCCATGTTTCTACTGATCAGCCAACAGCCTTCCGCTTTCACAGCCCGCATTACACCCAGGCTTCCCCGTCAAACATGAAATTAAAATAGAACGATACTTGGCAGCCAGTCATCAACGCTCGCTGACTTTGCCTCGAAGCATTCTCCGATATCAAAATGCTTGGAACAGACGCATCAAAGAAGACATTGATCACCCTACTCGCCACATCCTAGTCACCTTGTATCTTCAAAAGTCAAGTAGTGATGCGGCCTCGAAAGCCGGTAATTCTATCTAACCCACTTTTACACCGACATCTAGGTACGCCAAAAATCAGGAAAAGCAGATAATAGACCGGTCTTTCAAAGGCCAATGGCATCGCGCCGAACTAAGACGGCCGGGGCTTCCGACGGTTGGTACGGTGAGAGTTTGTAACCCTCTCACCCTCTCCAAGCTCGCGCAACTGAGCTAGGTACTAGACATGCCAGCGACTTTATCTGTGCTGCAGCCGGACGGGCTTGAGCAACGGCCCCCTCCCACCATATGTGCGAGACCAATCGACTGGCCGCAGCATGCAGGCTTGGCCAGGTTCTATCAAGATTCCGTCCTTCTTGGGAGGCGCAAGTTTGGTCTTTTTCTGCACACTATCCAGGCATAGTCGGGACGGGTTTGCTTCCGTTGCACACCATGTCCCTGGCTACGCACCCTCCTCGGCCTGTTTCGCACACCACGCCTATCGTAGATTTTGATAGCCCCAATTGTTGGTCGGGAAAGCAAGCCCTCTTCAAGTTCTCGCTGCTGGGTGGGTTTCGTCCTCTCTCTATGTACGTACATCTCCTCCCACCTTCATGATCCGACCCAGTCGTCGCCCTGTCCTTGGCGTTTCGCCCAATCTCCAACCTTTCGCCTTGCCTGGGAATACTTTTCAGCATACTCAGTTATCAACCCATATAGTCACCCTCGTCGATAGCTGTCACCGCGCGAGTGTAACCTCAACGACTGTCAACTTGTCAAGTGATTGAGTTTCCAGACCTCCCGAATCAACTCATTGGTGTCCGCGCCCACTGAGAACAGCACGCACGAGGGACCGATCTCGATCATCCAATGCCTCGATGGCGCAGGTAGGTGGAGGGCGGTAGTTGAGCCCCAATAAGAGAGTCTGAGAGTGGTCGCGTCCCCGAGTGGGGGGTGGAAGGGGACAAAGTGCCTGGGCAGAGAGAGACCGGGAGCTCCCACGGACAGAGCAGAAGCCAAAACCTTGGCGTCCGACGTTTCCCAGATGAGTGGTTGCTTCAGCCCGACGGGTCTTTTTTTTTTTTTTTTTTCTCTTGATCCCATCTTTTTTGATATTTTCCTCTTTTCCTTCCATGACTTCTTCCTGAAACTCGGGGCTCTGTCAGTCGAGGCGCCCAGAAAACATGGGACTGACCGTCATCCCAGCAGGCCCGTTGGCTCTCAGATCGCGAGGCTGTCGCGGTCGGTCTCTTCTTCTTCTTCTTCTTCTTCGCTCTCTGACTTTACTCGACACCCATTGTCGTGTACGCATCAGTCTCCTTTCTCCATATTCTGCTGTTTGAGAAGACTTGGGACGATGTTCAATCCTGCCGGGTTTGGCCCTATGTTGGTTGTAATGACACAATCTCGGGGTTTTTTGGGTCATTTTCCCATTCCGCAGCTCGCCTTACTTTTTGCTTTTTGGGGGGTGTGATTTTTTGCTTTGGGACAAAAACTCTAGTTGAGTGAATTGAGTTGGTCTGATAGTGTGACCTGACTTGAAGCCGAGGGGAGCGGGGAAATGGGGATGGTGACCTGATTAAATGACTTCATTTTTGTACTCTGAAGCATTGAAATTTTCTGCCCCTCGTCGGATCAGGTTCCTGAGTAAAAAGGTTTGATGGAAGTTAATTTTCTTCTGTTGCTCCCGGCCGGATTCACTGCCGAGAGTCTCGTAAATTACACGAATTCTCTCCTTCCGTGAACGTCTAAATTGAGATAAGTCTGATGGGAGAGCCGAGGCATTTCTGGGAGTCAGCAACTGAGTTCAAATGAGTTACTGCCGATACCCGGTTGCTGCCCTTTAGGATGGCGAGCAGTAGAGCAGCGTGCTTGCTGGATATGTGCAATCATTTTACAGTGAAGTGTTCAACGTGACTATCAGCCGAGGTAGAGGAACTTGGGACGATGAAGTTCTTTGACTTGTCTTATCTAAATCCAATGGTAGGAACCAAGTAAGCCTGTCCATACCTAAAATAGTTCAAGCGATGCCGTCTACCTGCCTCTGTTCAAGAGCCCTAGGTTGAAAAGGCGTAGTAGACCAGCTAGGTAAAGCTTCATTACCATCCGTTATGTTTTCTATCCGAGACTTGCCGAGTTTGCGATAATGCAATGGAGGAGTGTGCCTCATACGCAAGTCAAGTCATGAATACTATATGGGATGACTGAGGTAACTTGAGTCTTGAACCTCCTGCTTGATCGAGTGTAGGCAATGATTCCACTCTGTCACCACATACGCGGCAACTAAACTTCATGGCATGATAGGAGGCATCACTCCGCCATGTTGTTGGCACGACCTTCAAGTATTGTATTACATATAGCATAGTATATCTGAATGGGTTCGGTTCAGTGGCATCGTTCTATCACCAGGCTACTGGGTAATATGTACGTTGTACCATGTAACTCATTTCCAAAGCTAAGTTCTGTTGCACGTTATCCTCATAAGCAGTCAAGCCCAAAAAAAACCCGACTATCATCGAGTATTTTACTATGTTGCAGACAGGAGCGATTTGGTATGTGACTCATACACACACGATATGAAAGAACTGTACATACGACTACCGCCCCCTTCTAAAAGGAATAGTACAAGACATACCAAGATACCTATAGTAATAAGGAACCCATGGCACCTCTCCTAGTTCAAGATCATCATGTCCTGTGTTCCATGGCCGATCCCGTCTGACTCGTGGATTCTTTGTTACACATCCACCCGGCCTTACTGTGGAATTACTGTCGAAATAGGAGGTCTTGACGGCGGTTAGTTATCGCGGTATTCCTGTAGGTTTCCGCGTCATCTTTGACAAATACACACCTAAAGCCGTGCCTCAAGTAAGAGGGTCTCCATGAAAGTTGCGGAAAACTGATCCCACTCATGAGCATCATCACTTGGCGTGATCCCCCACTGCTGGTCTGCAACTCCCAAAGTTTGGTAGTTGGTGAACAGTGAATCACCGCCTGGCATGAAACTTTGGTTGGCAGTACCACTCATTAGAGATACAAAATCCTGAACGGACTCAGGTAGGGTTCTCTGGTCTCTATTCGTTGAAGGTACAGCCGGCGTTCTAGTGGAAGAAGATACTGTCTCTGTTGATTCGGGTGAGCCTCTTGTTTTGGGAATGTCCTCGGTCTTATTGGGGATGGGTTACCTGGGCTATCATCCGAGGATGAATCCAAAGCTTGCTCTCCCTCGGCAACGGGGGTGTGTTCCTCAATGAATCGATTAAAGAAATTATCCATGAGCGTATTCAAACCGCCAATGATCCTCTCACTGTCAACTCCGGGCACGCGGCTGAAACGATCGGCCAGAGTCTCCTCTGTAGTCTCCTGCCAGTAACTTCGCATGGTCGTCGGTACATCGCGGGTCGGACTGTAGACAAAAGGGGGATACGGTCGACGCTTGCCTGGAAAGACGATGTCCCAGACAGCGAACCAATGCTGATCCACGGCGAGCTTGCGGTCCACCCTCTCCTTGAGCTCCTTTTGCTGGTCATGGGTGATGCCGTCCGGCGGTTGGTTGGCCCGCTTGCTGCAGTCCTGTTGCCTTGTGTGACACCTTTCCTCAACTTGCGTATCGAACTCTCGACCGCACCTCGAGCAGTAGTGAGGCTGTATATGTTTCCGGTACAGATGCTGCTTGACATCTCTGATCTTATTCAGCTGTAGTAAAAAGCACCGGTTGTGGGTGCGCTTGTCTGCCTTGTAGAATCGACAGGCTAAACTGAGATCGTTATCGTTCTTGTCGGCCTTCGAGCCTTGAAGTCGCGATTTCTTCTTTTCGAATTCATCTGGGCAGTCGTCATCGTGGTCGTAACTCTGTTTCTGGCCACTGGGTTAATCCTGCCGGGCAACCCGTTTTCGACGACGTGGCGAGCTTGAGCTTCTACTGCGGTGTTCTGAGAGACTCCCAATCACTATTGACGCGATCACATTGGCATATATCGAAGACTGATGCTGTCTTCGAGTCTTCGCCTCCAGTTGGGGAAGGAGATGGGCAAGACTTCTGGCCCGCGTTGAATCCGAAGTCCCAATACTGGTACCAGGCCAAACGCTGAGGATTGAACTTCAATAACTTGCGTAAGTGATTGAAAATGCCTCTGCAAGTTTCGACAAACGTATCCAGGGAAGAATGAAATCGTGTCGGAAAAGCGATCAGGGCCATTTCCTGAGAGCCTGTCTTGTCTGCAATCTGAGAAGGCATCCCGGTTGACTTGCAGCTGATGCCATTACAGGCAGCGATATGTCGACTCGGTTGTTCCTTGGGCCAAGAAGAAGAGGCGCTCCGGCCTTGACAGACGAGCTGGTTGTCCATGGTTGAATTCTTGAGGAGTCCGACGGAATCGACTTGAGAACTGTCTCGACCGGTCTTCCTAGAAATAGACCTTATGCTTGGGCTCTGGAAAGTCGGAGGACACCTTGTCACCTCAACCTTGTTGTGCGGCCTCATTCCTGGAAGTAGGGCATCATGGTTTATGGCCCAGGGTTGGGTCCCCATCCGCCCAGAGCGTGCATTTTGTCGAGAAAATCCAAGAAACCCGTCCGGGTCCAGGCCTGTGGTGAGGAGTCAATATGCAGTCCTCTTTTTGTCAGAGGTAGTCAGCAGTCCTGCTGTTCCATATCCGTGACTATCATAACGATCCATGGGCTGGCAGCCCTCTTTCAACAGAAACACTACACGATGTTTCTCGAAGATCATCCGGTACGCATTGGTGTTAAAGTGACTGGTGTCAAAGTTGAAATCCTGGGGCTTTGAACTTCTCCTTGTCTGTAACGTATTTCGCGGCGCAAGTAGTAGTCCTCCTATCGATCCGGTCAAGGTATCCATTTTGACCGGGAAGCTGGCACTGGAGCCCACGAGCCTAATGGCTCGAATAGCTGCTGTTGAACTTCTTGAAGATGAATTTAAAAGGCTTGTATTCCGGTTCATGCCTGGTGTAGACGAGTTGAGAACGACGAGAGTTGACAATCGATTGATCGAGGTAATCAAACTGCATTTGGTCAATGACATGCGATTCGGGCGATCCACGGAAAGAAGCCCACGGTGAGATTAGAGTCCGAGGCAAGTAAAATTGTCTTCACATAGACTGGTAACATCCGCAGGGCAGCGGGAAGTATGGTATCCTTAGTTGGAAATCTGCCCACGGATCGGCACTCCACGTCAAAAAAACCTATGGAAAGTTTAGGCTGCGAGAAATTCCAGCTTGAATGATCCATGAAAAGGAATAAATACACAAGCAGATAAGTCAAAGACTTGGTGATCCTGGAGGGAGGTGGTCCACGTTTGAGATTGTCCAGACAGGATCCAAGTCTTGGAGCTTCCGGGTCCTCCAACGGTCATCCACGCTAGGGTACAGGACCCAAGTGTACGGTTAGGCGTGCAGTGATAGCCGGCTTTGTCGTTGGTATCGTTGCTGTCGAGAGTGGCGTGGGTCGATTTGATTCAAATCGATTGAAATACAAGATGAATGAAGAAAGGTAAAAGCATCTTCCATGAGTCCGTGGTGTTTAAATATGGCACCCACAAAGACAGGCTCATGCGAACGCGACTGCTAAAACAGAGAGAAAGAGCACAATTGTGCTCCCGTTATTCGTCGCAGCTCCTGCCTTCCCCTTACCATGCATCGTGCATCACGGTGATTGGGTCCTGCCCCAGTCCGGGCATGTCGTCCTTCGACCACCCCCTTCCAGCCCCTGGGCACGCAGCCTATTCCACTTATCCCACTTCAACATCAGGCTGCGTCTAACATAAGGTAAGGTGGGTAGGATTCTGCTGACGAACCTGACATCATGGGCGTTTTTCTTCCGTGATAAGTTTCCAAACTCCCTTCACTTCCCCCACGCGGCGCGCCCTGCTGCTATGTCATGCAGGCTGCGCCGAGATATATAAACCCCAATAGGTATTGGCTCTATCCTTCCACCTAGCTGTGGCAACAGGTAACTCCATTAAGCTGGAGGAAGAAAGTTCTGCTGACAGTCCTAGAGCATGACGCACGTCCCGGCAGCCTGTTGCCATTGACAGGCACAATCAGCGATCCCTTGAAGAGAGGACGTACAAGAGGCTGTAAGAGTGATTATCAGTCCTTGCCCTTAGAAGGATTTACTTGGTCAACCCTGTGGTGTCAAGACGCTATTGAATACCCTCCTCTACCTATCCATAGCAGTAACGTAGAGAATGGTATAAAAGGTTGCAATACGAAAATCGATAGTCGCTCCCAGATCCAAATCCAAAATCATAAGCAATACGTGAAAAGTTCTGGTCACAGCAGTAAACTTTCCGCCCTAAATGACGTGCTCTTCGCTCCGCCCGCGTTATATCCAGTCAGAGCTGTCATGTTATATTTGACTCTGGAAATCTCAAGTTGCCTTTATAAATGACTTTGAAGATATGCTTGTTCATTTGGACGTGTGTTGATATTGTTGACACAACAAGGGAAGGGGGAAGGGAAAAGGAAGCCTTATTGCAATCACCAAAATTCTGACCTGGTATTGTACAAGCCTTACGGACACTTCTTTAGTAAGCGTAAGCGCCGGCTTTATTCACTGCTGTTTCGCACGGGGAAGATGCTCTGTGAGTTCATCTGGGGTCTACATACAAGCGGCCACATCAAGATCAAGTGTCACCCCTGAGCTCAAGATGCCTGCCTTACCTACATGCTTTGCATTCGCTAACATCAGGCTCAAGCATTCAAGGCTCCACCCATATCGACCAAGCAGGACTCACTCCCTCGTATACAGAGGTAAAGTGCAAACAAAAGCAGGATTTGACATTATCAAAACGACCGGTGTACATTACACATTGTCCCGTTTACCATCCGTGAATGCACCGATCAATCTAAACCAACAAACAACATGGACCGTACGTATGCTTTTCAGTTAAACAAGACAAGAAAAATCAAGACCCATCAAACGCCAGTCAGAACTGCCCAACTCCTCCCTGAAAGGAGACAGTACCCTTCATTTCACTTTCCTCCCCTTCTCTCCCTTTAGACGATGTTATAAACCCGCTTGGCAATCAGGTAACAACCCATACCGAATGCCAAAAGGCCGGCAGTAATCGCCCAGAACCATTTCAAGTCCCCTTCGTACTCCTGGCCGGGAACCCAGACGTTCATGCCCCACAGACCAGTGATAATGTTCATGGGCAAGACAATCGTACCGAGCACGGTCAGCTTGCCGAGTACGTCGGCTGTCTGTTCCTGTCTTTCGTTCATGCGAATATTGATTTGAGCCAAGTAGTTGCCGTGAGATCGCGCAAGGATCCTAAGAAGAGAGAATCGGTTAGCTCAGTACAATTCGTCCAGAATGCGGAACGACTTACTTTTCATAGTGACTGAGATTGGACGTCATGGTCACAATATGATCCTGAATATCGCCCAGGTACAGTCCAATATCAGACTTGGGAGCGACATCCCAGCGTTCGTTGCAGCGCTTCGCAAAGCCCTTGATGACGTCTGCCTTGTTGCCGAGCAGACGGTACAAGCTCATCACTCGTTTACGACAGTCGCCCACTCGGCGAAGCATATCGCCCTCGGATCCCACAGTCGTGCCCGCGTTGCTGGCCTTTTCGTCAAAAACATCGCTCTTGGAGTTGCCAGTAGAAGAATGTAGCTTCAAAATTTCATCATCAATGTCGTCGACCTCGTCCTCGATGTTTTGAATCAACGGCACAAACACATCAGTAATGTCGTCAATGATTGCGTAGGAAATCCAATCCGAGTTGACGATAAGGTAGTCCTTCAGCTGACGAATACGTCGGCGGACGTTGGCGGGATGCGGCGTCATGGAGAAATGGAAGCTGATGACACCCTCGCGGAAGACGATGACATACATGTTGACAGGCTCCAGGTAGTCTTCGCTGTTCTGATCCTGGTCAAAGGATCGGTAGTTGACAAAGTAGTAGTGGCGGAATAGTTCAACCTTTTCTCGCGCCTCTTGAACCATGATATCCTCAGCTGTAAGCGGATGGATACCAAAGGCCTTGGACAACACCTTCATCTCCGCTTCTGTAGGAGAGAGCACATCGAGCCACCACACAGGTCTTTCACCATACCTCGGTGCGTTGACGAGCAGCTCTGGCGTCTGGGTCGTCTGGTTGCCAACAACCGGCGATCTGATACCGGTAGGTGTACGATGAATGGACCCGGCGCGAGAGCTGCCACCCGAAGTCTTGTCAGGGGACTTGATGCCCTCTCTTCTCTCTTGTTCGGACTGAGTATTTGCAAGTGATGGCTGCCGCGTGGGCGCCCTAGACTCCCCGTTTTGTCCAGTATGAGAGTGGTGTGTGGATAGCGGTGGGAGACCGCCATCGTCTTCGCTATCCGTGCTCTCATCGTCGGAGAGAATACGCGGGTCTGGGATGAACAACTCCTGGAAGTTGCCACCGGTTTGCACAAGCTCCGAAATCGTCTGACTGTGGATGGTGCTCTGGAACTCCTCGTTGAAATAAGTAAAACGATAGGGAGCATCTTCCTCTGCACGATACCACTCCCGGGTAATCGGCCGTAGTCGGCCGTTGATAAGCTGAGGTTCGGTGATCCGCTTGGCGCGTCTCTCGTCGCTGCGTCCCTCCTTTTCGAAACGGCTCCATTCTTCCAGAATACCAAGGTCGGGCCAACGGCGGCGGCGACGCCTCGGGCGTTGCTTAGCAGCTGGGTCCTGGGAGTGGCCTTCCTCGTCGCCAATTTCCGAAATCCCGCTCGGGAAGCAAACATCCTCCTCGGCCGTCAAGGCAATGGTATTCCTCCGCGCTAGATCAGGCGAAGAGTGATTATGAGCATCGGAGTGCGACCCGATGCTGTTTCTTGGGCTTCCACGCGGCGAGGTACGGATATCAATCTCGTCTTCGTGGATCATAACGTCTCCAAAGCTCAGATTCAACGGGTCAGACGGCCGGAAGGTGGGCGACCCAGGCATGGATGGCGGGTAGTTGACATTGTAGTTGTTGTCTTGGAACGGAGTTGCAAGCTTCGTCCTCGAGGATCTACTGGACCCGCGTCGGCTCACTCGCTGGCGAGGATCGCTCGAACCGTAACCAGGGAACATTGGCGCTGTGGAAGAGCGCTGAATGGACCTTGACAAGAGAGGGGCACCCTCATCCCACGAGCCGTCATCGTCGCCACTGTCTCCTACGTATGCGTTGCGCAGTCTGCTGCCCGTCTGTGGTGTCGTCGTCGTCGCAGGGAAGGGGGCCGAATTGTTCATGATGGAAGGCCTGCGAGGTCGGAGCGGCTGTGGATGATCTCTGCATTGTGGAAGTTAGACATTGTCACACCCGGGAACAGAACCACGCGGGCTCACCTGTGATCCAAGAGCTCCTGGCTATCAATGCTCGTGTTGCTTAAATTCGTGCGCTGGCGGTAAAAGTCGTCTCTCTCGGGTGCCGTGGCCTGAGCTTCGTCGTGAGACTCCTCGGCCAGGACGGCGAACGACTTGCGCCGATTGCGCTTCTTCTTTGCACCGCCGCGATGGTTCTTTCGCCGACGAGGCTGCGGCTGCTGGCCGTTCTGTTCATTCCCGTTCGCATTGTTCGAGGGTGTCGCTGGCGGGGGCGGTGCTGCCGAGCTCGAGCCGGCAGTGTTGGATTGTCTCCGGGACGTCGGCGTCTGTAGATGAGCCGCCAACGGCTGGAAGGGATTGCCAGACATGTTGGAGAGAATATGTCACACCGTCTCTCTTGCAGCGCTTGTGCCGACTACGAGAGACCAAGAGGGTGCCGCAGGTCGGCGTCGAGCAGACTGCAGGCGGCAGACTACCTTTGGCGTGGGCCGACGACTCCTGGTGTGTTTTGGTGGCGACGGGGGGCGGTTTCCACGTGAAGCACGAAACGAACTGCGGGCGAGCTGGGGTAGATTTCAGCTGCTTTCTATTTTGAGTGGGCGTGGGCGCGGGCGTGGGTCAAGCTCTGTTGGAGAGAGAAAGGCGGCAGCGCGAATATCGGCTCGAATGCACTGTATTGTTTGAACGTTGAGATAAGAGATGGTAGAGGGAAGTCGGGAGATTCGAACTATACAGCAATTGACAGTTAAGCTGTTCAAGAACGCGATGCAGCGCAGATATCAGGCGGCTGAGCCTGAGGAAGAAAAGTGTGCCGATGTGTGTTTGAATTGGGGGAGAGGGCGAGAAACAGTCTAAGGAACAGTCCAGACTTGAGAGATAGCAAAACTCGGTACCTTGGAGCGATGCATCCGTTCCGTTGGTTGCTCTCGGTGATGTCAGTGGAAGGTGGAGCACTCAGCAACCTGGGAGAGAGCCTTCAAATGCTAAGACGCTTTGAGGAGATCCGCCCACAGCACTTGAGCACCTACGGATACGCACCACGCACGGCACACCTGGGATGAGACCCCGCCCTGATGCTTCCGTCACTTGCCATTGGTCGCTGCGGGGTCCGAGAGCAGCTTAGCCCCCCCCCCCCCCCCCCCCCCATATTTAGCCAACCAGCGGCCACCTCCGAAGCCTGGAAAGTCTGGCCGACCTTTTTTTCTTCTTTTCTGGGGCTGATTCCATTCTGGCAGGCATCGGAGCTCCAGGTCCTTACCTTACACAGTACTGTGTACACCTCACTCCCCCAAGCCGTCAGCCAACACTTGAACACAGGGCATCCAGTCAGCGAGGACAGTGCTATCCGCTGTCGCTGCCCATCCCCGCAGTGGACCGGGGTTTTGATGCTCAGCGCTGTTCTCCAGGTGTTCTCTCGACTGCCCACGTCCTTCCCTGACGCATGACACTCCACAAGTCTCCAGGCCGTCTAGGTACTCCGTAGGTACCTCAACTAACACCTCATAGAGCTTCGACCACCGCTCGGCTCACCGCTGAGCCTGTCGATCGATTGCGGCAATTGAGCACACGACCTGTTGACTTTTTGGCTTTGCACGTCTGGGCGCCGAGAATTCCTCTCAACATTGGTTGGTCAATCAACAGAACGGTACCTGATCCTCGATCTGTATCGGGCCAGACACATGCTATCTAAGGTATGGTAAGAAGTAGAAGAAATCTCACTCAGGTAAGGTACCTTATATCACCTCATGCCAGGATGAGTGAGTGTGCCCGAGAGTCAAAAACTTCGTCTGAAATCAAATGACTCTTTTCAAAGTGTGCCACATGGAGGGAAGGAATGGGCTGCAGCGGGAGCTAGGTCAATGACAGATGGAAATAAGCTACCGGTATTGTATCGAGGTATAATTGCCGTGCTCTAATGGCAAAGTCGACACCACCTTATCGGAAAGCGGCACATCGACATTCATGCTGAAGGGGACCGGAATCTCGGCAAGGCGGACATCTCCAAATGCGCACTTTCACTGCACGACATGCATTTTCTTCAAACTCAAATCGTAACCCCTACCCATCAAATTGTTAATGGCTGTGTTTGACTTTGCAAAGACGAGCTTGTGAAGTTGTACTAGACCTTGAGATGAGAGAAGTAGTCGACGCTGAATCAGGTATGGGCATATCCATGTTGCTTCCACCTGGTACCGAAAACTTCGGATGACGTACTCTTCATCTACCTGCATCGGAGCATTTCGCTTCACGAAGTACGCGGCTCCCTGCATGACATTGGTAATAGACCGCAGCTAGAGGCTTGCTTGCCTTCATGTATTGCCCAAACATCACCGCGCATCTGACTCAGCCAGTCGCAAGCGGACTCTTTACATAATTCAGAAGTGGTAGAAACGCCTCACATCACAGGCACTTACACAATGTTGAACTGCTTTGCCCAATAAGCGCCTTGTTGCGATAGTAATAATGCCTATCCGTAATGTCTAAACTTTCCAAGAACCATCCATGCCTCCATGCCGCGCCCGGATATCAAGAATGCCAATCTGTCTTTGTACAAGGGAAATGCTGTTCGTCAGCCTTGGTAGCATCTCTCCTAACAACTCATGCTCATCCCCATACTAGTAAAGTTTACTGAAAGTTCCACAGCTTCGCCACGAGGTTATCTTGGACCCCGGACTCCGGCTCATTGGGAAGGAACACCTTCTTGGGGATCTGGAACTCAATCACGGGCGGCTTTTTGACCTGCTTGCCCATTTCGGCCTCGAGCAACTTTACACCAATTATTAGCTGAAGGTTCCTATGAAGGTCTCTCTGGGTCTCTGTGGCAACTTACACTGCTGTATGAGTGATCGAGGAAGTCCTCAATGTTGTAGGACTGCTTGGTAAACTGCTCCGACATGATCTTGGCAATCGTCGCCACGTTGGGGTGGTAGTGTGACTGCAGCTGCACAATCTCCCACAGACAGCTGTCAATGGCGTGCGTCTCCATGGGATCGGCCTCGTCTGCCAGGAACGGGTCATCCAAGCCTTCGGTCTCCATGACCGCCTTGATCTGCGGATCTCTCGTCTCCCTGTGGACCATGAACGTGCACAGAGGGTGCCTCTTGAGAATGTTGTACATCCAGGGCACGATGAAGACGACGGCGCTTGGGGGAGCGTTGAGGCTGAGCCGCGCGAGCCTCTTGATGAAGCTCGCCACCAGCACAGCGGGTAAATGTGTCGAGCAGAGGAAGGTATCCATCAGCCGGAAGAATCTTGAGCGGTACTTGGAGTGCAGGATGTCCCGGTCTAGGAGTGAGTAGAGCTTGGTGAAGAATGACGGGTAGTCGAGGTTGCGTTCCTGAATGAGGTAGAAGACGCCAGAGAGCGCGAGCAACGAGATGGAGCCGCCCGCGTCGTAGGAATCCGTCAGGAAGTCGGCGAGCAACTCTGGGCGGATGAACCACGGGGCGATCTCCTTAGACATGACGTCCAGAATCTGCTTTCGCTGCTCCCTCGTTGATGCCAACCTCAACACCGCAAGCCAGGCGTCTTGACCCTGCCTCTTGTGCTGGTGCACAGAGTTGACGTTGTGTGACTTCTTCTTTGGCTTTTCGGCGAAGAAGTTTCCTAGTTCTTTTGGCACGTCCCCGATGTTTGAGAGCAGCTCGAAAGCGTCATCAAACACCTCCTCTTTGGGCAGAGACCCGGTGTCCTCGGCCAGAGATCTGTGAGTCGTTAGTTCCGTGGTTCCAAAGTCTTCAGTGCTCCGATACACATACTTGACGGCCTTTAGCGTGAAGAAACGAATGTCGTCGTATTCTGTCAAGTATTTCTCGACAAACTCGACACGAACATCGTCACTGTCTGATGCCAACAAGCCCCTCACAATCTGCTCGATAAAGGCGTGAGGGAACGTGTACTCCTCCTTCTCGGTAAAGTGCTGAGCCTCGGCCTTAAGAGACCTCATGGCCAGCGTCAACGCCGTTGACGCCAAATCTTCTTCCTCGAGAAGCGAAGCGAGCACGCCCTTGTACTCAAGGTACCGCTCCCTCAACCACTGCACAACCACCTTCTCCTTCTCAGCCTGTCCTGGCCTGAAGACGAGTGCTCCCGCCGAGAGCAATCTCACAAAAACTCTGCACAAAGCCACGCAGGCCAGGGTCGCAGCCTCGGGCTCATCCTCGTGGGTTCGGGCGATCTGGATGAGTTTCGTAATGTTGTTGTAGTGCTTCTTGGATTCCAAAATTTCATTTTCGAGCAGCAGGATCTCAGCCTGAGGGTCGTTGCTCTCATCGCTCTCTGCTTCAGACTCAGACTCGGATTCCGATTTGGCGCGCTTCTTTGACTTCTCCTTCGTGGGAATTCGTTTCCTCTTAAGGCCTTCGCCCGAGATTTTGGCTGGCATTTTCTTCTTCTTCTTTTTTTTTTTGTCCTAAACTTCTGATGTGCTGAGTTTTGGATGTTGATATCAGTCGTCGTGAAAATCGAGTTCAAATTTACAGCGGGTCCCGATGAGATGGGAATTTTCATCGAGGTACCAATGTACTTGCAGGCGCCGGGTTCCACTTCAACTTGAATGGACGCGGACCTGGAAGCCCAAGCGCCGGTCGGCCGTCCTGGGCTCTCTGTGTCGCTCCCCCAAATTCCCGCAGCCACTGCATCCGCCACATCACGTGACAAAATCATAGCCGTCTCGGGAGTAAGCGGTACCCGTAGACAAAATCTAACCTCACCTCGAGCAGCTCCGAATGACCTCAAACCCATAATACCCGCAACCCCCCCAATCATCACACAATGGCGTCCCGCTTGGCTCGAAGCGCTGTCGGTACGTCCAGACACATCCCTCGAAGCTTCGGCGTGTCAATTGGCTTGCTCGACAAACGTAAACGTGGTGGCTAACGCGCAGGCTTGTCCCCTCCCTTCTCGAACAGGCGCGAACCTCCTCAGGCCGACCCTGGCCCGCCGCACTCTGCCCGCCATCTCGGCCTCGATCGCCGGCGCCCGCAACGCCTCCAACGTCCCCGCCGAGGATCCCAAGAAGAAGGCCCAGTCCATCGTCGACGCCCTCCCCGGCAACTCGCTCCTCTCCAAGACCGCCATCCTCTCCTCGTCCGCCGCCCTCAGCGTCTACGCCATCAGCAACGAGTACTATGTCGTCAACGAGGAGACCGTCGTCGCCTTCTGCCTGCTCGCCGTCTGGGGCGGTCTGATCAAGTACGGAGGCCCGATGTACAGCGAGTGGGCCCAGGGCCAGGCCGACAAGATCAAGGGCATCCTCAACTCCGCCCGTGCCGATCACACCCAGGCCGTCAAGGGACGCATTGAGGACGTCCAGCAGATGTCCGGCGTCGTTGACATCACCAAGTCCCTCTTCGCCGTTTCCAAGGTACGACTCCTATGATGCAATCGATGGAAAGAGGAGGCTATTTCGGAATGAGCCTCTGTCGGATGGAATGAGTTGGCACAGCCGGAGAGCATCATCAATAAAGTTACTACAGAACAGCAGCTGACATATTCGGACAATAGGAGACTGCCGAGCTCGAGGCCAAGGCCTACGAGCAGCAGCAGAAGACCGCCCTGGCTGCCGAGGCCAAGGCCGTCCTCGACTCCTGGGTCCGCTACGAGGGCCAGGTCAAGGCTCGTCAGCAGAAGGAGCTCGCCGAGAGCATCATCGCCAAGGTCACCAAGGAGCTTGAGAACCCCAAGGTCCTCCAGCAGATCCTCCAGCAGAGCATTGCTGATGTCGAGAGTACGTGTTCACTTTTTCCCTCCCAAAATACCTCCGTCATCGGATGGCCCCCGGTTCTCCACCGACACCATTCACTATTACATCAATCGAACCTTTTCTAACATTCTTTGCCTCGCCACAGAGATCTTCTCCTCCAAGGCCCAATAGATTCCCCCCAACCCTTACTAGAGTCTGAGCGAGAAGCTTTCCTTTGTCCAAGGGGTCCTGTTCCCCTTGCGTGTCAATAAACACCCTGTGCATTAGCCAAATTCAAAGAACTTGAGAGAAGAAAACGAAACTGGACCACCGCCCAATATGTTGCGTAAGTGTTTAATTAGGAAAAGGCTTACTTTACTCGACAATTGATTCACGATCTTCAACAATATCTGGTTATCTAAATTTGGTGCTTTATTGAGCTATCTACGATGGCATGTTGAATGCCAAGGCTTTTTTTGCGGGTGTCTTTAGCCGTTGTTGTGCTGGCTGCACCACCCACCTCCGGTCGCAAATCCGATCGCTCCGACATTCTCCGTCCGAGCATAGCAACGACTCAAATAACGATGGCAACCAAGTCCCTGTCGCTCGTCACCAAATCCTGAACTCACCCAACGAGCAGAAATCACCGAGAAAACCAACGCATCAAAGCATGATGAAGAGGTAAGAAATATGTTCAATCTCGGGGTATGGTAACCGTCACCGTGTCATTCTACGAAACCGTAAACTGTCCCTCATATTCGTACTCTGTACAGCATTCCCAAACGCCTTTCCGTCCAAGCTCATGAGCAAGGTATTGAGAGAGAAAAGCCACCAGAGCCTCCTCCCTGCGTCAAGTCTGTTCTTACAAAGAAAATATTACGTGTGATGGTACCTAACTGAGGTATGATGACTGATTGACAGTGGATCTCCATCGACACACATGCACACAACTCAATAGATAGGCCGCGGTTCATCCCACTTTGAATGAGCGGCAGCCTTCTCCTCTGACGTCCCCGGGGTATCTTCTGTCTTGACATCCGCTCCATAGGAAATACGTCCGCTCTTGCGCCGTCTGGCACTGTCTCCCGTAATCGGTCCAATCCACTCCCAAGCGCGGCCAACTTCGCCGCTTCTTCCTTCTCTTTGACTGGTTCGAACATTGCTGTTCTGCTCAACGACCGCCTTGACCTTGATCCAGATGCGATCTCGCTCGCCGAGTGAGTGCACTGACCGGAGCACGTCATCGCGGAGGTTGGGCAGGAAGAGCCATGGGTCATCAATGTCTTCCTCGCCAAGTTCCTTTTGGGTAGCCAATCTCGACAACACAAGGTCGACCAGCGCCGGAACCTGCGCCGCAGTGGCCTTGTGAGATCTGTACTTGCGTCGGACGTAAAAATAGACCGAGATCAAGAGAATCACAGATCCAATAGAGAGTCGATGTCTTGCCAAGCCGAGTCTGACGGAGCGCTTGAGGGTACAGCCGATCGGTAGCCGAGCGAGAGAGGTAGACGAGAGGTAGGCGTCTGAAATTGAGGTGGAATTGGCCTTTCTACTTCGGGCACATCCGATCTGGTTAGTACACTGGTCAGAATGGTGATTTGACGATATTGCTATAAGAGGGGGGCGAGATACTGGAAAGGATAATGACAGAAGAGGGAAGCATAGAACTTACGGTGCCACTACGACTTCCTCTCGGCCCTTGACTTCACCAATCGCGGCGACCCATAGGTCGTCGAACTCCTGCTTGTTCATCTTCTTGCTCCGTTTTGCGCTAATCGCGGCCTTCAGCTCATCCTCTGTAATGGATGGGGACGCTGGCGCCTGGCCAGCATCTACAGTAGAATCGCCGCATTCGAATTGCGCTCGGCGCTCCCGAAGTTCTTCAACCGCCTTGTCGGCTACGGTCTTCACTCTTCTGACCTTTTCTCCATCCGGCTCACACGTGGGTGGCAGGGGAACCAATCCGCCCAAAGCCAGAGGATGAGGCTTCAGAATGAAGTCAGGCTCGCAGCGAACAGTGAAGTCCTCGTAGCAGTAAGCGTGCTGCGGGCAGGGCTCGCACTGAGGTTCAGCAAGTTGCACTGCCCAGTCAGGAACTGCGACCTCGGGAGGAATGATTTGCGTTGCAGGTCGACCGAGTCCACAGTACCCAACCGCAACCTTCTCCTGCCGGTACCAGGCGCCGTACGCTCCAAACAGAGAGATAGCGAGGGCCCAAAGAGGTTTGGAAAGGCTGCGTCTCGGGCGTTGAGGCGAAGTAGGCCGCGGGGCCAGTGATCTTTCACCACCGGCAGCCATTTCTTGTTCCATCTCGAACTGTGCATCGGGAGTGAACTCCTCCCCAGCCTCAACCTCGAAATCTTGTGGTTCGGGTGTTTCCTCGCGAAGAAGATCGCTGACGGGAACCTCAAAAGCATGCGACTTTCTTGACGATTTGGGCCGATCCTCAGCGTAGTGGCCGTCCGTTCGTCGGCGAGGGTTACTCTCTTGTTTGCTCTTTGCAAAATCCAAGCCAGTGGTCTTTCTTCGTCCGTTGGGGCTGGTGATGAGCTGCGTAGCTGGGCTTCCGCTCTGGAAAGGGTTCTCTGTAGAGAAGTACTGCGACTCTCTACGGTTGAAAAATTCCTCCTCAGACTCTTCCTGCTTGATCTTCGGGATCTTGGGGGTAACAGCTCGCTTGCGAACTGACTTGGGCGGCTCCAGCTCGGTGTAAGGCTCGACGTAGGGTTCAGGTTCTGGTTCTGGCAATTGTCGGCTAGCAGCTCGCACCTTCCGCTTCGTCGGGCTGACTGGAGCTGGCGCTTCTTGCTCATATTCCTCGCTCCTGACCCGAGTGGATGCCTTGCGCGGCGACCTCGATCTCGTCACCCTTGGCGGGGGAGGGGCAAGGTCGTAGTCGTCGTCGAAGTCATCGGTGTCCTGGGAGCTTCCAGCGTCGACGATACCATAACTTGATCTCTTCGCCTTGGCTTGCTTCGCCAGGATCCTCTTGGCTTGAGGGACAACCTGATCTTCGAAGAGCTGAATGAGCTGAGGCTTCTTCGCTGTGGCGGGGTACTGGATATCGTGTGCGACGAGGATGGACCGCAGCCGAGGGACTGTCAGCGATTTAGGGTCGAACCCAGGCTGAAGGTATTCGTAGTCATCCATGTTGAAGCAGTTGGAGTTGCTGTCGGAAATTGGTTGTTTACCAATGAGAAAGCAGAGAGTATAAGCAAAGAAACTCAGAAGTTGCAATCAAAGAAAGGCTGGTGCCGAATGACGGTATCAGTGCTCGGACACTTTGCGACAAGACGTCAAAGGAAGCTCACAAGGCAGCCTTTGAAGCCCTGCAGTATGAAACCTTGAGGGATAGGGCAGAGCAGGCAAGGAATGACTGGCGCATACAAAATGAAGTCGCACAGAGAATTTGGGCCTTGCTCTCTGCGGCCGTGGCAGGTGCACCAAGGTCTGAGCGATGTGGGTGTAAGGTACAAGTTGTGCAAAGGATGCGCCGAGTGGACAGATGTTGATAACGTCGGATTGTGGACGGGATGGATGAGAGACACGGGCGGGAGCCCACTGACGCAACAAGCAGGAGCACCCGTTAGTTCTGGGTGCTGTGGCAACAGCAGAGGTCATGTGGAAAAAAACAACTAGTGTGGGGGGCGACTCGGAAAGTGACAGGGGTAAGCCTTTCCAGTCCTTCCAGACTCCGAGGTACGGAGGTGCGTCTCAATAGTCCTTGCAGTTTCTGCCAAGACCAACCCCTGCCATAGACAGGGGAGTCGACAAGGGGCTGGCTAGGGTGTGTACAAGCGGCAGAATTCGGCCACTTCTACCCACTGTAATTATCGTTAATTTAGCGGTAAAAAGTCGTTAATTGAGGTTAATTAGTGGTTATTTAACGGTATAATCTAGCCCGACGACCCTTTTTATATTTATTGCTGCCCTTTAGGGCAATTATCTATTAGATATGGTGAGGTACCCTTTTTATCTATTTCTAGATCTCCTTTTGCAGTAATGCTTTTTAATACTTTTACTAACGATATACTGCTTCGGCCCGTGACGAAGGCGCCCCTTTCCTAGTAGTCCATCTTTTTATCTACGGCTAGCAAGGTTTAATAGGATTAAGGTCGGGCAAATTACCCGGCTAGAGAAGCTTTATAATTTTGAAAAGGCTATACATATAGTAGGTGAAGTAATGGTCGTGAGCGGGTGCCTTGTCCTCTTATATAATTAGATTACTAGGTAATCCTTTAATATAAGGGAATAATTTAGGTAATAGGATCTTTTTGCAGTATCTATACTAGTTAATTCCGCCCTTGCCGTTCCGTATTAACTTACCCGACTTTATATTTTAATTGAATTAGGGCTTACGGCCCGGTTAGTTTTATAAGCCTATTTGCTCTATATTACTCTCGAGTTCCCATTATTGACGTCGAACGGGCTCGAGCTTTACGTTAAGCTCGGTAATTACTGCATCGATAGCTTTCCTCTTAGTAGCAGTCTCGGGAATCTAATAGTAGTACGGCCCTTTCGAATTATATAAGAAAGACCCTTAAAATATGAATTCGGAATAACCTTTCTACCTTTCTCGTATATATTGCCTAGAATAGGCCTTGTTTAGGTGATACTAGAGCTTATAATTACTACGGCGGTAGTTAAGGGTAACCGCGGTTTCGTCTAACTATACAACCTATTTTTAATTGTTGAGGGTCTAGTATTGGTGGTCGAGGCACTATTTAAGTCGCTTTTACCGTATCCTTTTTATTAAGCTTGGTTTACAGGTTAGTTTAGTCTTATAGAAGCTATAGCAACGAAGGATTTACTAAATAGTCATTATAGATACGTTAACGCCCTCGTCCTTTAATAAGTCCCTAGTAATATTAATATAGTTCTTTTTATGCCTATATTGGTTACGGTAGACTTTGCGGATAACGATATCGTTGACTTTTTTCGTCTATTTAGTTAGACGGCCACTTTGGGGGGTATCTTTATAATAGGCGGGCTTAATCAAGAAGGTAGGAGTAGTTAGGTCGAATCTATTCTTTTTTGTACGGGTAAGAACGTCGTAAATAGTTCGAACTGGAATTTCTAGAGCCTAAGAGACCTATTTAGCAGTCTACCTAATAAGTCGATTTTATAGAGCAAAAATTACTACCCTAACGCCTAGATCTAGCTTTTTTTTTATCGGTATTTTAGGATCTATACTGAGGAAAAAAGAGTAGCGTAGTAAATAGCGATTTAGCGGTTTTGATATTATTATAGGATTAGTAGTAGTATTATAATGGCGGTGTATGGGGTAAAATCGTTACTATGGGTAGTGCTGGGGGGAAAGTAAGTAAAGTAGGTCAAGATCAATCCCTAGGCTCTTATTGGTTCAGATGGGCAGTAATTGTGGGTCTGGGGCTTGGCAGCGACT